AGTGGCGTTGCCGATGCACCACCTGCCTTACCCCCTACGAGTGCATGCGGGGTTAATTAATAATCAGTAGGCTAAATTTAGGGGTGTCTATTCAGTATTTTTACGAAGATATACATACAGGGTTAGTGGTAGATTAAATTAGTGCGTATTATAGGATGATAAAAGGTACAAATTTCTTATCGATGCTATAACAAAAATTAATAATAATTTGATTTATGATTTATAGCTGTTTAGGTGTTGTATAGTGCGCCTATGTTCATCCTGGACGGAGCCATTCCTACAGCACTCTCCCCAGAGGGCTTACACATACCAGAGACACACACACACATGCCTCTGGGGTTTCTACCTCTCGCCCGCTCCTCCGCCGCCCCCGGGCCCCCGGCGCCCCCCCGTTCCTTTTCGCCCTCTTTCGTCCGCCCACCAGACTTCGACGCTTCGAGCCGGGGGTTTCGAAACCGTAAAAGTGTATCTCTTCGACGGAGTTTCTAAGGATACTGAACAGGGTGAAGGTAGAAACGAGGACTTGGACTTTTGCTTTGCGGTTTTTTTAGCGCCGCGGCTCGTTTTAATTAACTCTTTCTAGTCGAGTGATGTTGGAAATTTTCGAATTTCAAGAGTTTCTAAGCGAAATAGATGGGAATACAAAACAGGGTGGAGTAAATTTGATTAGATTTCAATGTTCTTCTATCCATAGTTATCTTATTGTTCTAATTCCTAATTTTCTCTCTAGTAGGTATATCTCTATAGTAGGTATTTTTTCAGGACAATAATAATTCACCAATTTTTACCATTAAAAACCACCCTCTAACAAAGCGAGTAAATAGATAACCGCCCGTCCTAAATCAATTCGAGTCTAGGAGAGCCCGAAAAACCGTCTCCTCGGCAACTCCTGTCCTTTCGTCCTTCGTCCTTTTTTTTGCGCCCGCAACATGTCCGAGTGGAGCCGCTCCCGCCCGCTCCCCGGGCGCCGCCAGCGCGACAGTTGATGACCCGTCCCTTATCCTTAAGGGTCGCGTCCCTTTTGACGCTCGAAATAGGACACTGAAACTTTTCCGGCTCTCGAATTTCCAACTCTCCGGTGCCCGCGGGTCGGCCGGAATTTCGACCCGGAAAAAAAACCGGCGGGTCGTTTGCCGTGTGGGCGGAAAATGGGCCGTTTCAGAGGCGGATTTTCCACCGCTCTTTTAAATAAAACATCTAACAAATCGACTTCTATCTATTAACTTACTTATTGGATTATAGTTTTTTGAGACGCGCTTTGTTTTTTGAGTTTTATAACTCGATACCTTTCGCGTGCTGTTTGGGAATCTGTTTAATCCGGTTCTGGCTAGGGTTTCCGCGCTTTCCATCGCAGAAGGGTGAAAGTGTCTCTTCGGGGCCCCGGCGATATAAGGTTTCCAAAGGGAAGGTTTCGTGGAGAGGATCTCTGAGGCCCTCCTCCGCCTCCGGACAGACCGAAAACGATGCGAAGAGGAGCTCGAAAAAATTCCACCCGGCCGGGATTTCGCAATACGAGAAGGAAACATTTTTCGAGCGTCATTCTCATCGAATTAATACTTAAATTACGCCCGTATATTTCGCGTTTCACCGTATCGTTGTAATTTCTTATCTATCGCGACCGTTCCCCGGGTGATTTTTTTTTGCCCGAGCGTTTCTTTATCCACCCGACCGTGAACATGTGTGTGTGTGTGTGAGCGTGCACGTGGGGGTGTGGGCGCAGCCCGGTCTTCTCGGGCCCCTCGGGGGGGCGTGTGGGGGCCGCTTGGCGATCGGTCCGCTGCTCTGATCGCCGGAGAGGCACGCAAACAAACACCCCCGCGCCCGGCACACGCTCGCCCCACCGGTGCGGACTGAGCGAAGGTGGAATTGCGGGCGGAATTTAGGAGTTTCTCGGGGTACCGACAGAAGTTGCGGCGATAAGAAACTTGGCTGTATGTGAAAGCACAGAAAAAAACCTTAGATAATAGATACTCCAGCAATTGGGGGTAGAATAATGTGGGGTAAATAAATGTGGAATTGGAGGGTTTCCTTAGGCGCCAAGAGAATTAAAGTGGTGATAAATAACAAGCTTGGAAACGCACTAACTTGCTGGAATCCTCTTTGTGGAAGTATCTTATAAAAAACTTAGTGGATGTGGGAAAACTGGGAGAAGATATGAAACTCGAAATAATGGGAGCAAAAAGAAAAATATACTAAATATGACCGAAGCACTCTTACTCGTATATCATAGTCAATAGTTTCAACTCTATTCAAAAATATTAAAGTATTGCGACAATATTAAAGCATTTTACGCTACCCTACACTATTTTACTCTATCCTATACTTCCAAAATAGTAGGCACTAAATTCTCAGAAGTAATTGTGAAGTTTTCGTTAACAGTTAGCCGTTATTCTATGGCTATTTTGCAGCTTGTGAATTATTTACATAGAAGATGCTTAAATATCTAGAACCACAACGTGACACAATCGATAATAATTCCAAGAATTTAGTGCCTACTATTTTGGAATTAGAGTATAGTATACACTATTCTATACTATTCTACTCTATCCTACACTACCCTGCTCTAATCTACACTATTCTACACTATACCCTGCAGTACCCTATCATCGCTTTTTTATGTTGAGTCCATTATTATCCTGAAATTTCAACGCAATAAAAGCAGTATGAGTAATGGCGGTCGAGTTACGTTATATGAATAGTTACATATTTTTGTAATTCAGTGAATACGCGCCCGCGTAATATCCCGTTCTAATAAACCTCTATTTTCGGCACAGTAGATATTTTTTCCTTTGTTCGTGTCGAATGATAGACAGACGCACCCCACGGAGTCCCTTTTTACCCCCGAAGACCGAACTAATATCCTCTGCCGATATCAGGCGAACGAAGCATTCAGACATCACACAAGGGTGTCAAAAGCGAAAAGGGACAAGGAGCGAGCGGAATATACACTCCGACAACGACCCCGACCCACCCCCGGGGCGGCCCTGCCCAGGGGTGGCGCTCTCGCTCGCAACAAGAAAAATATCCACAAAACTAATTGGGATACAACAACCACTAAAATAATACCGTTTGATTTTTTTTACCTACATCTATAATTTACCACCACCCACAAAACGCTTCACTAGATTAGATAATAAAGTAATATTTCATATGTATAAAACAACTACTAGTTTCTTTCGAGTATAGGTACACTTTATTAGAGCCACAGTACACCTGGGTGGTGAAAAATAACCGGAGTCCGGTCCTGTGCGCGACACTCCGTGAGGGGCTCCCTCAGTCCACCCTTCATCAAGTAAATTGCAGCGGCAGTCCTCGTTTCGGGTATCTGGCAGGTCTGGGCCTCCCGAGGAGCGAGGGCAAGGGGCCATCGCGCGAGGATCGCGGGCGGCGGGGCGGGGGCGCGCGGGGACGGGCGACCGAGCCGCCCCCGCCCGACCAACTTTTATAGAGAAATAGAATAGTGCGGCGTTCCTCTCCGATGGGACTTTTTTTGTTGCTCGAGCGAGCCGGCTCAAGATTCGTTACGCTCCTCGAATTTGAAAAATTCGTCCGCTTTAATTCCATAATTTGGTTAGATAAATCGCGAAATGTAAAAAGAGAACCTGTCAATTAACCTTCGTTGACTTGTTTTTCGCTAATATATACATCGGCGGTTACAAATGAGGACGAGATTGATAATAAAATAAAGCGTTGCCGCACGGGAATCCCCGACAATAAATCTCTAGATAGGGGGTGAGTATTGAGTATTCATTCAACGCGTATTAACCAGTCGAAAAAAGGGAGGTGAAGGAGAAGGAAAAGGGTTTTCGGCAATCACTGTGCCGGTGATTAAGAAATTAATAAGGAAAATTTTGAGAATGATAATAATAATTAGAGAATTGGGAAATTACTGAAGAATTGAGATAAATAAAAATTGTGGTACAGAAGAGAAATATTTTATCCAGTATCCAGTCGTTCTGTAAACAACTTTTTACCACTATTAAAGGTTCTTATATGGATTTATTACCATTATATTGATTAACAAGTTGGTTAAGGAAATAGTTAGATAAAGGAAGTTATTACTGAAGAACATGTAACCTTATCTAGTTATTCTCCTATGCACCATCATCTGGAAATGACCAGCCCATTGAATTAAGAATATTATTGAAGAACTGAGATCAAATAAAAATTGTACTAGTTCTTCAGCTTCACCTAATCATATCCAGCGCTCCTACAGCATCTTCCATTCCATTGATTTGAAGATACTTACCGAAAAACTCATACTAAATGATGATCTAATCATATCCAGCGCTCCTCCAGCATCTTCCATTCCATTGATTTGAAGATACTTACCGAAAAACTCATACTAAATGATGATCTAATCATATCCAGCGCTCCTCCAGCATCTTCTATTCCATTGATTTGAAGATACTTACCGAAAAACTCATACTAAATGATGATCTAATCATATCCAGTGCTCCTCCAGCATCTTCCATTCCCTTGATTTGAAGATACTTACCGAAAAACTCATACTAAATGATGATCTAATCATATCCAGCGCTCCTCCAGCATCTTCCATTCCATTGATTTGAAGATACTTACCGAAAAATCACACTAAATTATGATCTAATCATATCCAGCGCTCCTCCAGCATCTTCCATTCCCTTGATTTGAAGATACTTACCGAAAAACTCATACTAAATGATGATCTAATCATATCCAGCGCTCCTACAGCATCTTCCATTCAGATTTTAAGATATTTACTAAAGAACTTGAGACCCCATTGATCAATCTAATCATACCCAGTACTCTTTTGATAGCGCAACTATCCAAATTCGTTTCGCCTACTCATTACCCGCGACAATCAAACTCCATCCAGCGAGCGTTCGCCTAACCGCGCGCCCAACCGAACCGAAAAAGGTTATCTATCGGGGTTGAGGTCGGCCGGCGTCGCCTCGCCTGTCCCCCAAAACATCCTCCTGAGCGTCTTCGGCGATCGCGTATCGCCGGCCGTGTCCCGTGCCGGCTCCTCGCCGTCATGTGGGGATCGTTGTCGCGCGGCAGCGGGGATGGGCCGGGGGCGGCGCGGGGCGCGGGGCGAGCGCTAGAAGGGAACGGTCGCTCGAACGCAGCGGGAAATAATTCATTCGTCGACGGTACGAGCGCGCTAGAAGGTCACGTAGGCCTCCGCACTCCGCAGATCCGCACCAGAAAATCCACAGCTAGTTTCGAACGCGCTGGACTCGTTATCAGAAGGTGCCGCTGGTTGTACTTTGGGCGATAAGATTGGGGCGTAGATAGGATGGGTTGGGCGGCGTGATTTCGGCAGCGGATCGGCCGGCTCGTTCGGTTACCGACCTATCTCAATATTCGACGCAGTTAAGTGGTCATGGACGATTGTTGTTGCACAAGGTTGTTCGGTTCGTTCGAGTATTCGGCCTGATCGGTTTGTGCTTGTGTCGCTTCGGTTGATGGTGGTTCGCGATTAGGGCAGCATGTCGGCCAAAAGGAAAGCTTCGGCTATCATACAGCATCATAAGGTGAGAGCTTTGTTTCTGTCCGACGGCCGGAGCTGCGGCGGCGAAGCTGCAAAGAAGCTGCCGCTCTCGTACAAGCCGTGTTTGTATTGGTTTGTAGCTTGGCGTTTTGATTGAGGAAAAGTGTTGGTTTTTATGTAAATGATTAAGTTTGGTTGAGGAAAAGTGGTAGATTACATGTAAATGATTGCGCTGGGTGCGATAATAGACGTTTCGATGCCGGAAATGTCATCTTCGGTGTGGAAGAGGCGAAAAACGCGATCTTTTTATTCGTTTTTTTAGTTTTTTCGAAATTTTGTTCGAATATTGTCTCCAAAATCTCCCAAAATATTCTTCATGAACTCATCTAACGTCGGTAAAGAGCTGTTCGTCACTAATAATGCGTTTTGGAAAATTGGTTTTGAAGAATTTTAAAAAAATCCGAAAAACTCCTGAACCGTAAGATTTTTGAACATTTTTGATTCTTGCAAAAATGTAGAGAATATTTTTCTCCATCTAATAAACAATACAAGACATGTCTAGTCTTAGTTATTTTCGAATTACAGCAAAACAAATCAATTCACTTTAATTATTTCTATTTTTTAAGTACCTACTACCCAGCAGGACCCCCTAAATAATTGTTATTTTCTCTTAATTTAGACCCACTAGATTCACAATTTCTAACGCATTTCTCTATCTCCAGTCCATCTCCACTTGACCACACAAATACAGCACCGGAATTCCAATATCCGCTGCAATTCCCATTTACACTAAACAATTTTTTGCCAATACTCATTACCTCATTTCAAAGTCTCTCTTCAAAGGTCATAAATATTTCATGCGTACTTATTAAGCGAGTAGATTCTTTTTGCGCACCTACGAATATGCTAATGCATCGAAAAAATCTCCATTCCCGGCTTGGAGACATCCAAACATTGCTATTTCTCTTCGAAAGGAACCGATTTGAGCTGGCTCGGCGCCCGCTCGTTACGCGAGTGACTTTGAGTCGGAAATTTTTAAGAATGCAAAAGTGAATGTATAAGTAAATAGGCTTGCATACGTAACATCATCAGACGATAGGAAACGAAACTGAGGAATGCGCGGCGTAATTTTTAGCGCTGAAAAACCGCGGTTTACGTAATCCGATTTAAGTCGGATCGAATCAAGGTTGATGAAAATCGGTTTTTATTGTGCACCGATCGGTTATGTTCACTTACGTGAACCTACTGTACTTGCAATAACATGTATAGGTATAATACTATTAGTATGTAATCGATTGTAGGGAAAATCCTTACGAGAGGTTTGCAATTGTAAGGCGAATGTGGAATAATCATTCATACTCCGATCGCTATCAGGAGATATGTACTAAATGAAACTTTGACTTAATGTAAGTTGAAATGGAACTTGAATCAGGAAATCCAACTATTAAATAAAATGTAGGCACTTCTGAATATATAATTTAGTAATTAACAAACAACTACCTGTAATAATTATTAACGATACTACAGTTGAGTACATTCCTGTAGTAAGTATTTCAAATCGCAGAAGCACGAATGTGTACTCTTTTTAGGTCACTTTATGAAGGATTTGAAAACGATCGCCTATTATTAAACACTCTGTATACAGAGTGGCACTACTAAAGTGACATTAACATTAGGAATACTATTGCACAATAAAGTTTTGAAATTTTATGATTTCTTTCGTTGAGTCGCTCATGTCATTTGCACGAAATTACCCCCTGATGGCGAACGGAGTATAATTAAAAGGCTCATATTTGTTACTAATTGTATATCAAAACATCCGAAACTTGCGGAGTATAACAAGACACTATTCAGGCGAAGTTATGCAGATTAATTTATTAGGGTTCGCTTCCCTATTATCCCCGATCTTCATTCGAATTGCAAATGTCGGTCAATCCCTTTATTTGTACTGCTGACGTTTATTTTTCAAATTCGAGTGTTTTCAATTTTTCTTCTGTCACGTCGAGTTTATTTCATCTTTCTGTCTATGTAAAAATGCGAATTGTTCTCGTTAATTCCGAGCTAAATGAATAATTTACATGAGCAAATACGTTTTGTTTATTCTCGCAATATCCGATATTGGAATGTATTAATATTGTTATTAATCCGCAATTACGATAATTACTCGATGTTAATTGATTCCTCGCAGAAGAGTAACTTAATTATTTACTGCTTAATGCATACGATTCACACCGAATCCTGACCCTTTTAATACGCATCGATCGTCCAGGGACAAGGATTATTGCGATGTAGGTGAGGAATATTCTCACGTCCATACAAAACAAAACATTATATAAATAAGCATTATTCAGTCTATAGATAAAAATTTACCTATCTACTGAATGAACGGTGTTTGACCGTTGGATTATTTACAATACATTTATTTATTATTAAACAATGATAAGGGTAATCTCGTAATCGAGTAAAAGTTTTACAATCGAAACTCGCAAAGTGCATTTGACCGATAACGAGAGGTTTCATTGCATGTTTGCACGCGCTTGTTTCCAGCGAAAATTAGGGAATTTAAAATAAATAAGAATTATCTTTCGTAGTGTCCCTAAAAAGCGGCTTTCTCGATAGATAAATGCCGGGTCACGCTCGACTGACTGGCCGCGCTCCTTTGACAAAGATCAGTTCGAGGCCCCGCGAACGGACAAGGCCAACCAGGCGAGTTACGAGTACCCCATTCGGCGTGTCTTCGCGCTCGATTTGCATAGCCCCGAGTGGTGGGACTCCAATTACTGAATAAATACAAACACCACGAGATCTACACGCACTAATAAATCTACAGCGGGCACAAGGAAAGGTCGAAAACGGCGGCGTTTTCTCGTAGGAGCGCAGAGAGCGACCGGGGGTTCCTCGGGGAGGACGAAGGGGGCTCGAAAGGGGTCGGTAATGGCCCGTGGTGTCGAACCCCGGGCCAAACGAGGACATCATCATGGGATATGTGCGCGCGTTATGCCAGCTGCCCCCCTTTGACTGCCCTGGCCACATCGCGGCATCACCACTTTGCCCCACCCCACCCCCTAGGCCAGATCGATAGTTGACGCTCCGGTCAGTGGCGTATTTCGGCTAAATAAAAATAACCTCTGTTTCTCGAATTTAGGTACCAAAGAAAAATTGCACTTATTTTTCATTATACAGGCTGTCTCATAAGTTGATACTTGTTTTTTAATTGCGTATAAATCTTTTAATTTTAAACAACTTTTTCAAGTATCTATTTTTTTTATATTCTGGAAAATAAAAAAGATGATGGAAGTTTTTAAAATTTCTTGAAATTTCTAATACGTACCTGCCATTACGATGCAGGTGTCAAAAAAATAATAAATAATTAATGACAGAAAATTAATTTTTCGATTGTTGAATTGAAAATGGCTCATCTTTATAGAAATAATGAATTGGTATACATGCTGATTATTTATGGAGAGTGTTTCCAAAGCGCTTCCAATCAAAAGGCGACAATTTTGAGCAGTTCCTTTAACTTTTAATAAACAGGGCCGTATTAAATAACTATTAATAATTAAAAATTGAAAAAAAAAACATGCTCTCTTATTTTCCAGAATATTAAAAACTGGATTTATTTATACGTTAATATGGTGATTATTCGTGAAAGAATAAGAGTGGTAAAAAATAGCGGTACGCCACTGTTATCGTACGCCCCCATCCGTTTGTATTGTTGGTGCAATGGGTAGATCGTTCACTATTAAAACTGACACTCCTTTGTCAGCTTGTCCAATCGATATTTTCGAAAATACGGACGTATTTTAATACGCACTGTTATTTTTTTCTACAAATAAATGCATTTTCGTTGTCGCGATTACTTCGTTTATTAACATATCTAGTGGAATTTGAACTTAACATTCGTACAATGCAAAATAAAACGCATCTGAAGCGACGAGAAATTTAACCGATTAAATTTACTATTAAGGTGGTTTTTCACTCCTAGTGTGGGATGGGAGTATATAATGGGGAAATCGAGAGGAGTACGATTTTTTTTATAAAACTACGTATTGTTATGGAGTCATTGGTGAAATTTTTAATTTTCTCTGTTTCCTGTTAAGGCCACAATTAATTTTTAAAGTTTGAAATACATCACAAGTCATTAACCAATCACATTAAGTATTGATGATAACGATCGTTTTTAGCGACGTTGTCAACTATCTTCTTACTCTGAAAAAAAAGGCGTTTGTTTGTATGTCAATACTATAATTTATTTTTTATATTTCTTAATACAGTTATGATTTATTCGAAAAATATAGAGCGAACTTATAATTGCTAAATAATATAATATGCCTATATTTATGAATTCAACAATTAATTTGAAAATGTCGCATCCGAATGTAGGTAAACCTTGTTTCATGCCGTTTTGTTAAAATTCTTGATTGTATTCTAAAAAAGTGTTTATTTTTGGCCCAATAAACTTAAAACAAAGAAATTACAATAACCTAACCCTAGATATGTCGTCTGTCATTTAATGTTACATTTCACTTTTGTTCGTTTCTTCTATTCTTCTATTCTTCTATTCGAATTCTTACGCCACTAACGATTCAATACAACAAAGCTCTCTTGTCATTGGTTAAGTACTTCATACGTCACGGGTCAACATTTTAAATTTAAAAGGGTTACATTTCCTAAAATATTGAATAGTTTGAACAACTGAAAACTGATTTGGGTCCTAATTAGTTATATCTTTTCATATATTTGGCTAAATCGTACTCCTCTCCATTGGTGAAAACGCGTCCTCGCCCATCGATTCGTCTTCTTCGCGGCGCTGTTTTCCATCGATAAAAGCTACTTGTTGCCGTCGAGGGAATAAACTTCGCTTCGTTCTCGCGAGTAAACAGAGCAGATTTTCGCAATCGCCAAGATGGAATCGCGAGAATCGGGCACCGGGGTCGTTGACATACCGGCCGGTAACCGGCGTCACATCGTCATATTTCGACTTTACACTTTATTTATTACGCCGTGCAGTAGTCGCAATCGGGACTCGCACGTTACACACATACGATATTCTCCTTTTTATTAGCGTTAACGTTAGCGTTTCCGCGTTGCTCGAGATTCGAGATTCGTCCAGAGATGTTACTATGCGGAACGAATGCGTACATAGACTTTCGTTAATTACGATTATAGGTAATAGGTCGGTATAAATAAATAAGTATTAAAAAAACAAATATTTTTTTAATCTATTTTAATAACACGCTGGTATTGTTGCAGGAGAGTCTTCCCACCCCGGAATCTTCTGAGGGTAACGAGGAGGATCATTACGGTGGTAAGATATCCTTTGTAAATTAATTCTAATTATCTTCTAATTAGGGATGTTTTATTTATGTTAAACAATGATAACACACCCTATACAGGTTATATCGATTGCAACTTATATGTGCATTTATTTATTTAGTTATGCGAGGAATGTATAATTTACATGTTTTATAAATGTCTAGCAAAATTACCGATACCTATTGAGCAAGCTAGGTTGGTTTACATCGCATTGGGGAACCAAAATTAACCACAAATTTATTTAAACTCGCACTCGAATCGAATGTACACACCTATTAAGTAGTCGTTTGATTTTTAACGCGGATTGTATAAAGCAGATAAATCGATCGGACTAATTTACCGTAAAGTACGGCATTCACGCTCGAATGCTGCTCAACTTTTTGCCGTAACATTCGATAATTTAGTTAATTTCGTCGAGCGGTGTAAATCAACCCTGCTAATCGTGATATAATTGGCTGTGCAGGAACCGGGGCTATGAAAGACAGCGACAAGCTCAAGTTGATGCTATTGGCGTGGAACTACCACAATAATCAAGGTAACATAATACACATATCACATTTTACACGTACCTGTCATAAACATGTTTGATGCTATTTATAGTTTAAAATACGGAAATATTTACGGGGTGGGTCAGGATAACTTAATAAAGGGGTAGTGGCATTAGGTCGGACTTTAGAGAAGAGGGCGACTGAGGTAAGGGGAACGCAGAAGTCAAACTAGGTTGGCAACAAACACTACAAACAATGACAAAAGTGTCAAAAGTTGTGACAAAAGTGTCAAATTAGAACTGTTGGCTAACCTTTTTAATGAATTTGAATTCAAAAATGTTTCCTAGTTTGTGTTTTGAACATTTATAATTGCTTTTATACACCTTGCTCCATTTCCGATTGCAACATGGTCATTTCTATGAGTGGAACAAAGAAAGATTATTAAAATGACAGTTGTCAGAGTGAAAAGTTGCAATGACACAAATGTCATTCTTTCCTTTTCCTTTGTAAGTGTCGAATGGAAGTTGTCTTTATCGCACCCATGGCCTATACAGAGTGTCTATGTTCGAGCGCTGCAAACCGTAGAAAGAGAGAATCAGTCGAACTGTGGAGATGCGCGGCTTCGGCGCGATGAATCGGCGGACGAATGTAGCGCTCGAACATAGACACAGTGTATAATCTATGTTGCGATCAAAAATGGAGCGACCTGTATGTGCGTTGGGTGTTATTTGACTTTTATTTATAAACGAAGAGAAAGATATTGGTCTTTTATCGTTTACATGAACTATACAATATAAATTTTCGCGCCAAACTGACCGTTTGCGACTTTTCACACGTCAATAAAATGGAACTCTCTTCCACCTCGAAATGCCGTTACCTCCTTATTAAATTATCCTGGGGGTGGTCAGTTTTTACGTGAACTATTGGGTGTTTTTACCAAATTTTCACTAAATTAGTTACTTAAAATGTCTACTATTTCAATATTTCTGCATTTTTTTACAAAATATCGAGCAAACGAATTTACATTCAACCGGAAGTTGCAAAATCTCAAGTTCCGCTTGATTTTTTTTATGGGAGGAGCTAAAATTTATTAATGGAACTAGTCAAATTGGCGCTAATTTTATTGGAAATAAACTCTCTTTTAAATTAATATCTAGGTTCTAAATACAATTAAAATTTAATTCAATAAAAGTGGATTGTAGCGCGTTATGTAAATATGCAGTATGTAAATTCGCGTCGAAATCTTTGATCTAGTTCTAACACTTGCTTTGACCTTCCGCCATTTTTGCTCCTAAATAGGCAGAGGCGTATTCAAAATATTTATGTGCCCAAAAACAGAGGTGGATTAACTAAAATTATCAATATCATTTATACGATAAAAAATCCCAATAATTCACGTATGAGAAACAAAATTAAATTGCCTTACCAAAAAAATCCTCTAAGCATCTAAGCATAACAAAACTACATTACATCCATACAAGTTGTTGTTTTTGTTTTGTGTATAATGTTTTGTGTTTAGTTTTTATTATTTGTGATTTGTGAATAGTCTTTTTGTCTTATAGAAACAATAAAATTCACCAGATTACTCTCTGCTTATATTTTTTTAATTAATATACAAATTCAGATATCAAATTATGTAATTCTAGTAGTAGCAATTGTGCAATAAAACTGTAGGAAAAAAACACCAAAATAATGCATAATCGAATAAAACAGTTATTTATTCGGTGCATAAATAAAGTCAAGGCCGTCTGCTGAATTTTACGAGACCCATTGTATTTAAAAGCCGCTGAATAAATTCATGAATCGTGAATCATATGCTAGGGGGGCCAGTTCATGATTCCATCTTATTTAAATACAAAACCCATAAAATTTTCATGCCGCTATGAATCGTAGAAATTGCTGTTGCTCGCCGCCAAAATAAGTAAAATTCACGAACTCTTCAAGAAACGAGTTCATTAGATCCCTGTAATATCCAATCCAGTAAACCATAGCGATGTGAAAATTCCTCCTTTGTACCCCGATAACAGTACTTTATTTTTGCTTTTCTTCACCAACAGGAGGCAGAAATGGCAACAGTGATATCCCCGATTTGTCGTCAGTACCCGGCACAGAAGACATGGTAGGCCTGTGGGCGCAGTACCATTCGGCCTTAGGACTCGCCAAAGGAAAGGCTACTCCTCCCACGATCAGAGACAATTCCGTAAGTTTTTTTTAAATATTTTATTCACTTTATATTAGCGTGTAATTTCTTTGGAATTTTTTGGTTCTCTCCATCTTTACTAGTCAGTGAAAAAAGAAAGTATTTCCACGGATCGTTTTTTAATGTATTTGTCATTTCCACCGTTCTTCTAATTACCCTAAATACACCAACAGTTGCACTATCGATAATAACATAGTAAAATACGCGGAAAGTCCATCTAAAAGAACGTACCCCATTGTCGCAACCGAACGACTCGTTAATTATCGACCTTCGTGCGCTTCCTATTAAAACGCATCGCATAATTAACTTTCCGTGTAACACCGCGGCGTTTTCGGTCGCCTTAACGCCGTGAAAAACGACTTCCTCGTAGCGCAGCTGCGCCGAGAATTTCTAAAGTTTTTCCCGTTTCGGCGAGAGCGCCGTGTTTGGACTGTCTTCTGGCGACCTCGTCGCGCTTTTTTTCGCGGTATTACGTCCTTTTCGAACGTTCTCGGAACGGACTCGAGGCTCCGTTTGGAAGTGAAACCACCTGCAGGTGCCCCAGATGCTCTCCGAGCGGGACACTGCGTTTTACTGAAAATAATGTATAAAAAAAACCGGTTATCTGAATTTTCTCAAGGTTAAATCGATCATTTTTCTCGATATTTACAACAATCGTTCTACCTACCACAACACTTTCCACATTCCATGTACATCAATATAACTAAATTTCAGAGTCCCGTGAACGCCGAGACGGGCTCTGCCCACGACGAAACGAGTTCCAGCGGTAACAAAGAGGACGAAGACGACGATGACGATGAAAGTGATGATAAAATCGACACACAAACGCACGACCCCGAAAGACTGAAAGCATTCAACGTACGTTCGGCGATGCTAAATCGATTTTTTTGTTTGATAATCGTGTGTTTGCAGATGTTCGTAAGACTGTTCGTTGACGAAAACTTAGATAGGATGGTTCCTATTAGCAAGCAGCCCAAGGAGAAGATCCAGGCGATAATCGATTCCTGCACCAGGCAGTTTCCCGAGTTCGCGGAGAGGGCCAGGAAGAGAATACGAACGTACTTGAAGTCCTGCAGGCGGAATAAGAGGGCGAGGGATCCCAATTCGCCATGGGATGCTGTAGGTATCTTTTGATTTGCGCTTGGAGGAATCTAAGAATCGTTGTGATTTTTACAGACCAGACCTACGCCTGCTCATTTGACCTCCGTGCAAGCCGAGCAAATTTTGGCCACGGCTTGCGAGAACGAGAGCCATAACGCCAAAAGAATGAGATTGGGTTTGGAACCTGTCAGTCAACCCATGCCTGTGCTACCTGGAACCCAAGTAAGTATACATTTCTTCTATAGCTAGATAATTTATCAACATCGAGATAAGCATTCCGGTTTCGAGTACCACCAATTTACTCTCATTAGTACGATATAATTCATCGAATTAGCATCGAAAGTAACGCTAAATTTCGTTATGGAAGCGACGTTTATTTTGGGCGATAGGGGAAAGCCTTTACTGGTATTGAACGGATTCAAGTATTCTAAAAAGAGACTGTTGAGGAGGAACCAGGAAGTGTTTTGGACTTGTACGAAAAAGAGCTGCAACGCTAAAGTATTCACGACCAGAAAAGGTAATATTACAATATTGCGCAAACACGAACAACACAATCACGAAAGAGACTTGAACTTGGCGCAAGTTAGTGATAGTTTCAAACTCGATGATCTCGAGGAAGAACCGGACGAATTAATCAGCGACAATATAGAAACGCTGTCCACTCTTTCGCTCGAAGCTATTTTGCTGCCCAAAAATAGGAAAGAGGTATTATGTAGATTAGAGGAGCTACTACTAAATTAATGTTTGTTAAACGCAGTGTTTAAAGTTACAATAACTCTTCCAGCCGACGGACACGACCGCCCAGATCAACTCATCGAGGGGACTGGATTTCTCCAACAGCACCCCCGTGAAAATGGAGAGCGACGTGATCTCGACAGGGTTCTCGGCCACCAGCACGCCATCGTCAACTCCCAACTCGACCAAAGTCCTACCGGCTAGCCAAGACACCAAAGCAGCGAGTCTCAGGTAAGTTTCCGCGCCCGTCTTCCCATCGATTCCTCTCGTTGTTTATTTACGAAGAGCCGTAAAATGGAACTATCGATTGCAGCGGCGGCGTTTCGAACGCGACCGGCGTCCTGGGGACAATAGGGATGAACGGGATCGGGATAGCCAGTACGGCGAGCGCGGCGCCCACCGCCATGTACCGGCCCAACTTCACGCAGGCATTCCAAAGGTCGGGGCCGTATCCGCTGTTTCCGGGATCGACGCCTTTCGCCTCCGGAGGATTAATCACGAACGGTACGTTGTGCTGGGTTGTTGTTTTGTTCCCTTCGATTGTTCGGGATGTTCGATCGGATTGGCCGAATGTTTGCGGGTAGGGAAATGCAGAAATGGAGAAGTGGGGAAGTTTTTGTAGGTTTTCGGGACGGGGGGTTTTGGGATGTGGATGGGGAGAAAGTTTGTCAATGCAAATATGTGTTTTTTTTGGGGTTTTTGATTGGTATTTCTACAAAAAAATTGGAAGCGATTGTTCATTTTTACTTTTAATGGGCTTCATGATGGTATTATTTAATTTTCTTAGCGTTTCGTTTTTGCAGAACTATCATCAGCTTAATTTTTTCGTGCCAAAATCCTTATACTTTTCACCCTTATCCAATATAAAATATTTTTATGATCTAACAAATAAGCTGATTTTCTTCACTTTGAATTTTCCCTATTCATCGTTGAATTAATCTTATTCCTTCTTGACTTAATCTTATTCTTCCTTGAATTACCCTTATTTCTCCTTAAATTAACCTTTATTCTTCCTTGAATTACCCTTATTTCTCCTTGAATTACTTTTATTTCTACTCGAATTACTTTTATCCCTCCTATTCCTCATTGAACTACTTATATTGCTCCTATTCCTCATTGAACTAATTTTATTCCTCCTATTCCTTATTGAACTACTTATATTCCTCCTATTCCTCATTGAACTAATTTTATTCCTCTAATTCCTCATTGAACTAATTTTATTCCTTCTATTCCTCATTGAACTACTTATATTGCTCCTATTCCTCATTGAACTAATTTTATTCCTTCTATTCCTCATCGAATTACCCTTTTTCCTCACAACTCTTATTCCTCTCTCAATTTTTTCTCCTTGAATTAACCTTGTTCTATCTCAATTACCCTTATTCCTCTCTCAATTATCCTTATTCTCGCTTGTATTTCTCTTTGAACTGGCCATTAAATTAATCGTTCGTTGCAATAATTGCACATTGCAGGTCCTGCGGATTTGAGCATGAAACAGAAACCTCTGTTGAACCACAAATTGAGCGCTGGAGAAATAACGGCCGTGCGACAGCTAATAACGGGCTATCGCGAATCGGCGGCCTTTCTGCTGCGATCGGCCGACGAATTGGAGCAGCTCCTGATCCAGCAGCAGTAGTATTTATCGGGCGTTAGCGGCTTCAGTCCGTCGAAGAAGTTGTTCGAAACGAATTGAACGTTCGTTGGCGTGCGCGTCCCGTTCCGAACAGGTCGATTTTATCGTTAAACTGTACCTGAGCGTACCCCATGGTAGTTGTTTAAGGAGCAAATGAGCGCGAGAGACTCCTGAATGCGGAGGTTCCGCATGAATGACTTCTTTGTCTGCGAGATATGCCATAGAGCGAAGACGTGGTGGATCTTCGCGTGAACTTTCGATGTGTAATTAGAAGCTACTGAAAATCCATTTGAGTGGGAATTTTTTTAGTCATTTTTTTTAATGTAATTCGGTGAATATTTTTTTTGGTCTAGTCAATGGGAGGAAGTGTAATGGAATAATTCGAGAAATTAAGTAAATCAGGTTTCCTATCTATCAAAATATTGGATTTTTTTAACGAGTGATCGATGCGATATGATGGTGTTGAAAATTTGTGATATTTTAGTTATAAAATTAAATGGATTTTCATCGACTCGACGTTAATATTATTTATTTTTAACTGAATGTTGTATATGTGTATATAATCTACCAAAAAAGAAATGTATGTATTCTGCTGCTAGTTTTGCATATACTTCGTGAAAATTGCTAAAAAAATTGTACAAATCGAGTTTAAAAAAAGTGTAAAATATTTATTTATCGAAAATATGAAATTTAACGACTTTATTACAGGGGATATTTTATTATATTTGATATGATCGTTAAGAATTTATTACATTTCAGTGTACCAAAGAAGAAAAAAAAATTATTGTACATACTCCAAAAAATACATTTTTTTGTAAAAAAAATTGTTGATGTAGACGAATATTATGAGTTGATGAGAAAATTCGATGTGATGAGGATTGTACAGGGTGTTTTGACATGTGTTAGATTAATTTGAGCACTGTAGTACATGGGCTTTTCATGATATTTTTCGTTTACTTATTAGTCATTACATTTTAAAAAAGTATATCTAAATTGTATTTGTGCTTGACATTTGTTACATATACATACGAGTTTCTGTGGAATTTATCATTATTTTCGTCTCAATTAAACCGATTTAATTTGAAGATTAAAACGTTACTTTTAAACTACTCTGATCGTTTGCGAACTATTTTTAATTGAGACAAAAATCCGGAAATATGTTTTAACCAGCACTCTGTACATTTAACTTTTACTCAGACGAGATAAATTGTACCTATAATTTCCACAACCAGGATTCTCAAATACAAATAATCTTGTGATTATAACATATAGATGTGTAGATATCGACCGGAATATGTAACAAAAATTCCCGAGTAAATCTGTTACCTCTGCTACTATTCTGTACCTACAAAGTCGACATTCCGATTTTCGAACTGTCAAAAAATGTAATGTTTGATCTGATTCCACTGCCAGACTTATGTAATAATAAAATGTCCGTATTTAAAATTAGTTTTATTAACAATCTTTCCTCCTACAACGCTCTCACCATACATCAAAGAGCTTAAATAGAAAAAAAAGCAATTTAGAATTCATAACACAAACATACACCTATTTTTTATCTGTTGGTACTTCTTCCGAAGCCGGGTTAGCATTCCTGAAATTGGGGAACTGTTCCCACGGGGCGCTCAATTCAAACTTCCTGAATTCCTGGGCCAACTCTAAGGGCTCTACAACCACTCGTTTCTTCTCATCGTCATACCTAACTTCCACGTAACCGCTGAGAGGGAAATCTTTTCTGAATGGGTGCCCTTCGAAGCCGTAATCAGTGAGAATTCTCCTCAGATCCGGGTGGTTCGAGAAGAACACCCCATACATATCCCAGATTTCTCTTTCGTACCAATTGGCTGCTTTGTGCACATCGTTGCAGGATTCGATAGGGGTTAGCTCGTCCGTGTAGGTCTTCACCCTGATGCGAGAGTTGAATCTCACTGACAGAAGGTTGTAAATGATCTCGAACCTACGATAAATGAGAATGTGTTTCGGGGTTTCCACTAAAACCTAATAGGCGTACCTGTAAGGCCTGGCAGGAACGTCCATGCCTGCTATGTCCGATAAATTGGTGAACTGAGCGTTGTGGTGGTCTTTCAAGAACTGCAGCACCGGAACAACTCCTTCGGGTGCGATAAGTAGTTCTAATTCGTCTCCTGCTGTTATCTGGATTTTTTGGATGTATTTCGGCATGCATTCTGCGACGTATTTACCGAAATCTGCGAGCTGTCCTCGGGCTACTGGATTAGGTTTCCTGACAGTTGGTCTGGTTTCTTCCAGCTTCTCGACTTCAGTTGAAAATACTCTGCTCGCATTTTGAATTAACGGGCTATTTAACGGCCTGTTGCGGACCAGTTTTGACAAAATCGGCCTTAATAACATGTTAGATTTGTTAATTGTATTATTATTACCTAACACAAATTACTTCTGTCAAACGAAGTAAACATAACCTAACTTACACTTCGTTTTTTAAATGATTAATCCAACTTCAGGTTGTAAAAGGTAAACCTGATTGTGATTTTGTTAACTTAATGTTGGTAATAGTGAAGTTACTAATCTGTATATGTATAATCAGCTGTTCATCTGACAGATACGATTTATTTTGGACAAAGAGTTGTCAGAAATTAACGAAAGCGTAATTAAAAGTTATTGTTTTTATTGATGGTATATCTGTTTTGTATTTAATAACACTATGTTAACTTTGGAAGTCGTACCTGAACGTTCTTTGGGCTGTGAACAATGGGAATTTATACTTGGTAAGAACTGTCATTCGATTTCCATTGTTATTAAGAGGATATTTATGAAGAATTGTGTAATAATTTTTGTGCTAAATCGCATTTAATTTCTATTAATAATGTATTACGCACTTGAAGTCATGTTCAAATTTCAGTATTCCAGAATATTGATTTATTTGTTTTTTTATATGCAAGTAATTAAATCGTCGTTAAACTCTTTTTTTTATTCTTCTTTAGCTTTTTTTGGTTCTGTTTTAGGAATGCATTTTTCACAAGCTGTTGCCATTATCCAATCTCAAGTTGGAATCATCAAAGGTGTTCAAGTTCTTTACAGCGATTTGGTAAGAATCTACTAAAATAATTGTTTTCCACTTCATTTCTAAATAAATAAATCATTATTTCGTAATTAGGTTATTAGCTTGTAATGATTATCTACTGAAATTTCGTTGACATTGACCCCTTGTTTTGTTATTACAAATTGTAAACACAATATTTATGCGTTTTTTTAAGGTTACAGTTTGCTTGCATATGTATGGTTAAATTAAACAATTGATTTGTTAATTATTGTTAAAATTTCAGAAGCCTCTACAAGCTGATTTAGTTATTAATCTGCCACACGATGGGATAAGACTGTTTTTCGATCCCGTTTCTCAGAGACTCAAAATCATTGAAATATACGCAATGAAATCCGTTAAACTAAAATACTGGTAAGTTGTATTTACACTAAAATATCTTCGTTATAATTTAGAATTGTTTGTTTCAGTGGTTTAGAATTCAATTCGCCCGAAATACTACCTTCAATCGAACAAATCGAACATTCCTTCGGGGCGACCCACCCGGGCGTCTACGATTCCGAGAAACAATTGTTCATGTTGAATTTTCGCGGTCTTTCGTTCTACTTCCCGGTCGAATCGAAATTCCAATGTGGTATGTACCAATCCCCAATTAATCCGATGTTAATTAACCGTATATAAATTTTCAGGTAGTACCCACAATTTAGGTTCGCTTCAATTCCCAGCCGGCAATTCTCCTCTCGTATCGAGATTGGCCATTTACTGCGGATCCAGCGTGGACCAGTCCCACGCGCCAGAATTACCTCTTACTTGCTATCATGGCCAGTTATACCTCCAGAAAGCCACTGTGCTTCGGGGACGCTCTCATACCAAGGGTTTAAAGTTACATTTAATGGCAGGTAATTCATTTTCTGTACACTAATTTTGTAATTTTACAGCTCCTCATAACACTTTAAGTTTTTATATCAGACTTGTTGTACGTATTATGTTTATATTTTATATTTTTCTACGCAGGAATGTTACTTCCGTGGCCGAAACGAGGTAATTTTGAAACCCCAAAAACACCTTGTGCCATATTAACTCTACGTTTTTTATACTAAATGCTCTGATTGGTGTTTAATTGATGAATATCGATTGCAAGTTGAGTGGATTGTAGATGTTTCTGTGTTGGTTTTAGGCACGAATAATCGATTGATCGATTCGGTGAGGCAGGAATTCGAAAGGGAGCTGCTGCTCGGCCAATCGGCACAAGAAGTATCCACCGTTCTGGGGGCCCCTTCCAAGGTCTTCTACAAAAGCGAGGACAAAATGAGGATACACAGTCCGAATGCACATCGCAAAATCACTGCCATTAGGAGTGACTACTTCTTCAATTACTTCACCTTGGGCTTAGTGAGTAACAACCGGCACTTAATCATCGAAAAATATCAATTCCTTCTGTTCCACAGGACGTCCTGTTCGACGCCAACACGAATACGGCGAAGAAAATCGTGCTGCACACCAACTACCCGGGTCACTATAACTTCAACATGTACATGCGGTGCGAGTTCGAGCTCGTTCTCAAGGACGTGGACATCAACGCCTACACCCATTGGAACGATATCTGCGCCAAATTAACCCCCAGCGAACGGCCCGTGGTCTTGAACCGAGCCAGTTCGACCAACACCACGAATCCATTCGGCAGCACCCTCTGTTACGGCTATCAGGACATTATCTTCGAAGTAAGCCTTTGAAATACACCAATGCGGAAAAATATTAACATAAAATGTCTCTTGTAAGAGGCAAATTACTCTACTTTGATGGCCTTTGACACCTCGGATGTGCAGCTTAGTACTTGTATGTGTGCAGTTTACTAATATAGCGCTTAACTCACCACATTTTATAGAGAAACAGCATGTTTAAGAGCCATTGGATGATCCGAAATGAATCTATTTAAGACTGATAATGTTTGCAGGTGATGCCGAACCACTACATAGCTTCCCTGACGATGTACGGTGATGGGTTCCCGTTCGAAAAGGGGAGCGATGACGCGTGACAGAGGCTCTCCGCCACTTACCTCGTGCTCACCAACAGGTACTGGCATCCCCATCCCGTTTATAACGTTGCAAAAGCTTAACAAAAAAAAATAATAATAATAAACGCCCACTCCCCGCGTTGCTCGTCTCGATTCGGATATAGAACATGTAGCTTGGATAATTTGTAGGGCGGAGAGTGCGTCCTGAAAAAGCAAAAAAAAATTATGAGACTTGGGTTAGTTGTAATTGTATGTGATTATTTTTTGTATATATTTTAGTTTAATTTTTTTAACGTTGTAAGATTGAGCGTTGCGGATTTTTGCGGCGAATTTGTCTGCGTAGGAATTCGAAGAAATTTAATTTGTTTTAAAGTTGCTTCTCGGTGGGATAAATTCGTTGGATTGATCCGATGCTCGTTAGTTATTTTTGTTTCATTTTAGAAAATGTTGGTACCTGCAGGCCCGATTATCTGTTTGTTCTTGAACAATATTCTTGGTTTGTTCTAGTCACTTATTGAAATTTTCGTTCGTTTAAAAAACATCATTGTGTCATATATTTAATTGTTTTTTTTGTGTTAACGCCATAAAGTAATGACGCAGGTACATTAATCTCACGTTAGAATTGCTTTTATTTGAGATGAATAATTTAATTTTTTTGTAAATATAAAAATATTACTTTAAATGGTAAAAATACGTTCGTAGGATTCGCCGGTTCCAAGTCAGTTGATGGTTAATATATTAATATAGTTTAACTATTTAATATTATTAAATAATTAATATTTATTTGTATTGACTGACAAGTGGGGTTTCGTTTCTGATTTTTACGCGGTAAATTTGAAATACCTTCAGAGGTTTTGTTGGGTTTTGAATGAAATTCGTTTAGTAACAAATTGACGAGAAATTGAGCGTCAATTAAATAATAGCTAATTTATTTTATACGTATTAATAAACCGGTGTAATTAAATTAGTATAGATACGATTTTTTTTAATTTAATGGTTGGCATTAAATGCCTCATTGTAATATAGTTTTGAAAAAAGTAAATACCAAAAAAATATATAAAGAATTATTGCACTGAAAAATATACAAAAAATGAATGCAAAGTATGTTTTAAACATGTATTGTTGTCATCTGGCTTGGTTAACCGCGGAATTGATAATTTATTTAACGAAAAAATCATTGTAGATTTTAATATTATACTCACCGTGGCAATTAATCAGTATTTTTACTAAATTCAATTTCGAAAATTTATATCGTACTGTATCCTTTTCGGAAAGTGTTATGTATGCGAAAAAAATATATGATTGATTATTTCAATTACTTTGTAACTACTTAATATTTATTTTATTGTCAAAAAAAGGAATTTTTATTATTGTTTAAAACCACGTTTTTAATAAGCTGGTATATAAATTGTTGCGCATTTATAACGCATAAGTGTTTATATTTCAATTAAGGCATGTATTACATGCACTTTTACCTATACATATAACGTATATTACTGTATCTTTATATACTAGCACGTTGTTCATAACTTTACTTTTTCCCCGATTATAAATTCAATATAACTGATTCCAATCGCAATAACAGATACATAATTAGAAGAAAATAACATTCTATTAACATTCTAGAACAAACATTTATTGTTGTATTTAAAAATATTATCTAGAATACCATGTATCATTTCACAATTGAACATATTTTTTACGAAATAAATATCTTGCCACAGAATGGTAATTTCATTTTAATCTCCCATTTTAATCTCCAATTCCCGTTTGTTATTCACGTTTTTTTACAAAAACAAACTTTTTTATGTATTTATTTGTTTGGTTTCCAAATAAAAATCCATTAAAAATATACACATAAGTGCAAATTTGTCTCCAATATGGGTGCAACAAGGATAACTTTCATATTAGTCCCATATAAAGGTAAAAGAAAGTGATATTGTGTGATTGTGTCTCACTCTAACCACGGTTATCTTTGTTCAACTCATAAAATTGACCATATCGCAAACAAATTTGCACTTACCTGTATATTACATCTAATACAAATCAGTCTCAACACTTTATAAAATAATAGCGCTAATATGGTAGATCTTACAAATAAAAAAAATGCAGTGTACAAATTATAAATTGGTTACCCTATTGCTCGAATATTAGAGAGAAACTAAAACTATTTTAGAGCGTACTGGAATGCCCATAAAACAAGGCCAATTACAAAAAAATACCAATTCTGCACCTCCCAGAATTCCTCATTAATACACCAAACTCCCCATTCTAACGACCAACATGGTGGTGCTTCAAGCACGCCCCGTTCGCGGGAAGCGAAGTGGACTGAGTATTCAAAGGAACCGAATCGATTCTCTTATGGCAATCCAAGCTCCTCGACCGCTTGCACCTCGACATGATCTTCATGAAATCGTTCCTGTACTGCGCCGTCATCACAGCGTACAAGTACGGATTGGCGCAGGCGTTCAACGGGTAGAAAAACACCAGCAGTATCTTCGATTTCGTGACGCCTATCAGCGGATAACCGGCCAGCGCGGTGAGCCCGAAGAACGCCACCGGCGCCACCGTGGCGAAGTCCACCAGGATCAGCAGGGACATCTTCTTGGCTATGGTCATTTCCCCTTTGGTGGAGGCGCGCCTGGTCTCCTGCCCCAGGCTCAGGTAGATTTGTATGTAGCAGAACACGATGACGGCGAACGCTGATCCGTTTATGAAGATCACCGCGTAGAGGTAGATTTTGTCCACTATGGATTGAGTCTCCATCGGCAGGCATATGCTGAAATCGCAACTCGAAATAAGGGTGAATAATAGAAATGATTTTTTTTACCTGGTGCTGCTGTAGTTACTGATTCCTAATACCGGCAATATCGCTATTAACAGCGAATATATCCAACCACCGAGAAGAATATACATAGCGCATTTCAAAGTGATCCTCTTCGTTAAATGTATAGCGTAAGTTATAGCAAACCATCTCTCCAGAGTTATAATAGTCAAAGTGTAAATGGATAAGTGGCTGGAGAATACAGTCAAAAATCCAGCTATTTGGCATCCAATACCTTCAAAAAAAAACATTAACTAGTTAAAATTTACAAAAAGCGATTAATTAATCACCGTATTGCCAATTGAAGGCGAAATTGAAGTACTCCCCCATCGAGTGCACGTCCATGGAGGCGATCAAAAGCAGATACAGCCCCATGCAGAAATCCGCGAAGGCCAAATTGCAGATCAGAAATCTGGACACGTTGAATTCCGATCGACTGAACGCGAACACTACTATAACAGCTAAATTTCCCAGTATAGCTAGAACTATCACGCACCACACTGAGATCCTCAACCAGGGCAAACCCATGATGTCCTCGCAAGGATTCAGCGCGTCCGATTGCGGGAAACATTCCACTTCGGGAATGCTGCAACAGGAACTGTTAGTAATCGATAAAAATATTACAGAAGTTACTTTACCGAAAGACGATTTTACCGCAGTAAGTACTCAAATGGCTGTTGTTGAATTTCTTCACGTCCGAGTGGAAGAACCCTTGGTCTTCTTCGACATCATCATTCAGGTCCACGAACATGGATTCCTCTTCTTTAACGACCTTCTCTCCTTGTATGGGACTCAATTTATCCATGAAGATTTTATTCGGAGAGTCTAGATACTCTGCGGAGTCGATGAAACCGCGCCTGGAATGTTCTGGATTGCAATTACGAGCTTGCGTTTTCGTATGAGTACTTACTGGGATAGGTTTATGCTTCTCCTTTTGCGGGAAATCAGGATGGATCCGGATTTGGCGATGTCCATGCACATTTTCTTCATGTTTTCCTCGAATTGGGCATGTCTTTCTGGATTGTGCTGTGCGGGGTACTGGAAAGCGCAGCAGTGGAAAGAATGGGTCAACTTTGCCGTCTTCAAATTCTGGAAAATTACTCAATATAAATGATATTTTATGAAGTTATTTGGTCAGTGCGTTGCTTGTGTTTAGGAAAACTTTCAAATACCGATACCTAGGTACTAACCCCCAAATCGTAAATGCTAGGCACAGTTTTCATCGATGTGGTCTCCTCAATTTTCAGGATTTCCAGGTCCTTTAATCCATCGGTTGGTAGGGACTCAATGGCTGTTTGTGATAAATCCCTTGGGATTGAAAACAATACAAGAAATTAAGCGCATTAATCATTGCATGAAATAAACTTACAACAGCCTCAAACTGTTCAAACCGCTGAAAGATTTCTCGTGTAAATTTTTCAGTCGAAAATTCGAATGCATCTGCCTGAAATACCTCATTTATAATCTAATTTTTATTTGTTGTTTTTGAACTTACAATTCCGATATTTGGGACCCGTTGAAAGCGTATTCTTCTACAGTATGAAGAGGATTGAAGTTGATAGTGCTGCAATTAAAATATCGCGCATTTTTTAATCAAATATTGGGAAAATCTGTGAAAAACTTACACTTGTTGCGCTGACACTTTTATCGAATTGGAGGACAATTTTTGGATGTTGTTGTGATCTAAATCTCTGGAAGATTCAGTGATTATATAATCATGAATGTGAGTTTATTTAAACTTACAACAAAAATAATATTCTTTCTTGCGGAAGATGATCTAATTCCGGCACTTCAAATAATTGCGTCCAAACAATCCTCCTAAAATTATTTTATCAACGACTAATTTAAGAAAAATATATCTACATACAAACTGGAAAACGAATTAGAAGTTACCCCTTTAAGTAAACCAGGCAGGAACATAATTTGAGGAGCATAAGAAATGTACCTGGAAAATAAAATAAAATAACTAATATCTACCATCGCTAAAATTTACTCACAAAGTTCTTAAATTCGGTATATTTGCGAAAGCTCCGTCTTCGATAACGCGCAGAGAAGGTAAATTCGAAAGCGTCCTGAAATTACAAATTTACTATAATAATAAAGACTCCGGCTGAAATTGATTAAATCTTTATCTTCTTTTAATAGGAACTCATGTTGTATTGATGAAAACGGCCGAACTTACACGTCCATAAGCTCATCTCTGTAAGGATCTAATGAATTCCTGGCGATATAGCGAATGGGGCAATCGGTTACGCTCAATTTCGTCATGTTCCTCGTCAAATTATTCGGTATTTCGATCAAATTCTTTCCGAAGCAATGCACATTCGAGCGCTCCCCGTAAATCGATTCGCATCGCATCGGAAGTTCGATGGAAAATGGGTGAGAATACGGGACGTTTAGCGTGCAACACGCGTGAATGTTGAGGCAAATGGTCAGCAGAAAGTGGCATTTTAAGTTGGGCATTGTCTGTAATAAAATCCTGACGTTAATGGGATATTATTTTAGCGAATTATATTAGCAATAAAATCGAGAGAATCCAGAGAAAAAGTTGTACATCTGTACGTTTCGACTACTATAAAGTTTATTGATTCTCGTAAAAATAGCTGCACTTCATGTCGAGTATACATATATTATTTTTACGAGTTCTTTCTACAAGCGACCGATTAATCGATTTGGAGGAAACTAATCTCGAGAAATGAGGAATTCCAATTAATTAGCCGTTTATCGATTTATCTGCGATGTTTCTCCGCTACTCGCTTGATAATGGGATTTTCGGAAAAAATCCAGATATTAAAAATAATAACACTTTTTAGTTCATTTAAGTTAATCCTGACAAAAACCATTAAAATCCACTAAAATTCATCCATTCAAAGTTAATGGATTGTAATTAAAAATCGATAATTCAATGTATCGACCAATTTAATTTCGGATACGAATACCACGGAATTAGGTAAATTTATTTACATTAATTCGTGTACATTTTCGTTCATCTTCCAATTTCATTGTATTAAAATCGTACGATTGAAAGGTTAATTAACCTGTTGCGTATTAATAGAACAATTCTTGATTGATAATAGTTTATTCAAGATGTCGTTAACGTGGTTAACGCTACTCTTACTAATTTACAGTGATTGTGGTTCCGGTGAAAACAGCGAATTGCTAAGCTTAGCTGTATTATACCGACACGGGAACAGATCGCCCCGTATAATATACAAAAACGACATTCACAGGGAAAAAATCCCGAAATTATGGCCGGAAGGTTTGGGGCAATTGACCAACATCGGCAAACGACAAGCGTACGACTTGGGCCGGTGGTATCGCGAGAAATACGCGGATTTCATCCCGCGGAAATACCACAAAAACTTCGTGAGGGTGCTCTCCTCGGACAGGGACAGGTGCCTGATGTCCGCCGCTTGTAACCTAGCAGGTCTGTTCCCGCCCGAAGGGGTGCAAGTCTGGAACGATCAATTGCCCTGGCAACCGGTGCCCATTCACACGATTCCTTCCGATCGAGACGGGATGATCCAGCAGAGCGACAGGCGCTGCAGGAAGCATGACAGGCTCATGGGCGAGCTGGTGCGATCGGAGAACGTCCAGAAGTTTCTCAGATCGAAAAAGAGGCTCTTTGAATACTTGTCTAATCATACGGGGGAGGATCTACGAGTACCCGAAGATGTGAATCCTGTACACGATTTGTTGTTTATACAGGATTTCCTGAATTTGACTCTGCCTGAGTGGACTAAAGGTGTATTCCCGCAGGAAACTTCGGAAATGCTTGTTATGGGTTTCGCTTTATCGTCAAATACTACGGAGTTGGGTAAGAATTGATTTTTTTCATCAGTTTACAAAGTTGTCTAGTCCTAATCAATTAACTTTTGCTATATTTCAGGCAGGTTAAAATCCGGTCTGGTTCTCGACTACATCACGACGTTCTTCGAGGACTACCTGAAGAACCCGCAGTCCACGCAGAAATTCCTGATGCTCTCGGGCCATGATAGCACCATGTCCACTTTGATGAATGTCCTGGGCGTATTCGACTGGACCTGGCCCGACTACTCCTCCACTTTGGTGTTCGAATTGCGCAGGAAACACGGAAATGTGTTTTTGAGGATTTATTTTAAAGATAGTAAGAGAGTTGGGAAGTTATGTTATGAGTTTGTTTGATTTTTTTAATTTTTCAGGTAAAAAAATACGGAATCTGAAACTGCCGCGGTGTTCTACGGATTGTAATTTCGAGGAATTCAAGCGAATAACTAAAGATTACCGGATAAATGATGAAGAATGGGTGAAAGAATGCGCCAGTGGCTAAATAAATATTAATATTAAATACTGGTGTCTATTATTGTTTGTTTTACTTTCTATATTGATTTAGAGCATCCTGCACTTGACGATACAAAAATAGAAGACCAGATAAAATCCAAACCAACTACAAAAAAACACACTTTACGAAAATGACTCGATTATTAGTTTGATTTTCTGACTAAAAATTCATAGAAACACAATTACGATCGATTATTTATTTATTAACGAAATTTTCCTTTCGTGACGATATCTACATATCTACATAATTGCGGCTCGTTCACTCCGATTTTTAAAGCGTTTCTCGATCGATTGTCGTTTATCGTCAATCAAAATACGATTTTTATCAATCGGCGCCAACAACAAAAGACTTTGCACGTGCTCAATACATTTCAATATTATTCCACTTGATTGCCATTAAAAACGACTCAGGTTCGATGTTTGCGATTGTGACAGTGTTTCAATTCCGAATCGTTATTTTCTATAAATAATAAATCGTTCGAATTCGCTGCGAATTCGTGCGAAGAATGCCGCATTATTAAAAATCTACTCTGATTAATGAGCGTTAATTACCGAAGAAGTTAATTTGTGCAAATAATTCGCTAATATTTTTTGTTGAAAGTTGGATATTAAAAATTGCACTTTTTTGGAGTTTTCTTGGTAAATAAATTTATTTGATGAACATATCGCGTGAATTTCGGGCTTCCAACGGGATAATTGCGAATTTCTTATACATAAATAACCATCGTTTACCGTTCCATTTAGATACTGTTCTATTAATTTCGAAAATCATATGATTAAACATTCTACGTAGCGATATTTCTGTATATTTGGAGTGTAATAAAGTCGAACAGTTTTCCTTTTTCGAATGAATTTTGTGTAATATCGCCGAGAAAAGTGCCGAGAAACAAACGGAAATTTGATCGATTGGAAAAACGAAAATTTGTGAAAATCACTCGTTATTTGTAGCAATTTTGCGGTAAATGTGGTTTGAAAATAACGATTTATCACCCGAGTAAATATTATAAATAATTATATGTTCGCAGCCAAGTAATAATTAAATAAGCGCAGTCAATTGAATGAAAACAGATTTTTAATAGCACGGAAATTTATGCAATGTACTAGATAACGGAAAAATCTACCTCAGAAGTTATTAAATTTTCTCGATTCCTCGAAATCGATCCAATTACAATTAAAAGTACATACAAACAAATTGAAGCGTTAAGGGGATTGTAATTTATGAAGATATATTTCACTATTTACAAGTAAAACAAATCTCACACTACCTGTGTATTTATCTAAACCGATTAGATAATAACATGCTGTTAGCATACTGATCTCGATTTAATTACATTTTTCGCTAATAAATTTCAGGCGAACGAAATTTAAAAATAAATTACAACATTTATTGACTTTCATTATCAAGAGGATTTCTCTGATTACCCAATTAAAATTTGCATGTATATTTTTGTAATAAAATCCAAACCAAGGTGTGTTTAATAACACCGAAAAATGTTGCAATGACATTGCATTATTTGTACAAAAATTTTTATTATTATTGTCCATATAAACAAATTCTAAAAGGACATTTTAGTAACAGCTAGAGAAAATTATTACCGAGGAATTAATGAAAAAAAAAATATTTTATAAGACTTACCAATTCGCTTTCGAACAAAAAAAATCGAAGAGAAGCACCGTATTTCACTACAACTTCTCGCCAGAAGACTCTAATTCCCTGAATTATCATCTATCGTTCGATGAGGAAAAATATTGTGCTAATTCATTAGGAGGCTGCGCTTCGACGCGTAGAATTACACCCGTCTTTCGACGTACTGTGGCGATGTAGAAATAATACATTTGCGAATTATGAATTATCAGGAAATATCTGATGTATATCTACACCTACATGACGAGGGAACAGAGAAAAGGGTTTCGACAGAAGTGGAACGAGCGTTACAATTCACCCATAGAAATGCCTCTAGGATATACAGGATCGTTACTAATTGTTTGTTGTAAATGCAGCAGGACAATTCTTAGATAATTTTGTGTAAATCGGGGTCATAAAGGACTCCTTAGCAAGGAGAAATTGTTAAAAATGTAGTTAAAAATCACCCGAAGGTATAGTTGGAAGACGCACCAAAAATCTGCAAAATAAACTTTTAAATACAACATTTTAACTAAAGTAAAATGAGTTAGTAAATGGTGAATTGTTAAAGAGTGAATTATTTAAGGGTCAATGGTAAAGAGTTGGTTATTTAATTGTGAATTAGTAAAGGGTGAATTATAAAAGCGTGGATTAGTAAAGAGTGAATTTTTAAAGGGTAAAGTAGTAAAGAGTGAGTTATTAAAGGGTGAATTAGTAAAGGGTGAATTATATAATTAAAGGGTGAAGTAGTAAAGAGTAGGTTGTTTAAGAGGGAATTAGCAAACGGTGAATTATTAAAGCGTGGATTAGTAAAGAGTGAATTATTAAAGTGTGAATTAGTAAAGGGAAAATAACTAAGAAATGTCCGTAAAAGTGGAACTTGTTGGTTGATATATCGGTGAAATTGTGCGCAATAGTCCATATCATTATTGTCACTTTTACTTTTGTTTAAAAACTACTGCCGGTTTCTACCAATTTCATGGATGAGGAAATAAAGTCCTATTGTTCGATCCGCCGTTGATTTTTTCGGTAAATACCGGGATATAAATAGCGAGTTCTTCAGTTCGTTTTGAGTTACGAAATTCGGCGAGCACACGAAAATGGTTTACAAAATCTCGAAGGTGAGTCGAATTGTGTAAATTGACGAAAATATTTTGATCATTTCGCATAATCGCATAAACAAATAGCGGGGATTTTTGGTATGCGGGTTTTGTTTATTCACCGCAAATACGTTTTTTTTTGTGAATTATTGGTATTTTTTTCTTGCAGATATTGGCGGCTTTGGTCATTTTTAATGTCATTTTCACGAGTATGGCTTTTCCAACGCATGGAGAGGATCTCGAAGCTGCTGCCTCGGATCATGGTAATGAATTTCATTTTAATTTTTACTCTGCTCTACTCTACTCTATTTATTATACTCCACTTCACACTACTATACTCTACTCCTACGCCCTTTTTGGAATAATACTACAATTTTTTTAATGGAGTTACAGACTGCATTTTTCCACGAACATTTAATCTTTTGATTTAATATGAATATTTTTGCTTCACAGAACACCATGGAAGAGTCCAAATAAAAGTCTACCGAGGGCCTTCTGAGCATAGCGGTCACGATTATTTCGCCCCATGGGGATATTGGGTGAAACAACCCGCTGACCATTAGAAACACCAAAGACTTTAGTTCCTGTTAATCCTATTTTATAGTGTTTTGAATATATTTTTTTATATTATTACGGAAATATTGCGTTTCATTTTTGACGAGCGTCCAGTAATGTATAGCAAATAATCGCTTGTCTTACGTTAATTTACAAAGAAATGGGTTGATGAATGACAACTGTTTGTTTAATATAGATTAACACGTTGTCAGTAGAGTGCTTTATGATGGAACAATGTTTTCCCAACCTTTTTCTCCCCCCGGCAACTCATGAAAACCGATACGTCAGCACAGGACCGTATTCAGGAAATCGACGAAACAATCGCTCGAGTTATATCAATGAATAAATCCTTTATTAAACACAAACAGATATTTAGAATAAAAATAATATATTACATTAGAATCTTCGAAAAATTGCGCCTTTTAAAATACTTACTTACATTTAAACCTTAAAAATTTAACAATTCACATTTGCTGCGTCGAATTCCCGTTCCACGTGTTGTTCTCATCCTCACTATCGGTCGCATCGGACAATCTGTGGATGTTCCCTTGACGCCTCACCACCGAACTCCCATCACTACTCTTCTTCTTCGATTGAGGAAACCTAAAAAAATTTAACGAAATCAAAAAACCCGCATCGAATCGTAAATAACCAACCAACCTCCGCGATTCCATGGGTTCGTCAGGCGGCGGCCTTTTCTGCGCCTTCTGAGGCTGCGCAGCCACCGGCTGTCCGAACATCAAAGACCTCAGGTAATTGAAGATGCCCAAAATCGGCGCCAAAAGCCCGTACATCAAGCTGGTCAAGAACCCGTTGGAATTCGGGACAACGGGCCCGCTGTGAGGCAAAACGAGCACCACGGCCGTAGGGCTCAATTGAAGATCCACCAGCGTTTGCGAATGATCGTTATCAGTGAACTCCCTTCGCGGAAACATTGTAGATAACGTAAACTCGCTGAACGGTAACTGTAAACTCGTCTTGATGTAGAAAACAACGGTCTCGAGCGTATCGGAATTCTGAAATTCGTGCGTCGTCGACGAGCCGTCGGGCAGTTTGAATTGCAGCCGGGTGATGTTCGACGGGGGCTTCGGGGGCGATTGGGAGACCGGCTTGGCGGGCTCGGCGGCCGGTTGGGGTTGGATCTGGGACCTCGATTGCCGTTCGGCGCGGTCTTGGGCTATTTGGGCCAGCACGCGGTCCCGGGCCTGCTTGTTCTCGCGCTTCTCGCGCTCCCTCTCCTCCATCATCTGCTTCAGTTCCTGGTCCTCCTGCCATTTCTTCAGCTGCTGCGCGTTCTGGCCCATTTTGCGGCGGTCGATCTCCTTCTGTCGCTCTTTCTGCAAGTCGAAAGGGAAACGTTGCAAACGTCAAAATAGACAAAAAAAAAAATAAATAAATGATCGATATGCCAGAATCAGTTGGGTAGAGTTCTATTTTTTACGTAAAATACAGATTCCTAACCTCTTTTTCTTCTTGTTCTTTTTGCTGCCTCTTCAATTCCAGCAATTCTTTGGCTCTTTCGACTTTCTCTTCTACTGATAGTTCGTTCGATTTATCATCTTCGGGAGTATTAGTTTCTTCTTTATTAGAACTATGTTGTTGTTGTTGTTGTTGGATGTTTTCTTGTTCTCGATTCAATGAATCTTCGCCTGTTTCCACATTTGGGCTATTATTTTCGACGATTTTACATACATCACCATCACAGACAACTTTAGAAGAGCCAGAAGCCCCGGTTTCGCTCTTAATGAAATTTTCTGATGCTACAGAAGCTAAAAAACATATTTTTTTTAGTCATAATTAAAGTGAATCATTAAATTGCATTCCAATAATTTACCTGATGTGGCATTAGTGGATTGTAGGTTAATTCCCGCGATTGACAAGGAATCATCGATTTTTTTGCATATATTTTCTACTTTATCTTTGCTGGTAATAATCTCAATAGGAACGCCATTTTTACCAATAAAATATACAGAGGGAATAGAAGGTTCCTTATCTTTAGGTGTTGTTAAGAAAAATGTAGGCAGATACCGGTTTTTTTGAATAATTAAAATGCAAAAACTCGTTTCAGTAAAAAATACAAGTAGATATTTTAAAAAGGATACAGATTTCACTGAATTGTAAATGTTCAACGGACCCTCCTTGTAATTTTACGGCTACAAAACAATCTTGCTCTAATTTCCTGCCTAGCTCCCCATTATCTATCAGATCGGTGATTTTTTTCGATGTCTCATCGGTGCCTAAAACATGACACAAAAAAAATTATGCCAAAAACGGTTTAGAACCCAGTCGACATACTTTACCTTCTATGTAGACTACGAAAACGGCTCCTATTGATTTCGAATGCGTAATAGCTTCGGCGATTCCTCCTGAATACCACTTCATTTTTTTAAATCAAATTCGATTTTTGCTAATTGTAATATCTTTAATATTGCTTACGCACTAAACACATTCACAAAATTGAACAAACTAAAATCCAAATGCCGAAAATGTCACTGTCACTGTCAATGACTGTCAGTGTATTGTCAACGTCAATCAGCACAATGCATCCACTACAAAATTATAAATATTAAATAAAAGAATAAAAGGTAAAATTGACATATTAAGTAGGAAAATTGACTTTTTATATTTGTTTAATTTTTATAATAGTTTATTAATGAGTTAATTTTGTTGAAATAAGTTTCATAAGAGAAAAAACTCTTCATTTTTAAATATGGCCTACATAGTTGTTTGAATTGCGCCAGGTTTCATTTCTAATTTGGTAGGCATTGGCAGACTTGCAATTTGTTTTGTTGACAAACTTGACAGTGACATTCAAGACCGTTCTTTTTTGAATTTATGTGTGCTGTTATTAAAAGGTAAGGAAAGTTTAATTCGGTTTTCTACAAACAAATAATCAGGAGGACGGTTCGTTCGATTGGATAAATGCCACTGGCGAAGAGAAAAGTATCCAAGAAAGCGAAATTGAAGAATCAAAAAAATGACAAAAACAAGAAAAAACCGAGAGAACCGAGTCCCCACCAAAACGCTCTCGTCGCCGCTGAGAATCCGGGAATTTACAGCACACCAGTTAGAAAACGACGGCTCAATCGCGAGACCAACACTTCCAATAAATCCATGAACATAACTAATCTCAATATATTATTTGATTCAGGTACTTTATACATACACCCTGCACAATTTATAATTTACTACTAAATATTTTGTAGAATTCATTTACAATGCAGAATCAAACAACGATGTTTTCATCGATAAAACGAATTCGACAAGAAAACGATCCTTGTCCAGTATCTCAAAATTTAGCTCTATTCAAGGGGAACCGTTCCGGAAACACCAATGCACTCAAACAGCAGACGAAAACGAACTAATCGTAACCATCCACAACGAAGAGACGCCCAAATGCGGCGACGTGTATCGAATGAAGAAAACCGATCTGGAGAAACCCATGCACGAATCGAGGCACAAATTAAACGGCAACATATTCAGAAGGGACGTGAACATTAACCCTTACTTGAGAAACATAGAGGACAATATCGGCGACGGTAGCTACACGGAAGCCTCGTTTTTTTGCCCTAATTTGTTTCGACAATATTCCTCAACTCCTATTCCAACGATAGGAAGTCACAGAGGTTTGGTTGTAAGCCCGAAATCGCCCAAATTTAACGCTAGTATTAATTTAACGACTACTTCAGGGGATAAGGTAACTTGAAATTTACTCGTTTATATCACACACTTTAACTTGTTGTTTTAGCTATTGAGGAAAAGCTCCAGCTTGAGAAGTTTGAAGCATTCGATCAACATTTCCACGAGGAGGAAAATTATTAGGTACTCGTCTAAGGAGCAGGAGAAGAAGGACCAATACAAGTGCAACAATGCGAACTGCATTAATAATTCCTCGATAAACGAATTGCTCGAAAGCCACGGGACCGGATGCTATCAAAATATTTTCTCCAAAATTAAGAGCTATTTCAAACTCACTAACTGGACGGGGAAAGTTGTGAACGTTTGTTTCCATTTGGGAGTCCATCTAAAAAACGTATGTGTTTTATTACAAGTCTCTTTAGAAGTTAATATTTGAATTTTTAGACTCTAAGTTCGATATATAACGCTCAAAACAACGCTTCACGACACGATTATTTGATAACGTGCGATAAATGCAAACAGAACGAGGAGCAAATTTCGAAGCTATCATTAAAGGTAGCGGAGATCGAAAATACCAATAAAAAAAATTTCGAACAGCTAAACGAGGAATTGAAGAAGGTAACAATCGATTCGAATCGATTCCATCGCACGATTTACACGTTATTTTCCAGATCAAAGACGATTTGCACCAATTAGCGAACGTAAAAATCGAAATGGATTGCTTCAAAGAAGAATTGGAATTGATCAAAAGCAAATCCTCGGCGCGTGTCGTTCCCGCTCCGCCTCCACCGCCTCCGCCACCCCCGATGCCCTCGTTTATACCGCCGCCGCCGCCGCCTCCGATGTTCAACGCGACCCCATCCGATTCGAGCAAGCTGAAAATCTCGAAGAAGAAGCACAACATGGACGACAAGGAGAACAGCCGGCCGGTTATATCGCTCGAAGATATATTAAAAGTGAAATTGAAGAAAACCGTAAATACTAGCGTGCTTACTACGATGTCTTTCTACATCTTGCGATGTTTCAGAGCCACTCGAATTCGTACCAGGCGACTCCGACTTCTCGGCCCAACAACCAGCCGGCCGTTTCGTTGGAGATGCTGCGGCAGGTGAAGCTGAAGCCCTCGAACGGTTCGAGGCGATCGGAGGGCGATACGTTGGGGCTCGACGTGCCGTTGAGCCCGACTTCGAACTTGTGCCGGTTGCTGAAGAGCGAGATGAGCGCCGGTAGACGGTTGAAGCGGTTGCGTAAGATCGGCGGTTTAAATTGCGATTCTGTTTATAGGAGAAGGCTCGACGATCGAAGGGAAAGAGAGTACGATTGATGTCGATGAGGATTGTTGCGAGCGCGAACGAGTTGTAATTTGTTACAGCGATTGAATTTAATCGAGAAATGTGATGAGACATGTTTAGCGGTCGAAATTTAAGTCGCCATTTGTGAAACTACGAAGTAGTTTTTTGTATATTATTGGTATTTCGAATTTTACACGAGTATAATAACATCTATGACAAATTTACGATTTATTGTATCAAATTCTGTATTTTTACCTTTTTTTTTATTTATTTACAAGTAAAAAATTTATTTACGTACTGATTAACATACCGAATATGATACGATTAATCTAGATTAAATTATATCTATTTTTATTTATATATTATATGAATTGTTCCCTATTTTTATTAAAAAAATCGTTTAATATTTTATATATGTTTTATGCAATTAAAGATCAAGAATCTATTCCTTTTGTCAAATCGTAGGAACGTATAAATGGAAATTAATAGTAAAATTTTGCAAAAAGAATTATAATATACATACATATATTGTGATATTTTTCAATAAAAAAATACATATTTTTATGAACGGAAGACACTTTTTACTTATACATTTTATGGCTTTCTATAAAAAATATCTGCGGATTCGACTCTGTGAAAATAAATAGTCGTTAAGAAAAAAATATTTTTATTCTAGGTTCTTATAAATTTGAATGTATTGAACGATACTATGAGTAAAAATAAATCAGAAGTTTGTAACCAACATTTTTTAGGAGATTGCACGTATTTTACAAACTAATCAGTCTAATAACCAGCCTTTTATATTATTTTTAAATGGCTTAACGTCCCTTTATAGAAAATAGCACGCCTATTAATTTCTACAAATTAATATTCATCTTAAAAATAATGAATAAAATAAAAGACCGGCGCTAAATTTAGGAAACTCAACAAAAACATAAAAAACAATTCTTATACCTAAGTTATAAAATTTACATAAGTCAAAATTCGTTTGTTCATCAAGAATAAATCAGAAATAGAAAAAAAAATGAAAATAGTTAACAAATATAAAATATACACGTTTTCTGTACAAAATTTGCGTTCACAGAACACAATATTAATATCACGGTTTTTCTCTATAATAAATACTGTTCTTTCTTCATTGGCATTTAACATAATACGTTATCAACTCCAACAAATAATACACACAACTCTAGATTCCCCACCTAAGATCTCGAATAGTACGAAGGCAACTATTTCGGAACATGATTAACCGGTTTCAAGTTATTCAGCGGCCTCGGTATGCTCCTGATAGGCCCCAACGTAATCATCGTAGTGGCCCCGATGTTAGCCAAATTCGGCGGATTCCTGCTATTTATAACGGGCACCACGAACGTACCGTCGGCCCCTTGCGACGGCAACGGTATGTAATTCGTAATCCCCATAGCCGCCATCCTCTGCATAACTCCCGCCGTCTTCAAATTGATCACCGGTATCCCCAGATCCGCCACGGTGTTGGTAGTCTTGTGGTACGTTTGCCTGTGCTTCATGAGCCCCGCCGAATTGGGATACTGGGCCGGGCACAGATCGCAGCGAAACGGCAGCCCCTGCCTTTGGGGCTTCTGCGGCGAGTTGAGGGATTGGTGTTGGCCGGGCGCGTCTTCCGTCAAGTCCACCGTAGGTAATGAGTCTTGCGAGGCATTCTAAAAGCGAATTTATTAGATACTTTGTATGGTTGCTTATGAAACGTACCTTGGTGGTATTTCCGTTACTTTTGGCCGCTGGGATGATACTAACGGCTCCGTTTAGGTTGAGGGAGGATGTGATTGAAGGATTCGTTTTATGCACCGGTTCTTTTTCTTTCGGTTTCGCTGTTGCCGTGACCGTAATACCTCTAGTAGCTAAGATGTTAGCTACAGCTTTAGCGTCGGATTTTTTGGGTTGCTCCACCGGTTTAGGAACGGGATTCCTCACGCTCAATGTTATCGAATCCGATAGATGCATAATACTACTTTCGGCTGAATCACAAGTACCACCCTACAAAAACCAATGGAAATTAATTGAATAAATCGCTTAGGTACAAGGAGTCTGTACCTGCACGCTTTCGATTTGAGGCAATCCCCCGTCGGTGTTCTTCGGCTGCATACAAATCACCTGGCAATCCTCGTCGTCTTTATCGGGCGTGAGCAAATCGAAGCGCTTCTTCTTCGCCTGCAACTGCTGCATTTGCTCGGGCGATCGTTTGACTACAGCCTGTGGGCGAATCCCGTTTTGCGGCACGCCCATCCTGGGCCTCACCGATCGCACCGCCGTCATTCCCATGGCCCCTCTGGGCCTCACCATCGGGGCCCTGGGCCGCGCGATCGGCTGTCGCTGCACGACGGGCTGTCGCGGCCCGTTGGGCATCCGATTGCCCTGCACCGGCTGCCTGGGCGCCATCTGCCTGGGCGGCATCGGCTGGCGATACGCGGCGCCCGGTTGCTGCATGTTTTGGGGCTGCGAGACGGACGGGTGCATTTGGGGCGGCTGTTGGTTCATTTGCGGCGGAGGCGGCATGTGCTGCGGTGGATATCCGGGCGGTACGGGCGGTACTGGATGGCCCGGTGGATAGTAGGGAGGCGGTCTGTACTGTTGCCTGTTACAAAACAATAAATTAGGTGAATAATATAAGCGAGTAAAAGTAGTATTATAGTCTTACTGGTATTGGTAGGGGTGGTGCATCGGTTGCTGGGGATACGGGTACATCGGTGGGGCCTGGTAAGTAGGCTGCGGTGGCGGTCCGCTGGGGAACTGCTGTATGTTGATGAGTACATTCTGCTGGTGCATGCCGGCTGATGATTGGTGCAAACGGGACACTTGTTGCGCTAACGCCTGCATAGGTAAACCGGTTAGGTTGTCTAATGTGGTCGAAGGGTTTTGATTCGAATTGTACACTTGCTGAAAACAAATCGCTCGATCAGCCTTTCGAAGCACTAATCGAGTACGTGAAACTCACCATGGCTCCGCGATTTCGGTCTTCCAGCCGGTCCAGCGATATAAATTCGCTATCGCTGCTGTGAAACCCCAAATCTTTAGCTCGCTCATTATTATTGAACAACGATAATATATTACTGTCATCGGTATTTTGCATTTTCATTGGATCGTCCATGTTCGAAGACGACCACAAGTTAGAATCATCTTGAGTTTGACCTGAAAAAAAAATCAACACAAAATTTAAACATATTAAATTAAACGCGCTCATTGAATACTTACGATGACTGGAATCCTCTTCGGGATTATCATCGGTTATTTCGGTGATCGTCAGCGAGGAAGGCTCCTTGAGCAACCCGGTGGTTTTGATCCTGATCTTCGGGTACTCTACAGACGGTTCCGGGGGCGGCGTGGGCTCGGCCCCGGGGATGCTCCCGTAATCCGAGGCGCCGCTCTCGCTATTGGAATTGGCATCGGCGCCCTTATCGAAGGACTGAGAGGCTCCGTCGCCGGTCGAGGGCGAGCCTGCAATCGACATTCGTCTTGTTACGTACTATCCAAAAGATTCGCTCGAAGGGGGAAATTTTCGATTTTTTGGACTTACTTTGGAAAGTTTGGACTTACTTTCCCTAGCAATGTGAAGGTAGAAGATTTTTTCACGAAAAGTGCAAATGCAATGATGAATAAGTTAGGAAATAAATGAAGTGAGAATAATTAAAATATAAGTTTGTTTTTAAAAACAGTTTTACATTCAAAATTTTAACAAACGTCAAATGTCAAAACTAAAAACTAACCAATTTCGGCCTTTTACGTATCGGAAAAAAATCATTGTTGTGTCAAAATAGCAATCAATTGACAGTCCAACGAATCATAAGTGTTTAATTAAATTATAAACAACTAATTACTCGCTAACCTTGAATAATATCATCGATATTCGAGTATTCCGGCTGAATGTCAGGGCTGTCCTTCTCCGAAGGACTGTGAAAGTTGCCTTCCAGTCCCTCCTTATGCACAGCCAGGTTGCTATCTGTGGTCTCAGGATCCCCTAGAAAATTCTCGAGCACTTCGCTCCTGTTATCGCCCCTTTTACCGCCCTCCTCGGCTTGTCCCTGCGCTTCCGGCGAGCCGGTGTACTCTTTAGGCGACTGGCAATTGATTATCTCGAACTTATTGCCGCTCGTATTCTTTATGGTGATTTTCAGGGGCGGCAATTGCAGCTTTTCCACCGCTATAAACGGCTGTTTGATGTGGTGGAACAAATGCGAATATAAGAAGGTTTCTGTTGTGAAATTCACGTTGCACTCCAAACAACGAAGAGGCGACAAGTCTTCACATTCTAAAAGAGAGTATCACAATTAAAAAATACGCATGGGAACAAATTTGAAAATGTTCTCACCGGAATTGGTCCATTCAGCAGTTTTGGCTGACATTTTGCGACTGCAACAAAACAGAATTACATTCATCAACAAATTAATTGCTCTATATACTTTTTAGTGCTTGAAAGTTGTATAAAAAAAATTAAAAACACTCTGTTTTTGCTTTTAAAATTTAATGTTTACAAGTTAAAGAATCAAACAAGTGCTACAACAAAAACTAATAAACCTGTCAAGTAGGTCAAATAAATCATCATCATTATCATCACAAACGTCAAAATTTCTTTACGGACAACATTCAAATGCGCCAAAATAAAATTAGAGGCGAACCGGTAACCCGATAAACTCGAACAAAAAAAAAATAACAAACCGACAGATATCATAAAATACTTCATTGCGCAACCCGCGACGTATCGCATTCAAACCGCATCAAAATTAATAATACTCACAAGCATCGTTAAACAGTTCAATCAGACCGAATCGTCCCGATTGATAAGCGCGCCCGTGCCGAATCTTACGCGAAACTGCGTTGTTACGATGAAGAAAAAAATAACCCTACAATAAATGATTGCACCAAGCGGAGCCTGTACAGCGGCGAGTACGAGCGAACAACAACTGTCTCTGTCGATCGCTCTGTCGGGCAGTCGATAAGCGGGGGGCCGGCGGGGCAGCTAGGCTGTGGTTGTGGCGCAGCTAAACCACGCGCTCGGTACCCAAGCTCTGATGAAACCCGACGAAACCCGGTGAAACTCGGCCCGGCGCTCGCCTAGCAACAGCAATTTGAGGCGAGAGGGGCGCGCGGCGAGCGGCGCGGGGGAGTTGAACAAACGCGAAATGGAAATTGGATGTTAATGTTGCTGTTGTCGCAGCGCTATGGGCGGCGCCGTCTAAATGGAGGATTTGAGTGTATCGCTTCGGGGGGGTTTTAATTGGTTTGGTTCGAAGCCTGAATGAATTAACTGTATGATGAATACCTTATTGCGCTTGAATATTCATGCATTAATTACACAAATGCTGTGAATTTGTTTAATTTATTGATTAGCGCGTCTTGTTTTGTGATAATGAAATGTTTATTAGCTTGCAGCTATAATGAATAAAATGAATTAGCTATATTTTACCAACAGCATAATATTATTCCCAATTAACTAACCTAAAGCAAGATGTGATTACTCGATTCCACATTTTTATTCTGTATACATAAAACCGGGTAATTATTCTGTAATTATACTACAGCTCTGCAACGAACCGTTCGATAAACATACACAATAGATTAGAGTAGGTTCAGTGATTGCTTAAACCAATATTGAACCGGTTTTCAGGTAGAAATATTTTATGGGCTTGCTCAAACCAATACAAGCAGCTGCTCAATGTTATTCGTGAAAATATAATGGCCATTCAACCTTTGTCTACTTATTATTTTGGAAACTTTATGACGTTATTCCTAATTTAAATGGTTGTATTACCATCTTATTAGGTTTCCAGTTTCGGAATTTATAAACATCCTGTTATTCTAAGGTCATAAAAATCATTAGACATTTTTCGATTCTAAACAAAACTATTTGATAATAATAACATTTTAAGCAACAAAATGCATCAACAAGAACTTCATTTACTTCTCCATTTATACTAATAATATTCGCGATGTTGTTGCGCGAAATTGCGCGAATTCTTTGCGAAAATGAGATATTTCAAATAGCTATCGCATTCAATACCAATTCAATTTCACGAATTCCAAAAATTCTGCAGCTTTTACATTCGCGTTGTGTTACAATTATCTTATCTTTACAGAACATTCTAAATGTTCCTTGATTTGTATACAGTTCCAAAGTACAAAAGTTTAATTAAAGAGAATATCAACCGAACGAGCTATAATTAAGCTAAGATAACGAAAAAACCTTGAAAACAATAAAACGTTGAGTTAACAGAACGTTAAAAAACAATTCATTAAAATTGCAAATGAATCATAAATGCATTATCATTGCGCAAACACCGCATTCATATCTCAAAAGAGCCAAGGTTCGATGAAAACAAGGCTTCGCAGCCTGAACGTGTACAGTTAGAACAAAGAGACACAGCGCGGAGAAAGGTCGATTGAATAAGGGCGGGACCGCACCCAAGACCCACAAAAGGGAACTTGGCCCTTTCACAATTCAGGGTGTACAGGGGATCGGATTCTCAAGTGGTTCGCGGGAGACGGGAGGGACGCGCGCACCGCGCGTACTATTCCCCCCATTTTCATCTCACATCTCACAAAATCGATTGTGAAAACGAAGCATTTTACTGCGGGAAGGTTATACGCGCTTCAATCGTGCAATCGGCCCCGCTCTCGCCCCGCCGACCCGCCGCGGGTCTCGTTTAAAAGGCTGCCGCTGCCGCTGCCTGGCTCGCCCGAGTCATCATCCGGTTCGTTCGAGGCTATTTTTAAAGCGACTGCGAGCTACAAAACATGCTCGGGAAACGAGTATAGAACGTTTGACCGGAAAGCAGTATTAGCTTTCTGTCGGCGCTGCGATAAGTAGCTTGATAAAGAGTTTTTTTTGTTTGCATATTTCGAGCGTGAAGCGCTTAGAATGTGAACGTTCATTTAATAGCGCTGCGGAGTAAATAGGTTTGGTGATAATGTTCAGAAATTCCGTGGCATTTATAACATTTTATTTATCTGTTGAAATGTATTATTGTAACGGAAAATGAATTGTTGAAACACGGTTTTGAGTGGCCTACAAATTCACCAGATCTAGCACCTTTTTAGATTATTTCTACTTCAAAAATAGAGTTCGAAATAAAAATGGCGTGTATAGGGATGAATTAGGGAGAAAATAATGCAATTATATACCATGCTATACAGACAAAGCTATGCTATATAGCTCTCGGGTCTAGCCCCCCCCACCATACCCTACCCCCCCCACCCCCCCCCGACACGTGTGGGTCTACCTGCATATTTCGTCGCTCAAGAATATTTAAATACTTTGACAGGAATCATATTTTGAAAAACTGGTTGTGAACATGTCTAACAAAACTGTAAATGTTTGTTCATTTAAACTATTTACTATATGTAGGATATATCCTACAGTTTCCGAGCGAAATGTTTCACTAAGCATTCATCTAATTTGATTTTTTATCATAATGATTTGATTTCATCAAATGAATTAATCATAACTTTTCCTCTGGAATGTCCTGTCTCTTAAATTCATAGAAATAGCTGTCTTAGGTAAATTTATTTTATTATAATCATACGATCCAACAATACCTACTCGTACTCTGAAAATACTTTCTTTTTACTGGTTAAAAACCACTTATCTTCTTCTTTTTTTATAGTCTCATAATTAAGCTTACTGTATAACTTATATATCAAAGACCATAAATCAATTATTAAAAAGTAGATATTATTTTGAGGTTAGGATAAACGTCAAACTGTCAAACTACTAAATATTTTGGAATATATTTTTTCAATTTTCTTGCATTCAACTACAATAATAATTCGAATAACAATATTTTGGGAAAAGGAAAATGTCCCATTTGCAGAGCGGAAAAGTGGACATTTCCCTAATTCAAGCGGCCGCCCGGGCTAACTTGATAAACCTATTGGAAAAATGCCATGGGAGGAAAGCCTTGGTTTGGGATAACAGCATAGCCGGTCCTGTGGGTTTAGTGGCTCAATACACAATCCTTAAGGAACACCAAGTCGTGAAAATGTTTCCTCTTCGAGATATGCCCCTTCCGGAGACAGACGTGGATCATATTATATTTATTTCGAGGCCTAAATTGCACTTGATGGATTACATAGGTAATAAAAACTGTTGCTTAGGGATGTCATTTCTTCATTTTTTGTTCAAATTTCAGCTCAGAATGTACATTCTGATGTTAAGACGAAATCAGGAAGCAAAAAAGAGTACCATTTGTTTTTCGTTCCCAAACAAAGCCTACTCTGCATGGAGAGGCTGAAGCACAAGGGAGTCTTTGGCAGCGTCATGTTCATCGATGAGTTCAAATGCCAGCTCTTTCCGTTCGAATCCGATTTGATTTCGATGGAAATCACGGAGGTTTTCAGAGAGTACACGGTGGAAAACGACCCGACTTACTTGTATCAAATCGCCCAAGCCATAATCTATCTGCAGAAAATGTACGGGCCCATTCCGAAGGTTTGGGGCAAGGGGAACGCAGCCAAGCAGGTTTGGGATCTAGTTGTTAGGTTACAACGGGAGAAAAATTGCAGCGATGATATGAAGAATAATCAACAATCATGCATCGATCAAATGATTCTGATCGATCGATCGGTCGATTTGATAACACCTTTGGCTACACAATTAACTTACGAAGGTACTTTTAAGTTGTATTGTTGAACCAAAAGGTTTTAACGAGTGTTTTGTTGTAGGTTTAATCGATGAAATTTTTGGGCTGAATAACTCTACAGCAAATTTTCCGATCGATAATTTTCTAACGACAGAAGAGAGAACCACGGAATCGTTATCTGAAGATAAGAAGCAAATTATACTCAACTCTGCAGATAAGCTCTTCGCTGATATTAGGGACAAAAATTTTAATGCTGTGAGCATTTCTTTCTCTTTGTAGTGTAATTAATTTCTTTATCGATTATTATAGGTCGGGACTTATTTATCCAAACAGGCCAAATCGATTAGCGCCCAATTGGAGAATACTCAGGAAAAATCTGTACAAGAAATGAAGTTATATGTCCAAAGATTACCGCAAATTCTGGCTAAAAAGAAACAATTAGCCACACACACGGCTATTGCCGAATGCATTAAAGAAGTAACAGACGGTTACGATTTTTTGGACACATTACAAGTACTTTATTAAACTAATTACAATTCGTTATTCTAATAACATGTATTCTACAGACGGAACAAGAGTTTTTAAACTGCATAGAAGTGGACAAACCTAGCCCGTACATCGAAGAAATGATAGCTCAGAGTAAACCGTTGGTCAAAGTGCTGAGACTGATTTGCTTGCAATGCATTGCCAGTTCCGGCTTGAAGCCGAAAGTTCTGGAAGGCTACAAAAAAGATTTGGTGCAAGTACGTTTCATACAAAATATGTTCTCGAATGTTATTCTGATGTGTTTTTGTAGGTGTACGGTTTAGAAGCATTGTTAGCTATATCGAAGCTGGAAAAAGTCGGGTTGCTGAAACTCCAATCTAGCACTAGACAGTATACAGTTCTCAGGAAAGCTCTGCGTTTAACGATGGAGGACACTTCGGAAATAAATCCAACGGATATAAGTTACGTTCACAGCATTTACGCGCCTTTGAGCATCAGATTGGCGGAAAATGTGACGAAAAGCGGCGGCATGAAACAGTTACAAGATGTCTTAGGGCTTCTACCTGGTATGTTCAGTTTACTAATCGTTAGTTGATGTTTAAATGATGAAAATCACGATTTTCAGGACCCACACTCGATGAAACTGCTTCTGTAAACTTAATGCCGAATTCGGATTCTCCTCTAACTGTTTTGGTGTTTTTTATCGGAGGGTGCACTTTTTCTGAGGTAAATTCAAACTATTTTTAGGCGCGAGTTACAATAATTTTTCTTCTAGATTTCTGCTCTGAGGTTTTTATCTCAACAAGATGACTCCAATGTTGAATTTATTATCGCAACCACCAAACTTATTAACGGAACAACCTTTTTGAATTCCATTATCGAGAATTGAATTATATAAGACTTATACAAACGTATTTCTTATTCCATATAATATAGTATATGCAATTTAATATGTAACTGTGATATTATTACACGATTTACTATAAAATGAAAATGAAGTAAATAAAATTATACAGAAATTTACTATATCATTGTCTTTTGTAACTATAATATAGGCACGAATAAACTAAAATATCTAATGTAAAATTTAACGAACAGTTATTTATTCCGACTAATTATATCACATTCCGATTATTTATTATAGTTACTTAATTCTTCTGTTGTTTGATTTTGTAGTCGGACAAAGCCGCTTTAATGGCATCCTCCGCTAGCATCGAGCAATGCAACTTAACAGGCGGCAATGAAAGTTCCTTGGCAATTTCGGTGTTCTTGAGTTTAAGGGCCTCGTCTACGGTCTTGCCCTTTACCCATTCGGTGGTGTAGGAGCTGCTGGCGATGGCCGAACCGCAACCGAAGGTCTTGAATTTCGCATCGATAATTTTGCCATGTTCGTCGACTTTTATCTGCAGTTTCATCACGTCCCCGCAAGCCGGGGCTCCCACTAGGCCCGTGCCGACGGTCTTGTCGTTTTTGTCCAACGATCCAACGTTTCTCGGGTTTTCATAATGTTCAATTACGTTCTTGTGATAATTAGCGGTCGCTTGAACGCAAGGTACAGTCACGCTTCGTAGTAATTTTGAAGAAGCAGAAAGGGCCATTTTGTCTTTGTGTTTCTAAAAAGTAAGTTTGTTAGGTTTTTTTTAAACAATTATAATTAATAGAATTATTGTGAAACCTTGTTCAACTGCAATGGAATATTTTTAAACCAAAACAATCATGACCGAAATTGTCATTGTCAACAATGTCATATGTCAACCATCAAATGTCATCAAATTGAAATATTTGTGCGCAATATATGTGTAATTTGTGTTGCATAACTAACAGGGTGTAATATTATAATACGGATACTGAAACGAAATTAAACCACTCAAAATGCATTTACCAAGTTTAATAAAATATTGAAAACTACAGTTTTAACAAAATTCTTACGAAATATACAAACAGCCGAGATAACTCATTCAATATCGACTCCAAACACATCGTCAAGTGCGTTCGGTCTCGTCAGTAGGTGAACGTGGGAATTGGAATTGGCTGAAGTACAGCAAAGCCTTGCGAACGTGATCAGGCCTAATATTATATAAAGGGTGTGTGGGCATCTGCGAAATACGACAATAAATCACATGTACTTGGGCATATTACTCAATACAGCCTTACCACTTGATTTCCTTTGTGCCCCAACAAGCAGATCTTATCGAGAAAATGTTGGGCCACAGACAGTCCGCTTAACGTGTAACAAGTATGATAGAGATCTCTGTTTTTGCCCGGTTTATCCACGAGACCCCCGTTTGAATTTTGACAGCACACTAGAAGGTATTCCTGCAGAGCGCTACTGCTAAATAGATGGGTTTTTGGTGTATGTCCAGCTAAAACAAACCCGATGATTCTTCAAGCATAATGAGCAATTATCTGTACAATTTACCAGTATGTAGGATAGAGTAAATCAAAGGAAACGCAGCTCCTTGCCAAAACGAGTAACACCCATCTGTTAATTTGTTTGTTCTACCTTGAAAACCCCCTTCTAATTTCATTTGTTTGAACACCAACCATCTCTAAAAAAATCACAAATTTACAATATGTACAGTGTATAAACGAATATAAGTACCAATAAAGCTTTCTCATCTACCAAGTGGCTCTTGTTCAAAATTACCAAGGCAGCCAATCCGCAGAACGTGTACCCTCCGTGCGCTTCCATTCCCGGGCACCCCGAGAAACCACCCTCGTAAGTTTGACAACTAGAATGGCCCGTTACTTACAAGTTTAAAGGTCATTTGGTAGCTTACCTGACCACCCACTCCGCGCTGTTTTCGAACAAGGCCGAGTCATTCATTACCCCAGCCAAACTGGCGATGGATAATGCGCAATAAACGCCCCTAACGTCTGCTTCGCCGCCTTCGTGCATTTCAAATGAGCCATCGGGTTGTCTCAAACGCCACAAAAACTCCAGTAATTTCTTTCTGGAAGGATATATCGAAGTTAAATAAGCTGCTTTCGAGTGGAATTAGTTTGCATACCTATTAATTACGTTGTAAGCTTCTTCGGTACCTAAAATTACTAAGGCATTTACGGCTGCATAAGTGGTGGCTAAATGGGGAGTTTGTCCGGGGCCGCCTCCGAACCCGCCATCCGGACTCTGGCATCTTTAACAATAAAACGTACGATTAACTTTTTTATTTCTCCAATTTGCTTGGCTTACTTTGCTAAAAATCTAGCCATCGCTCTCTTCCTTGTGTTCTCTAACTGGATACCTAATAAGGACAAGGCGTGCGTTATCCAATAGCACAACCATGGTTGACTAGCGTCTAAGACCTGAAAATTTAGGGATATTAGAACGTATTTGGGCAAACGATTGCGTGGACTCACTTCGTAAACAGAGGAAAGTTTGTAAGTACTATTGATTAAATACTGTCTGTGTTTATCTTTGAGGAGTTCCGGGTGTTGGAGGTTGTTTTTCGATGAATCGCTGGCTTCGAAATATTTTCTCAGGACGAGCTTCTCCGTGTTCAGCTGAGGAATAAATCGGAATATGTGTAATGGTAATTTTAAGGTTAGGTTTGAGAAAATTTTACCTGTTCGCTGGATGTTTTCGTCGGGTAGTTTTCTGTGTTGAATGCATTTTTGACTATTTCAGAGTAAGGGCGAAGTTCCATAACTCGATTCGCTGACAAATGAAACTTTTAATTTCGAGAATTTCTCTCCATAGTTTTCCAAAAGTTGATTAGTTAGGTTAATTTTAATTACATTTATTATCAGGTAGTCAACAAACAGTAACCAGAAGAAGATTCCTGTAATTGTCACGTCAAAATTCACAGAACATACAAATAGATTACTTCATACGTCAAATTTCACGAAAAAGTTCCTGTTCTGTGTTCGAATAGCCAAGTAGCCGAGGATTTTATTAGAAAAGAAGATTATTCTTTGCTTGAAACTTCAAATTTAACCTCAATGTTTTTGTTTATATTTACTTTATAATTACAAAATAAAGATACTAAAATACTATAATATATAATATCAAAGTGAGCGTTAAAGATTACAAAATATAAATTAATAAAACATGTTAAAAAACAGTGAATACAGTTCCTTTTGGAAATCAAAAGCTGTTCAAAGGAGGCCCAAGTTCAATCATAGGAATGTTGTCGAATCGAACTTTCTTATATTTGGAATGCAGCATATCCCTTAATTCTACGGTATGATTATAATCCCTCGTCTCACAAACGACTTTAACCTGAAAATATCAACAATTATATTAAATATATTCAATCACTAGGTGGATTAAAATACACCTACATGAAGCGTTCTTAATTTAAATATTTTCGCACTCACCTCGACACTGAAAACATCAGAAGTAACCCAAGCCCTTTCGTGGATAATATCCTTAATCGACACCCCGATAGATCCTATAAACTTGCACAACTCCGAAATACCCCCAGGTCGATCACTAACGGTGATTTTACATTTGACTAGACGACCGTCCGCTGCCAGGCCTCTCTCCAAACAACGCCCCAAGATCGTTGTATCAATATTCCCTCCGCTCAGGATCAGCACGATCCTGCAAATAAAGGTACTCAAATTACGAGACACTGTTACTAAGCTAATGAGAATATTTTTATAGTACCTTTTCCCTTTGAAGTCATCCAAGTGCCCGGCCAAGATGGCAGCCAATCCGCAAGCACCGGCTCCTTCCACCACGCATTTCTCGTTTTCGATGAACCTCAATATCGCCACAGCAATCCACTCCTCCTTGACGACCACCTGAAGCATCATTTTTAACCGTCTACATCCGCGCATCTAGCTCAAAACCGTACCATTCTGTCGATCAAACTCCTCGACGTCCTCCAAGCGTTGTAGCCCACTTGGGGCACGGCCAGGCCGTCCGCCAAGGTGCCTTCGATGTCCGTATGAATCGGCTGGGACTCCTCCATCGCCTTCGAGTAGCTCGCGCATCTTTCCGATTCCACGCCCTGAAAAACTCAGCTGGTGTTAATAGTCACTAAGCAAATCGGTGAGTAACTTACAATGATTTTGATGCTGGGGTTGAGCGTTTTCACGGCCACGGCCACGCCGGCCAGCAGCCCTCCGCCTCCCGTAGGCACCACCACCGCGTCGATATCGTCCACCTGCTCCATTATCTCCAAACCTATAGTGCCCTGCCCCGCTATCGTCTGTGGATTATCGTAACTGAAATCACCGCGACATTAACCCTTCCTTCAGCAGCTCTAGAAGCTTTACCCGTTGATGTAGAACAACCCGCGCTCCTTGGCCAGCTTGTAGGCCACCCGTTTGGCCTCGGCCATGTTCCTGCCCTCCATCACCACGTTGGCGTTGTACTCCCTGCACTTCTGGATCTTCATGATGGGCGCCACGATGGGCATCACCACGGTGACCGGTACGCCGAGCAAGTAGCCGTGGTAGCTCACGGCTTGGGCGTGATTGCCCAGCGAGGCGGCGATCACCCCGTTGCGCTTCTGCTCTTCGGTGAGCTGCAGCAGGACGTAGCGGGCCCCGCGCTCTTTAAAACTGCGACCAGAAGACGCTAGAGCTATGTCGGGAGCTCTTGTGTTGTGAACTTACCTGCCGGTTTGTTGGAGGAAGTCTTTCTTCAAGTAGATGTCCATGCCGGTTAATCTGGACATGTGGGAGCGCTACGAATGTTGAGGTTGCTTTGAGGTTTCTTTGAAATAGAGCGTACTTACGATGCATGGTGTGTAGGATATCCCGCTTCTGATTTTGTACGCGGCCGACGTGATTTCTTCGAAGGTGATCTCGACGGGTTTGTTGGGGTTGCAGCAGGGGTCGTCGAGCATTTCGAGATCTATGTCCTGTAAATATGTACATTCGGTTATTGCGATTCGATAATTATTAATACGTTGGATAATCGGCGAGACTCCTGGACGTAAATAATTTGATGCTAAAATAGGAAATTTGTTTATTTGTGGTAAACATTAGGATAATAAGTTGATACAAAGAAGGTCGATATTGCGAAATTGGACCTGTTGAATATTTAGTCATAACAAGCGTGGTTTGATAGCGTTATTTGTGATTAATTTTCTTATGGAATTCTTTTACGAAAAAAAATTAATACCTCTTTTTAATGACAGGGAGCTTGTTGATCATCATCTCCTTTGAATACTACTTATGTTGAACTTTCAACTAGTTAATCGAGCATTGTTAAATACACAAAAAATACTGGGTGTCTCTTTATCAAGCGACTTTAACAACATATAATAATTAAAAAAAAATAATACAAACACATCTTGTAAGAAGTAAATAAAAATGAAAGGAAACTTACATTATCCGAGTCACTAGGACTGTTGTTGGTGTATTGCTCCATAAGAAGAAATTTGAGATTTTAGTGCCACAATATAGTACTTTATCTGCGTGGAATTTATGGAATTATTTGTGCATCTCTCTGAATGACTGGTATCGAAAAAAAATCGTCCTGAACTAAGAGGTTATCATTGCTTGCCTGATAAACTATTTTTAAACTCCGGCTTTGAGGGGGGTTAATTATCATTTAATGCCATGATAATAGCCAATAATCCAGGACAATTAATTTCATGTTTACAAGGACTGTAAATACTAGAAAGCGTAAATTGTCATTCGATTCGTTTTTCAATTTTCAGAACCTACGGTTACAATTAACCTAAGGATACTGCAATATAAATAAAATTTAATTGTTTTTAGTAGTATTCTTATAAAAAAAGAACATTTTTGATACATTTAAAATATATAATATGTAGTTATAACAAAAATTGGGGTAGAATACAACACATAGATGAACATAATATATCATAATATAAATGCTATTAACACATTTACGAGATTAACTTAATAGAACTTTGTAGTTTTATAATTAATTTAATTAATTGACATACATACGTATTTCATCCCTCATATCAGGACTATATAATTATACAAACTGAAACACTTTATTACTTATTAAAGTAATAACATGCATCTCAATCCACTTAACTCATGTACGTAAAAAATCAATAATTATACGCATCAGTCTGTAGTAAACAAGTCAAATCGACATAAAAATAACAAAAAAAATCAGTTATCTCTCGCATCATTCAGCATTTTCAATGCTAATTTAGCCGCCGCCCGTTTCGCAGCCGCTTTGTTCATACCGAACCCGTTCACTCTTTTCCTTTCCCCTTTCAGCGAGAACTCCAGAGGCACCATCGTTCGCCCATTTTCGGTTGCAAAAGATTTCCTAAAGACGAGAAAAATAATTATTACAAACCAACATACTCAGGCATGCCATAAACTCAAAGTACCAACCCCGAGAAATGGCAAATAGACATAAAAACAACTCAAAGTAGTAACTAGGTTTGTATCATTCATGCTGCAAATGGAAATGCAGCATAATGGAATTGTTAGGAGGTATATTTACCCGAAAGTAGGGTGAGCGCTCGTCCGTTCATTAATGACCCTGACCATATTTAATGGAACGTTATTGCAGAACGCGTTTATTTCCTTCCACATTATTTTATAAGCTATATTCCACACTTTCGATAAATCGAAATTGCTATCGAAGTATACAGCTCCCATTACTGCTTCAAACACATCTCCCAATACCTAAAATAAAACAAATAGTCATATTACATTCCTACAATGCAATGCTCTTGTTGCTGAATAACTGATCAGTAAAATGTACCTTCGGCACGTCCACAGATTCGGCCATATAAACCTCATCTTCCTCCATGAGCACGAGCACTTCGTCGTCGATAACGTAGTTCTTCTGCTCCATGAAATTCGCGAAGCTGTCGATCTTCGACTGCAACTTCATGTTAGCGAACAGTATGTACTTGTGCAACCCGAGCCTGACCAGGAAACTGGCGAACGTCACGTTGTTCACCAAAGCCGATCGCAAATCGGTCATCCTGCCCGGGTCCATATCCTCGCAGTTCTCGAATATGTAGCAAGTAATCAGGAAATCGAGCACCGCGTCGCCGGCGAACTCCAGCCGCTCGTACGACCTCGTCTGGCGATTGGGCGAGTAGGTGGCGTGCGTCATCGCCTGCAACAAGTACCCCTTGTCTTTGAACTCGTACCCGATCAGCCTCTCGATGTCCCTGTACGACGGCAGGTGCCTCCTGATTTGCTCCGAGGACAAGGCGCAGCTGGTCAAAGCGGGCGGCGGCGGCGGGCGAGCCGTTAGTTCCTCCAAACGCTCCGATTCCGGTATCAAACCCAACCATTCGATGAACCTCACGGCGCCTTTCAACGACAGCGCTTTGAAGTGCAACCCGATCAGACCTTCGACGGCATCGGCGACCTGTTTCTCGCTCATGTACCGGCTCTTCAAAAACGGCGCCATCGAATAGTAAGCGGACTCCTCCGAATCGGTGACCGAGTCGCGGTTGTTCAGGATCTCCTCTTTGGTGGTGTCGCTCAATTCGCCGGTCACCTGTTCGTCGCGCGTCAGCCCGAGCTTGATCAGCGCGTTGACGGACATTTCCTCGCTTTCGATGCGCCGGCGCATCTCGCCGGGCACCGTCATGCCGGGCGGCAGCCAATCGTCCTTCTTCACGTCGTGGAACCGGATGCAGCCGGTGATGCGGCGCCGGCGCGCCAGGTAGAACAGGTTCCGGTTGCTCACCATCTTCCCTTTGAGCGCCGTCGAGCGGCCTTCGTCGTACTGCGGGAAGCGCAGATAGATGTACACGGTGGTCATGTACTTGATGAAGGAGTCCCCGAGCGTTTCGAGGCGCTCCAGGTTCACTATGTCGTTGGCTTTGGCCGACGTGAGGGCTCTGGAACAAGCGGGATTTATGCCTTGGATGAGAAAGGCTGTAAATACTCGACTCTTTTGGGTCACATACGTCCCAAAGTTAAGTACAAATTGGGACATGTAGTCACAGGGGAACAGGATGAATACATGGACGAATTAATCAGTAGGGAATTATCTGTATCACCTGTAAAATTCGCACAATTCCGGCCCCTCTTGTTCGGAAACCGGTAGTTCGAGCAGCTTAATTGTAACGATGTCGACGGTTTTCAGATAGGTCAAGGCCAGTCGTTGAGGAGAGGCGTGCGGTACGATGTTCTTCAGCTCCCTAGAAGACCCGACCAGTCGCTGGTCTAAAAAAAAGAATAGTTTGAAATAATTATGTAAAAAAAATTACTGCATGATGCTTACTGACGAATGCTTCGTAATGTTCGATGTCCATCGAACTGACGTTGACGTTCCTTTCGATGTCGATGGGCTCATCGATATCCTTCCAGGGGTACTGAGATTCGAGCTTCTTGTTGTTGAAGTCCTTGTTGACTTTCAGCAAGGACGAAATTGGCGTGTCCTCTTCGGAAGACGGGGGCAATTCGGAATGGTGATCTTCCGTGTACGGTTCGTAGGTCAGTAGGGTCTTGTCGAGGGCGAGGGGTCGCCTGACAGTGACGTTTCTGCGCCCTAAGCCCTCCTTTTCGGTGACTATGGTGCACCGCAATTCTTCTATTTGAAGTATAAAGGAGATTTTACTGAGAACGGTGGGCAGAAATTTGGCTTGTATCCACAAATTGCCGGGAAATTCTTGCCTCACCACCAATTCCGCCGGTAGGTATTCCGCCAATTCTTCGTTTGTGTACTTTCGTTTCACCGCTGTTTTGGTTTTAGGCTACGATATGCAGTTGAAACAATTATTTTTACGCTATATTATAAAAACAAAAATTACCTTGACAAAATTGACGTTTTTCGTTACAGATTTCACCAGAAGCAGCGGTAATGCGGGATTCACCAAAGTAATATTGTGCCTCTTTTGAAAATATTCCCTGAACGTGGAGAATCCGTTATCGGGAAAGGGAGAATCGGCGTTTTTGCTCTCGCAAACCTGCAAATAACCCGCTTAATCACCCCTCTAATAATCTCTTATAACTCACCTCAGTAACCAAATACGTAGTATTATCCCTCCTGTACCACGGGTGGACGATCTTGTTCAAATAAGTATCCCTATTCACCACCAAACTCGCCTTCTCGCTGGAACTTAACTCCGCGATCTGATGAAAAACGTGCTCTTTCCTCAACACATCCCAATCAACGCGACCGGATTCCCTATCGACCGGAACCAGCAACATCATCTCCGGCTCGTCTCCGTTATCGAACAGTACAAACGGCTTCAACACGTCCAACACGCCGTCCAGCACGTCCACGTGGAACCGCTTGACGTGCGACAGATCGGACTCCGTCAACACGACGGTACCCCGGTTGACTTCCAGCGACACCATGATGGTTCCGAAGCTATCGTAGATGGGAAAATCGCACAGCGAAGGCATCGGCTTGGCCGTAATCAAACCGTAACACGAATCGCCGAACTGCATGTCGTACAACGTGGAGTCGTTGATGCTCGAGACGCGCTTGTTGTACTCGGGCTGTAGCTGGATGATGTGCAAGTAAACGTGAGTGGCCGGTCGTATTTGTTCTCGAACGCATTCGGGTATCTGAAATTAGCGTAATTCGTTGACGATGAGTAGGTTTACGAGGTTCGTGCTTACCAGTTTCTTGTGCAGGCTTCTCACGTTGTGTTTTTTGGACGGTTTGTGGTCGTTTTTGGGGATGTGAGTGAACAGGTACTCCACGTCCTCGGGCTCTACGGTTCTCTTTCTGGGGAACAGGTGATCGTCGATTTCGCCTTGTTGGTGAAGCCTTATGCAGGTCACGTAAGCAGCCGCTCTTTTGGCCAGCTTTTTATTCATCATAGGAATCCCCTATAAAGGATATTCGATGAAACATACAGAACAGCAAAATGGTATTCCTCGCTCACCTCCACCATAGGGATGTTCGTTATGGTAGGCAGTAGTACCACAACAACGTACATATCGTTTTCGGTTTGTTTTACGAACCAGTCGGGAACGAGAACGGTGAAAATATCGGATGGTAGGCTTTGGCAATATTGGCACAACAAGGATATGGCTGTTCTCATGTTGATTTGAGCACCGTCCGTGCCTTTAACGTAATAGGGCGGTAGAGGATCTTCTTCGTACATTTCCTGGATTTTTTCAAGAGAGGGATCTTCCCGTTCGTCATTTTTGCCAATTAGCAGCTAAAAAGTGTGTCAAAGTATCTAAAATCTACGCACCTTCGAACACTTACCTGGTTCAAGATATTTTCAATCGCTTGGTGTTTGTTGTACTTTTTAATGAACGAATCCATTTCGCTGTGATTCACCATCATGTAGAAGAAGCCCTTGGAGTGCCTGGCCCTGCCTTTGGATTGAATGTAGGCCCTGTAATCCATGGCCGGATCGTATCTGATCACCAAGGTGCACGTGGGTATGTCGATGCCCTCTTCTAGGATGTTCGAAGAGACCAGTACGTTCAATTCTCTTTGAGCGAAGTCGGTCAAAACCTACGGTTCAAAATATCTTGGTTTTAAACGGTAAACTGTACGCGTTCGGTGCAACCTTTTTGTTCATTTTGTTGATGAACAGAGCTTCTCTGGTGTCGTTGATCGGGACGTTTCGGTTTCCGACCAAAAAATTCGGTTTGATGTACTCGAAATCCGGGTGGCTTTCGCTTAGATCTTTCAATAGCAGGTAGATTAGCTTGGCGGTGAATCTCCTCTGCGTGAAGATGATGCAGCAGAGGTCTTCTTTGCTCTTGGCTTTGTACTCCTTCAGGATGTTGAGTAGCTGTGCGACTTTGTGGGAAGAGCACCGGACGATCGACTCCCTTTTCTCGTACTTGTCTATTTCGATTTTGAATTTCTGACCCAGGTAGTTGATTTTAGTTTGAAGGCTGTTTAGTATGGAAAACAGTTTCAGATCTTCGCAATGCTTCTTTAACCTGCAACGAGATTTATTGGGGTACTTCCGTTTGATTACTAGGGATATTATGTACCGTTCTAATTGTACGATATGGGAAAGGCACGCTAAGTAACCCCCGTAAATGCCCAGAGTGTCGATGTGAAACACTAAATCGTCGATCAAATTGCAAATTTTAGAAGGCCATTTTTCGGACTTCAACGACACCAAGCCGTTTAATTTGATAGGAAACTTCATTGATTCTATGCGCGTATTTTTGATCAACGTCTGAAATTCTCTCAACGAATTGATAACACTGGTTTCCAGTAATGCAGGCACGTGAGTCTCGAATATCGAGAAACATTCATTGGGATTGGTGGAATATCTGGAAAATACACAATTACCACAAACCGATATATTACGAATCGGCGAATTACTGCAAAACCAATTCCAGTTCTTCCACAGTAGCAACTTTGCTGTGGTAGGTTTCCTCCAGAAACACCACTTCGTCCATCACTCTCGAGGGCTCGCAGTTCCCGTTCAATAAGGTGGCTGTAAGGCCCAACACCCTCGGTGGATCGTTCAGCATTTCGAACACTTTCATTAACTGCCTCATCATGTGGTCTTTCACACCTCGATGGCATTCGTCGAAGATCAATAAATTGGATTTGTTCAAATCTAAATATACGGGTTATTTTATAGCTCTTATGCGGTAATGTACATTTTTACCTATGAAATTTTTAATGACCAAATTCACTAGAATCTGGCAGGTCATCACGATTATTTGGTGCTTGTTGATTTCCTCGAGCCACTTCGATTTAGACCAACCGTCGAGATTCATCTCACCGGAATAGCGGCCTACTTTGAAGTTAGTGTGGCTTCTTAGATAGGCTGTGTGCTGATCCACCAAGGCCACAGTGTTCACCAAAAAGAATGTGACTTTTCCTCCATCATTGTAAGATCTGCAACGTTCAAAAACTACTCAAAAACTACTTATTGTGAAGCTGAAATAGTTAGATATTTTTTAACATGTAAAATTCAAAGGGTTATTTTTAGATAGCTGTTGATTTACCGTGTAAGCGGTTCACTCATGCTCTTCAAAACCATAAGAGCTATGTAGGTTTTGCCAGATCCCGTCGGAAGGTAGATGATGGTGTTTTTTTCCAACGCTATTTTCATCATTTCCAATTGGTAACACCTAGGAATCAATTCCAACTCCATTTCGAAGTCCTATTTGGCCACTTGCTAGTTTTGTTTAAAATATAAATGCGAATCACTGTATATTTGATAACTGCTTGCACTATTACAGTGTTTGCACTGATAAATAAACAGAATTATCACAGATAATATAATATACAATATAATCACGATAATATTATCACGAATGGCGAATGGGTGTTGGTTTACAAAAATTCTATTCTGGGTTCTGGGAACCCCATAGCCTTTCTTTTCCTATGCTAGGAGTAGATAAGGCGAGATAACGCTAAAGTGTCAGCCAATCAGAAATCGCCAGCTCAATTCTCATGTGATTGATAATTTTACATGGTAAAAAATCGTACACCTGTATAAAAAAATACATCAAAGAACACTTGTAATGTCACAAAAATGTTGATAAAAGATTTGCGGTAATATCTTGAATTCCATTAGAATCATCTGTCAACTTTTCAATCAAATCAAATCAAAATCTTTTTATTTGATGGTTGATGATGGAACTAATTCGAGATAAGTATCTTTAACGAATATATTATTCAGTTAAAAATACAAATAACTATTAGGTAAAAAAACTCACCGAAAACAGAAGAAATGTAAAATGACGTTGACATTAGTGTGACACTTGACGTTGACAGATAATACGTCATACATAATTTTAGCATCTTGCTTTGATTAAAAACAAATTGAAAAGATTCAAGACTTGAAATAATGCGTTAAATTTAACTTCGTGCACTAATAGCAGAAGGAAAGATGCCTCCTACGATCCAACAGAATAATCAGAACGCCGCAAATGGGGTGGAAAAAAGACAAGTAAAGACCGTCGAGAAAAGGTACAACGCACTCATTTTTACATGAAACAAAATTGAATGTATCATTTTTCAGGTCCGATTTATTATGTAAAGTAAAATATTGCAACACACTGCCCGATATACCGTTCGATTTGAAGTTTATAACGTACCCTTTCGAATCAATTAGGTAAGTCACAATGCTAGTAAACTAAGAATTTATTAATAATAATCAAACTTCAAGATTCATCCAGTATAATCCCACATCCTTGGAGCGTAATTACAAATACGAAGTATTAACTGAACACGACTTAGGCGTAAGCATAGACCTTATTAACAAAGATATATACGCAATCGGAGCGGGCGCCTCCTTGGATCCGGCCGATGAGAAACTCCTAGAAGAAGATATCCTCACCCCGCAAGACTCCAAGAGGTCCCGTCACCATGCCAAGTCCGTCTCGTGGCTTCGACGAACCGAATACATCTCCACGGAACAGACCAGATTCCAGCCCCAAACCATGGACAAAGTCGAAGCTAAAGTGGGCTACAGCATCAAGAAATCCCTGAACAACGAGACCCTTTACATGGACAGAGATTCGCAGATCAAGGCCATCGAGAAAACGTTCGAAGACACCAAGACGATCATCGATAAGCATTACAGCAAGCCCAACGTGGTCCCCGTGGACGTCCTGCCGGTTTATCCAGATTTCAGTTTGTGGAAATATCCTTGTGCGCAGGTTATCTTCGATTCCGATCCGGCTCCAGTGGGCAAACAAGTACCCGCTCAAATCGAGGAGATGTCTCAAGCTATGATCAGGTACGTTTAGTTCCTTCTTTATAGAATCCATTTAACACTTCGCGCGTTTTTAGAGGTGTAATGGACGAAAGTGGTGAGCAATTCGTGGCCTACTTCCTTCCCACCGAGGAAACACTCCAGAAACGCAGGGAAGACGTCGCGAACCAAGTCCAATACCAAGACGAAGAGGAATACGAATACAAAATGGCCAGAGAGTACAATTGGAACGTTAAAAGCAAGGCGAGCAAAGGCTACGAGGAGAATTATTTCTTTGTTGTACGATCGAGTGGTATTTATTACAACGAATTAGAAACCCGGGTTAGATTGAGCAAGCGAAGGCAGAAAGTAGGCCAACCCCCGAGCAATACGAGGCTCATCGTTAAACATAGGCCTATGGATGCGAACGAATTCAGAATGCAACGGTACAGAGAAAAGCAGCTGGAGCCTACAGGTAATTGAAATATCAATTCTTATTGCTTTGATTATTATGTTTACTTTGTGTAGGCGAGGATGACGAAGAGATGGAAATGGACGAGCCTCAAGACGAGGAAAACGTGCTCGAGCCGGATAACGAAAGTCGCGACAAAGAAACCGAGAGCGACAACGAGAAGAAACGATCCAGAGCTTCCTCAGTGTCTTCCCAAAGGAGATCGAGATCCAGGTCGCATTCGTCGGCTAAATCAAATTCCAGGTCGAGTTCAAGGTCGTTGTCGAAGTCCAGGTCTCGTTCGAGATCGAAGTCGTCGTCGAGGTCTCGGTCCAGGACGCCGTCGAAGTCTCCCACTAGGTCTAGGTCCGCGTCAAAGTCCCCTTCTAGGTCTAGATCGCCGTCGAGCGCCAGATCCAAGTCGGCTTCCAGTTCTGGCTCGAATTCCGAAAGCGAGTGATTTATTTCTCGTATGAATTGTTAAAGTTTGCATTAAATAAACTAGTTTTTTATCTTCGATTCTTGTTGGGTTTAAATGAGAGTAATTTAACAATACATTTATTCATGATTCCATAAAATAAATTTTAATTTACAATTCGGTCAAAGTAGGCTCCTATTTAACATTACTCTAAAATTATCTACCGCATCTTCCTCGCGTAAATTTGTAAATTATTTTATTGACTATAATATCTAAGTCGACTAGTTTTATTACCCTTGCCCGATGTGGAATTGGACTGTCGAAAATCCAGGAACATCCAGGAATATTCGTTAGAGAACTGCAGATTATTTGAATGACATTTAACAACAGAAGATGGTTATCTCTAGAATATTTCTGTATGTTCAATTTACTTGAATATTTTCCCTTATCTAAATTTTCATACAATATCAATTCTATCGATACTATGAAAGTAACGTACGTCAGCAGATGTAGAAGAAATTTCTCAATTTTCGTTGCTTTACACATTAGAAATTTAAGGAAAATACCGCATGCACCAATACGATGCTCGGAGTGTAAAATTTCAGAAAACCGTGGCTCAGCGCCCGGGGAATCTCATGAGGAAGGTAGAGTAGAAATAAATCCGAACGTGCGGCCGCGACCGATCAGAACAGCGCCTCTTGGACCCAAGAATGCTTGTCGAGGCTGTCCAACGAGGAAGCGGAGAGGTTCCTGTCCTGGCTGCCGACCAGCGTGGACGAGGTCTTGGAAGAGGGGATGTGTTCAATGTCCACGGGAACGGTCAGTCTTATCCGCCTTCTTTCGTAGCAGGCGCCGTCCTCGCTGTTGGCGTCGCTGTCCGTGCTGAACTCGTCCAATTCGCGCTCCGTGTCCTCGTCGTCTTCCTGGAAAACCGAATCGCTGGCCAGCGATTGGGCTTCCACGTCTGGAATATCTGTTCCTGGCAAATCGAATTTAAACATTTAAGCATTCGTGTCTTATTAAAAAATCGATTGGGTTTGTTTCGGGCGAATTGAGAGCATCCTGTTGGTTGGAAATCGGAAATCGAGTCTCTAGAGGTCATTGACTAGTTGGCCCCACAGTTAAAAAAGCATAGTAAGAATGTTTCAGTGGGGTACAGATAGAGATTGACAGGGAGAAGGTATGATAGGGAAAACGGTATCGCTAATTACGAAATTGAACTTCATTTTACGTTCGTTTTCGTGCGTAAAATTCGAATGTAAAAAGTGACATTGTTGACATATTTGAAAAACAATTTGATAGACATTTACCGTTCGTTTTGGATGAACAGAATCAAACCCTAGTTACACTGAACTTGTAAGAAATTGAAGATTGATTTTTGAAATCACTCAAATTTAGGCATTTTCGCCTCTTTGAGTATTTTAAATCACAAAAAAATCTAGAATTGATCAATTTTAATTAATTAATCAACACTAATGACAGCTGAAAAGAATAAACTTTAAACTGTCAAAAATGTCATTTTAGATTTCAACCCGATATATTGATCTTGGCATTAAAATCATTGTACAGGATGTAACATATTACAGAAAAGTACAAAGTTGCCCACAAAGATAACAGCCATTAGTCTCATATAAAGGAAAAAGAAAGAATAATATATTGTGGTATGTAACTTTCTCACTCTAACCGTTATTTAAAGAAGAAGCAACAAATATCCACTGCAAGTGAACTTACCTAATGAGCTATTACAACTACTGATCGAAGCAAGCGGCGCCAGCTTCGGCTTTAAATTCGGAATATCAACAGCCCTGTTGGAGAGCGCCCGACTGCTGCCGTAGGGGGATCCCCCGGGCGTCGGCTGCGTCACCCTAATGTCAATGGGACAACAATAGTCGTACAATTCCGGCACGATGGTGAACCGGCATTGGGACGATTTGCATTTGTGCGTAGACATCCCAGGCGGCACCAGCGTCGTGGCCGAGTCCCGGCGCTCCAGGTAGGAGCTGCCCGATGACGAGCACGTGATGTTGCTCGGTCTTCGCGGTACGTCCAAATGGCTACAAAAAAAAACAATTATCACAGGAAAAACGGTATGTTCAAATAGGGCTGTTTTGTACCAATGTAAGGGGCCACTAGAGGGAAGAAGATTGTTTAGTAGAATACGTACTCGTTATAATAAATATCGTCGCAAAAGGACCCGATTTCCTCGGCCTCGTCGTCGGTAAACACGGGCAGTTTGTGCTGGAGCCTCGTCGGGGGATCCACGAAGCCCGAGTATCCGGCGAACGAGGAGAACCTCGACGCGTTCCTGCCCCATTTGGGCGACAAGCTCGACGTCTCCAGCGACTTCCTGATCCTGCGCGGGTTCAGCTGGTGCTGCACCGTCTGCTCCAGCACCTTCTGCAACTGACGCTCCTCTTCCTCCTCCACCTTTAACACCTACAGATTATCATGTGCAGATTTGCCGGGAATGTGTGTTCATGTTAGAGTTCGTCCGAATGATTGGTTCCCGCGTGAGCCGATTCGAATTTGCCGCGTTAAATTTGACAGTTTTATGACAAGTAGCTGTCAAACGAGATTTAAATTTTAGTTTTTCTTGTGTTTATCGTTGAAATAAATTATTTTATACGCCTCTTTATAGTGCTCTAATCGTTTTGAGGCGTAAGAAAAGGTTTATATAATACAACAATGCAATACTGGTTGCATACTTTTAGGGGTATCACGTGGTAACCAATCATTTAAATACGATGAGGCTGTCGTGTGACGTTTATTCGCACCTCGGCGATCGCGGCTGCCGTGAAATCGGGGTCCTCCATGGCCTTCTCAGTCTTCGATTTGGATTTGTACAGCATGAGGAGCGCCATCAGACCGAAGAAGCCGCCCAAGGTGATGGCTATGCGGATGCCTGTCATGACGTCGTACGTCTGGTAGAGCGGGTGCATGGTGGTGGGCGGCGGGGGCGGCGAATTAACAGTACTAACATTTCGTCCGTCGGAGCCATTTGGCTCGAAGTCCATTACGCACGGGACGTACCTACAAGCACATCAAGCATTGCTGGTACACCAGCCGATTCTGCTAGTTTGGTAGTCTGGTGAAAGAAGGACCTAGATTTGAGAAATTGTTCAGAATAATCGGTAAGAGCCTAAACTAAAGGGAGTTTTACTGGAAAAGTAGAGGATATGAAAGAGTTGAGAAGAGGTTTCATTGTCTAAATGACTTTTAAACAGTATTATGATGCAGCAAATCTCTACTAACTTTTATTGCCATTTTCTACCTCTTTCTATCCTTCTTTTGAGTTTTCCTATCCTTTCTGAAGCTTTCCTAATCCCACTATTCCCTATTCTTTTGAATCTTTCCCTTCTATTCGCTACGAATGCTGTTTTCCTACTCTTCCCTATTCCCTAATACCTTTTCCTAGTCTTCCCTATTCTTTTGAAATTTGCCTTACTCTAACCCTACATTTCAAAACTCTTCTCTATTCTTTTGAACCTTTCCCTATCTCTTATTTCCTTCCAATGTTATTTTCCCTACTCTTCCCTTCCCTTCCATAAACTTCCCTACCCTACCCTATCCTACAAATCTGTGTCTATGGAGATTTTAGTTCGATATCTAGAGAGCCTTTTTAATCATATAATAAGAAGAAAATGAAAGAACCAAATTAAGTGAGCATCTAATCATGCAATTTTACTGGAATTATGATCATATATTTTTTCGAGAAAAAAAGGCCCGTTAAATATTCCTTTAAACTTTCCCAATTTTACGTAAATCACTAACAAAACGGATGGTTTTCCAGCATTACAAATGGATTTTTTTTCCAAACATAAATTGTTTTGATTTTCGCATTGCTATACGTTGGTGCTTATAAATAAACATTTCGCTTCGATGTAGGTACATTATACGTACAAATTAAAAGCCGAGCTTTAATTAAAAAAATAATTCCACAATACTACGCTTTATTTATTAATTTAATCACCGAATTTGTTTATGCGAAACAAGGATTATACTCTCGTGAATTCCGATAGTTTTCCACAGACAGATAAACTTACCTATCATAATATTCGAACCAACAAAACGCGAATCATAGCATCCTAATTAAATTAGTTAATTAATCACAATTACAATCTAATTGGTCACTTTCCACGCACATGACACCAGCAAAACACCACGAAAAAACCGCTCTCCTCTCGTCGAAATCCACCATTCACCATTCACAATCGCGACTATTTTTAGTGTAAACCGTTTACTTTACGAGCTCCGATGGATTCCGCTGGATATCCAGCGGGAATTTATTTTCTGACTGGTTCTACGCTGTTGCTCGACTTCGACGGGAGAACGGGAAACAACGTGTTGAGCTTCCGACATGTCCGGTTCTGTGGGGAACGGGCCGTCGCGGCGCAGGCGTCGCCTTTTTGCGGCCAAGGGCGTCGAAAGAGGGATTTACGGGCGGCCCTATCGATCTCCGGGAACGATCCTCGGCCCGAGGGCGCTCGTTATTAGCCCTTAACGGCCCAGATGCGGGCCTGTTTCACTCGGAAAATTGGCGCGGGATATGTGGCATGAAAGCAGGGATAATTTCCCGTACGGGGAAGGAGTTGTTGTTTTTGAAAAGTTGATTCACGATGTAAAAAAAAGCAGGGAGAATTTTCGTATACTTTTAATTAGAGAGAAAAGGTTATTATTTTTGAAAGAAATAACAAGTTTAACAATACAATATAATACAAATGCAGTATACAAACTCTATTAAAACAGTACACGATTTAAATATAAGGCAGCGTTTATTAAGCGAATGTTACAAATTGCAAATTAAAAAAAAATGTTATTTCATCAAATTTGCAGGAGAGCTTAACATATGAAGCAATTACAATAAATCCAAGTATCAAAACTTTTTTCTATATACGTATATATCATTGGCAGGTATAAATAAGAGCACTTACTTATTAATCATTATAACAATTAACAGTAGCGTAAAAAATTCTAAAGTAATCGACTCGAAATCGATCTCTCTGGTTTCCCACGACAATTATTCCATTAATAACAAACTCCAGAATTAATTGCGTGATCTAAAAATACGGCTCTTTAGTAATGCTCGCAGTACGGGGAGTGCCTAATTCCGAAACTATGCGCAGGTGGAACGTCTAATTGTACCTAAAAACACCAATAAATACAAAATAATACGTCAATAAATCCATTCTGTGCATCATTTGTGCATTCAAAAGAGTACCTCATGCAAAATAAACTGTGTTGTCGTTTTTAAAAGAGCTCTCGATCTCGAGCAAACTTACATCTCGTGAATAAAAGCTACAAGCTTGTTTTAATAATACACTATATGCATTATTTGTGCGTTCAAACGAATCCAAAATAAAAAAATGTGTTTGTAAAATATCCCATCAACCATACCTAAGAGTCTGCCCTCGATATCTCGCCCGACTCGTGTAGCAAACTTACGCGTCGTGAATGAAAGCTATCTCTATAACGCTCGTTTTATTAATATATTACGTGTATTATTGTTGATATTCCGAGTTTTCGGGCGTTTTAAAACAACCACGTGGTTTTTTCCCGCCTCAAACAGCCCAACTGGGAGCCCAAATAGGGCGAGTGGCGTATGCCGAAGGAATGGCAAGGCGCGTGCCTCAAATGCGAGATAACCTATCGAGTAACGGATTAAATGTATTCTCGAACAGAAGGGAATTCTCACCTTTTCCGGGGAATACACGCCCGGTCCGGGAATGTGATCGTCCCGCGGGACGTTCACTCTGCCGCTGATCGTGTAGGCCGGGGAGTTTTTGTACAATTCCGGGAACACGTTGTTGTATTGGCCGGGCGCCGGGTTTTTCACGCGCTCGTCCAGCGGCTCTTTCGTCCTGCCCGATATGGTGTAGGCCGGCGCTCCGCCGGTGCCCACCACCGAGGGTATGTTGTACACGTTAGGGGCTGAAACAACAGAAATTCTTTTTATTTCCGAAGAAGATATGGTCCCTTTGATTTCGAAAGATTTGGAGGTAAGTTGCTGGATGAATCGATATGAAGAGGCCGCTGTAAGTTATGAATATTATCTGAGTTAAGTTGCTGGATGATTCAATAAGGAAGGGTCGTTTTGACTCGTTTTGATTGCGAACGATTTGGGGGTAAGTTGCTGCATGAATCAATAAAAAGGGTACGTTTTGAGTTAGTAAATTTGGGGGTAAATTGCTGGATGAGTCGACAAGAAAAGGCCTCTTAGATTTCGAATGATTCAGGGATAAGAGGCTGGATGAATCAATGAGAAAAGACCGCTGTGATTTCGGGGAATTTTGAAAGCCTTAAACTTAGTTAATATAACTATTAATCTAACTCTTATGACTCACCTGGAGTGTCTCCAGCTTTTCCCATGTTCGTCTTCAGCCCAAAGGTGTACTTGGGCGAATCGTCGTGTATAGCCTTCTCCGCTTTGTCCGGATTGTAATCGCCCGGAGCCGGGAAATTGTCCGGTTTCGGCTCCTTCGGCCGGCTGTGCAGGCTCAAAGACGGCGGGGTGTCTTTCCCTGTAGAAATTTCCGCGTTTTAGCAATACGGCCTCGTACGTATCAGTAAACCAGCCATCAAAAATAAATCAATTCGGTACCTTTAGCGCTCATTCCGGATATGTTGTATTGGCCAGGTCCGGGCCCGACCGTGTCCAATCTCCCGTTTTGCCTCGAACCGAAACTGAACGCGGGCGCCCGCTCGGTTTTCGATTCCAAGGCTCTCCTGCCTGAAATTCGAATTTTATTTTACAATATTCTAATGAATTAATTAAATGCCTACCTATGGAGGAAGGCAGAGACACGCAAGCCGGCCCTGGACCGCTGAATTCTGCGGCGATTTGACCTCTTCGTTTGGTCGGTGTCCAAGGTCTTTGGGTGATTCCTCCCATATTAAATCTGAAACGGAAACATCGCCCAATTAACCTATCTAATTACAATTTAACACAAACATCAACCAACGCGAGTTATGTTAATGTAGTCGTGACGTCATCGCTAAGTTAGTTTGAGCTTACTATATGTTATAAATTACCTTAAAAAATTCTGGAATCGATTCTAATATACCGCAATCCAGCACGTTTGGTCTTTATCCCTGGAACAGAGCTTTTCCAGAATCGTGCCAGGTACGGAATATCCTACTTAATATAGTTTATGAGAGCTTCGAAATCGATTGTCCACAATGCAATTATTATTGCACAAATAAGCAAGATTTAATTGTTGCCAAGAGATAAAACTGGTTCAATTCCCCAGAAATCCAGTATGTAAATGCACATTGACCTTAGTTAATTGCCAAAGAGCCCCGCTCAAGAACATAATAGAAAGTAATCGCTTTAAATAGATTTTTTAATACTCGTTTCGAGAATACATTTACATAACAGGTAAATCGTATTGATTGCTTGTCTAAAATTATGATCAAAAAGTATCTATACTTATTAGGTAATACATGTGCGTAATAATGATAAAAACACCTACACTTGAGTTTATGAATTATGTTTATAAAAAATAGTAAGAGGAGTAGTTTAAATAAATTTTTAATAGAAATATTGCGGGTGAATTGTGCGTAATAAATAATCGTTAGGTACTTATAAATATTTATTAATTAAATTAAGTTGAAGCTATTAATAATTTTTATACTGATTGTGAGTGATCATGACTATTTTGTGTAATTAAAATTGCGCCTATAGTTAGGTAGATACTTACAGTCAGGTGTTGGTAATAAAAACTAGTAAATAATCGTGCGGGAAAACGCGCAGGAAAATGGAAAAATCCAGTGAAATCGAGCCGAGCTGAGCCGTTGCTTGAACTGTAACCGACTGAAATGAAATTTTTAGTGGTTCACCGTGGGCTCCGGCGGGTCCGGTGGCTCCGGGAGAGTTCGGTTTCGCGTTGGCGGTTCGTTCGCAACGCAAATGGACATCGCGGGTATGGTTTTGACCATATTTGAAAGTCCCTGGAAGGCGATTCGCCGTCTCGTCGGGTCTCCTACTCGGCCCGAGTTTCGCTGGTTTCGAATGTGACTAATGATTTTTGATGGCCGATTTTGGCGCTCGATTATTGCGAAATTATTGCGAATTTTCGACAAGAAACAGCGCAGATTTTTCTACTTCTTTAGTTTAGTTTAGAAATATTATTCGCAGAGTAAAGGGTACGAGAAATGTAATAAAAAATGAGTGAATAAACACACGTTTAGAGATTCTTAGTTGATTAGCGACCCGTTAGTAAAATCAGTAAAGTGTATGAATAAATATCGAAAAAATAAAATAACTTACAAAAATACTTTTTGTCTTCTTCTTTTTCTGCTCTGCAAATCGGCTTTATTGTGTGACAGTCACTACCAACTTTCATTTGTCAACCAGCAAATGCGATCAACACCAAATAAATCTATTAAAACAGCAAAATTCGAATAATTAACAACAACAATAATAATATAACTCGTAAAACCTATTTTTACCTATATTTAAATATTTTATCATTCCACTGCAGTGGCGCCATCTGTAAATACGTATTCAAAACCGTTGCAGTACAAAATGTATTTAGGATTATGTAATGGTGGTTGCATAAGTACTAGTATTTTACGGGCAATTTAGTTTAAATTATTGATAATTTTATTAAATAATTCCCTTTTACAATCATGTACTGCAGGTAAGTTACTACAATACCCTATACAAGTAAGTATAAATAAATTAACGCATAATAGGGAAATCAATATAACTGAACTAAAGCGCGGAGTGCGGTCCAGTGGAACAATTAAATTTATTAGAACTTATCGCGACGTTATATTGAAATGTACACTGGTAGACTGGATTTTGTCTTTAGACGGCTAAAAATTTAACGTTGATTTCCCTATTAATGCGTAAACTTATTTCCAATACTGTATATTCAAGCACTGAATTATTTTTTATCAGAACGTAAATCGTAATAAGACCATAATTGATCAAAATATAATTCCATTAATTAGGTAATTTACACTTCTAAAGAATGATTTAACATTAAACTAGACTTCATTCGAACCACATCCATTCTTTCTATACAATTCTTACACATTTCTCGAGTTAAAAATAGACTATTCACTCGAACATACCAAAAATCGCCATATTTTACCCGTTTTTTTCTTCACCCATCGCATTTAAGGTTCCATTAAGGGGCATTCGCACTCGCCAACTCGATGTTATTCAATTACAGGGCCCCCTTGTTTGCGTCCGCTAAATCTAAACTCAATTCTAAAGCTTTTAAACTGAAGAAACTGCTTTGATGTCTCTAATAGCTGCCACTAAATCGAGTTAATCAGTCGTCTTTTGGCGCCGGTCGGGACTTCCCCGAACGAGCAATGTATAAAATTATGCAACAAACTTCTACACAGGCTTCTGTAATAAGGTTACTAATAATATTTTTAATAGTGTTAGATTTTGCTTAAACGAATTCTGGGAAGTACCGGCTAGTATTGTCGAGAAAAAAAAACGATAAAATTCACGTTTAGAAATCGTTGCCAGGTGACAAATAATTCCAGTAATTGACGGAATAAAATGCACGATGCTATTAATTCGATATAAAGATGTATTTTTGTATGAAACTCGACACGTTGAATGGACACGAGTTCGAATTGTCGAGGCCTCGTGACGGGTGTTATTTAGATCTATTTCCGTTAAATAACGCAAATTTAACTACATATTTTTTACGTCCACAAGAGTGAATTCTACGTTCTAAATTGTATTCGGTACACACTGTATACAAACCAGCGGTATTTTATCTGTTCTTTTTCGATTATTTCGGCGAAAAACGAACGAAATCATGCACTTTTATTGCCAAAAACGATGTTAGCAATACAATTGAAACGAAAATAGCGTTGCGTTTAATGGTGATGGATTTTATATTAAGGATATTCCAGATAACTGATTTCTGATAAGAGCTTTTTACCCGTTAAAAGCGCTATTATTCTACTCCAGCAGAGAAACTGATAGAGATAGTCTGTTAATTAATAACTCTTAGATAAAAGCTAAAAACAAACAAAAAGTGCCGACTCTTTTAATTAGCATATTTTCGGTAAAATATTGGAATATTTCATATAATTACAAAGCTGCAACTAGCATTGATTTTATTCGCCGAATCTCGAAAACTATCGAGTTTTCGAAAATTTTGCAAGATACCAAATTTGTAGAGCGCAGGTTCTTCTATCTCACAAAGTTTATTGGACATTTTTATCGGGAGCATTTACCCAAGTACAGGACATTTCTCTTAGCTTGCACGGTTAGACAACAGCGCCCCCAATTTACATAGGAAGAAGGGACATATTGCTATATTGAACAGTTGCATTTGGGAAACCTGCCGGGCATAATCTCTGGAAAAGCGGAAAACTAGAGAGAACTGTTTGACTGTGTGCGCGCCGGAGGAGCTCTGAGGTTTAACATTAGTTCCTAAAAAGTCGCTTTATTGAATGTGATGGTTGATTTGAGTGAGGAACTTTGGAATTTTTAATAATAGGTAATTATACTATTTAATTTAAATTTATTAAATTAATAACAATTGTTCCAGTTGTTGGAAAAATATATTTTCCATAATTTTAAATGAACAAATATTACATGAAATTTCTTAAAAAAAATGTAGAAATTTTCAGAGTAGGAATTAAATATTAATTATTATTATAATATAACAATATAAATTGTATCAAATTATTGTACGTAACTACAGGCATGCTAATGAAGCGCATCATTCGTGTTAAATTTTATTTCAGATTCAGATATTGCAAGAATGGATTATAATTTTACACTAAACATTGGAAATTTTAATTACATCGACGGCATAATTACCAATTACAGTGATGAACAGGATACCTTATTATTGGACAGATATTTAAAAAATCGGGATATCGATGAACCAGCATATACAATACTTATTGTACTTTATTGCATTCTGATTATCGTTGGAGCTCTAGGAAACACTCTTGTTGTAAGTCTTATAATTGTTTTAGAACTAATTCAGGACTAATTAGAACTATTTCGAACGGTTTGAGAACTTGAATTTGAACTGTCTAGAGATATATTTATTTCTAGATTGCTTCAGTGCTGAGAAAAGCTGCGATGAGAACGCCCAGGAACATGTACATATTCAACCTAGCAGTAGCCGATTTCCTGCTGTGCACCTTGACAATGCCCATGACGCTAATGGAAATTCTCACCAAATATTTTCCACTCGGAAATAATCTGTTTATTTGCAAGTTTATCGGGATACTTCAGGCTACGAGTATCTACGTTTCCACGATTTCCATCAGCGCTATAGCTTTGGATAGATACCAGGTAAAACTCGTCGCTATAATTTAATTCGGAAAAATCTTGAAATTTTCCGATCCAGGTCATCATGTACCCTGCCAAAGGAGGCCTTCAGCTACGCGGGACCATTGGTATACTTGTACTGATCTGGTTACTAGCCATAGGATTGGCCCTGCCCTTGTTCATCATCAGACATCTCGTGCATCACACCATCCCATTGGAAGATGATTATTTAGATATAAATTATTGCATTGAAAACTGGCCTGTGAAGCACGGACGGGCTTATTACTCCGTATTTTCTGTGATTTTCCAATATTCAATTCCCATCATAATTGTCTCGGTAAATCAATGTTCTCCTAGTATTATCCTAGTGCTAAGGAATCGGTAATGCTTTCCAGGCCTCTTACGCCAGGATTTCCTACAAATTGCGCAACCGTTTCACCAGCGGTTTCGTGGGAGGAGAAGATAACCAGAACAATCGCAGAGAATTGAGGGGCAGGAGATTGCACAAAACCAACGTCCTTTTGGGCTCCATCGCCATAATTTTCTGCGTCAGCTGGCTGCCATTGAATCTCTTCAATTTAATAGCCGATTTTTCCACCAGCAAATCCTTCACCTCCCAGCCGATGATGGTAAGATTTTTCCATATATAATTCCCACACGGAAATTCATTAACATAATTCAGATATGCTACGCCGTGTGCCACATGATGGGCATGTCCTCGGCCTGCTCCAACCCCATCCTGTACGGCTGCCTGAACGAGAACTTCTGGAAGGAGTTCAAGGACATCTTGTGCATCAAATCCATCGGGGGTCGCGCTGGAATATCGAAAAAAAAGTCCTTCAAAAGGACTTCGTTAAGAGTGCAGTATAGAGCTCGGCCCGATTTGGTCACGGCCGGGGAATACCAGCTGGGTAACACGCTCAGCAGCGACTTGACCGTGCTGACGAGGACCTAGCTATCCAGGAATTTAAAGGGCAACGAGGAAAGGAAGCGCTGCCGTGGAAATTATAGCGGAGAAAAACGAAATGTGATTGTTAACAATGTTAATGGTGGTAAAGAGGTGTTTGTTTTGTAAATAAACTCAGTAAATATGCTTTTGTTGACACGTTTGATTGCTGATAACTGAATAGCAAAGGTCAATTTTTGATTGAAAGTGTACCGTTAAGTTAGCTACAGCGAGTGTACTTGACAATTCTGACACTTTCAAATGTCATTTTTAGGCATATATTTGAAACGAATGTACGAAATTTTGAATTTGTATTTTCTACGCAGTTAATTTATTTTACATTACAATTTTTAAATTTACTTTAAGATAGGAAAGAGAAGACTTTATACCCGTAATTTGATAAACATTTTATTCATTTTTTTTTACATAAAGTAAACAATCAATTAAACAACTACGCCTATTGGAAATAACTTGTATTCGATAAAAAGCTTACACAAAAACGAAATTTCTGTCGCAGTAATTCACCAATTGTTCATAAAACAAATTACTGTACAAACACACCGTAAAAAAACATATTGACCAGAATATAATTCAACTAAATCAAAAATATAAATCTTCGCATATATTATATTAATTATACATCATAAAAACAATAAAATAATTACTGAATCGCTAAATATAAATTTACAACACGTTCCATATAATCACATGACTTCAATGTCAATATTGGGCCTACAATGTACATCGAACTCACCCTGCATATACTAAGAATTTAAAGCGCAAAATTATTAAAATGTACCATTTTTAAAAATCCTATTACTAGTAGTTAAATTGTAGCTTCTGATTAATTATTTTTTTTGTCATTATACTGTAAACTCTAAGCCCAATATCATCACATTATCATTACTCAGTTCTCGTTTGGCTCGTGACATTTTTTTAAAATCCTAAATCTACTACCATTATACAAAAGTAAATCTAGTACGGATTTTGGAAAAAAGGCCCGGAAACTAAGTAACCGAGTAACGAATACCAGTGCTTAAACCATATACATCGTTAAAGGAGGCTTTTTTATAATAAGTAGAAGCCCTTTAGCCCTTTTTTTGGTACTAAGTCTAGCAACATCCTGAGCCTTGGGAACCCCCCGAGCTTCCGGAACCCGGTAAAGAGGGATTGGTGGGCGAATGTTGCGGTCCTATTTTAATACCGTTAGCCTGAAAAGAAAGTATACAAAATTAATAAAGTTTAGGCTTTTAATTTATCATATAACAATTCACCTCGTTGTTGATATCGAAAACGCCCTCCTGAATCTTCTCGTAAATCTCTTTGGCCGTGTTAATGAAAGCTTCTTCGACATTCGCAGCGGTTTTCGCTGAAGTTTCCATGAAAACTAATCCGTGCTCTCGAGCAAACGCTTCGCCTTCTTCTTTCTTCACTTCTCGTCTACTTTCCAGATCGCTGAAAAAACACCAAAATTAATAAATTTACAGTAAAATCGTTACAAACAAACCTTTTGTTTCCAATCAGCATGATAACCATATTCGAATTAGAATGTTGACGGGCATCGTCCAACCACGTAGTTAAATGATTAAAGGTCTCCCTTCGAGTTATATCGTACACTAACAGAGCACCTGCAATACAAAATCAGTGAATACAAAGCAACCTTGATCGAAACGTTCGTAAATTTACCAATACAAACAGGTACTTAAATCAACAGAACTAATTAAATTATTGTCATTACCTGCAGCTCCTCTGTAATAGGACCTGGTGATGGACCTGAAAGCCTCCTGCCCGGCAGTGTCCCATATCTGCAATTTGATCTGTTTGCTATCAATCGTAATCATGCGAGCACCGAATTCGACACCTATGGTTAAATCGTGAACGGGCTGGAATCGCTTATCAGTGAATTGAAGCAGGAGACAAGACTTCCCTACGCCTAAAAAGCAAATAAAACGACAGGTTAACAAAGGGGACATCCATAATTCATTGTTTGAGAACGCAATATGTAATCTCGATAATCTTGCAGATGGCATTGATTTTCGTATGGACTGTTATGCGGGCGATATACGTTACCTGTGTCTCCGATGATTATGTATTTAAATAAATAAGCGTACGACATCGTTAACAATTATTCGATACTGCGATTATTTACGTTTTCTAATCGGGAATTTCTACACAACTTGCTGACAGCTGTCTGGTTTTGGAGAGGGAGAGGATGTTCGAATTGCGCATGTGCCACTCGAGCGATGGCGATTGGTCGATAATTTATTGGATTTTTGAAATGTTATGCGAAATTAATACAATTTGTATCGAATTTTGTTGTTTCGATATGTTTGTGCTGTTAGACAAACTCAGATGTGTTCTTAATTAATCAAAAAAATAGATTTATTTTAATTTAGGAAACAATAAAAAAGAAGAATAAGCGTAGTATGACAATTGACAGACGACAGTGACATTGCCGATTGTGACACAATACATGGCGTAAACATTTGTTTTGGCTGCTTTATTTTTGTTTTTTCGATTTAATTTATTGTAATTATTTAGTTTTTAACTATTAATTTTGACTATTACTCTATTAATATTTGTATAAAAGTTAAGATAAAGTGAATTGTTTAGAAGTTTGAAGAAAAAGCTGCGAATCTAATTGTTTGGGTAAGTTTTGTTACATGTTTTTCAACAATTTAATTTAGCATTTAGTAATTAAAGCAGGTTATTTTATCACAGAAGGCTGTTTTATATAAAATTATACGAACATTTACTTTAAAATGCACGAAAATCATAGTAGCTTTGCTTGTATATTAACTATCTTGAGCTACACTACTGTAGCCTATTTTTTTGCTCATTCGAAAAACATTTTCAGTCTTTGCAGCTTTATTTAAACTCACAATTCAATTAAGTACAAATTCCATCAATACAAACAAGTCTAATCCGAGTTCCAAGCGGGACGGCAGACTTTATTATAATCCCAAGTCTCCTCCAAGTTCGTGTAAACTTTAGGGCTCCTATCATTGTAATTCAAAGCCTCGCATGCGCGACAATAGTGAAACACGTCGCTTTGGAAGTAACCGTGTTCGTTGAGCACTTCGAAATTGTACTTCCAACCGTAATAATTCATGTATTCACCGGTTTTGTTCAATCTCAAAAGGAATTGTGCCAGCGAAGCAGGGTTAGCGAAATCGTCCACGTGTACGAAGGACTTAGGGGGTAGTAGCATTTTGTAGCTCTCGGTACTTCCTCCCATGATAACAGGAATGGCGTTTTTGTTGAAGGCGTTCCACCACAATTTTTCCGTAATGTATTCCTCGCAATTGGAGTTTTCGAACGATAAGTAAAACAAATAATCGTCTAGTAAAGGGCAGTCTTTCGAATAGTGACCGGGGCACCTGAAATGTTACATGTGATCTATATTCGAACGAGATTGGTTTGGAATTTCTTACTTTAACGGGCCGCAATTGCCGTACACGTCTACTTTCATGAAATTCTGCAATTCCTTTACATACTCTAATCTATTATTGGGGGCTCTGCAGTTCGATATCATAATGGCGGCTAAGACATCTCTTCGCTTCATGTTTATCCAAGCGTTTGTAAGATTGTTTTTGAGTACAGTCCTTCCGTATGGTACTGGTATATCCGAGTCATGTCTGGAATATTCCTGGATTACTTTTGTTAGGTACAAATGCGCAATTATTACCTGTAAGACATAGACCAGTTAAATATACCGTTGAAATTGGTTATATTTATCTTTTTCCCCTGATCAGTAAGTGTATTTCTCCTGAAAAGAATCACGTTTTTTACATTGTTTCACAGCGTAAGTAATTCGTTTTTTAAGCGAATAAGCGGAGGAAATTAACCGGAATACCCAGAAGAAGCCTTGCTTTATATAAAGAATGGATATTTTACAACCCCATGAACGTGTGATAGGGACTTTCATCGGTTAGAAAGGCCCAAATTTGGCCTTCCTTTCCCCGTTTTCCTGGCAATTCTTTTAGGCTTTTCGTCCGATGTAAATGAAATATCACTAAATCTGCAGTGTTTAGAGCTGAATCATCATAGGTTATATCGCAATTGCTAACCGAACAGTGTCGAAATGGATCTATCCTGTAAAAAATTGTTCATTTTTGATTCAATTTTTTAAGAGAAATGTTTAAATTTACCTGTCTTTTGTGTAGTGTTTCATTAATCTTTTCTCGATTGTGGGACCGTATTTCCACAGTAGTATTTGATGTTGTTGATTGCCTTGTATTGTTGGTGGGTTATCTCCCATAAAAAGAATTCTACCCAATTTAGAAAGGTTTTTCTAAAAGAGTACTATACAATACACATTTTATTCGCGTTTTATAGTACTTACTAAATTTGTTCTTGAATCTATCCATTCTTTTACGTTCTGGTCCTCATGTTCAGCTTCTATTGCTATTACATTTTGTTCTCTATACACGACATTATGTATCGCTATGGTTTGAAGGAACACGTACATAATGGAAGTTGTAATAATTATTGTAAGGCATAATTTGGCTTTGTGATAATTAAATATCCTGATCCTTATCATGTTGGCAATATCTGAAATTATAATTCGGGTTTTTTTAGTAGAAAGAACGAGTTTTCTTACCTTAATTGATTTGAATAATAGGGGATGCGGGTGTATTTGTAACCAGTAACACGAAGGATTTTTTGGGGATATTTTGTAGAGTTTTTTTTACGGTAATTACCCGAATTTCAAGCAGCGCTGACGGCAATCCTTCAAGGTTAGGCTTGAATTAATTCGTTGCAAAACCGAATGTTACAAAATTGTCCCAAATTAGTGCTCATTTCGGTCTAAACAAATACACTCAATAGATAAATATACCATACCATATAAATTCATACATAGATAAATGCAATATTTATTTAGCATTGTATCGATTTTAATGCGTGATTTTCTAAATGCAAAATATATTAGATTTAGATTCATTAGTTCTGCACGATAAGCTAAATAGGCAAACGCGAAGATTTAGTGATTTCTAGTAAAAACAACAAGTAATGAATTATTTTCGTTATTCATCACATTTTTTTTCGCTCGTTATTTACCTTGTAAATCTTATGATAATCAATAATTTTCGAAAACATTCCCGAATTTAATTAAAACCACCGACATCAGAAATTATTTAGCACATTTTCTGGCACGAAAAACACTTCAAAATCTGATACATTTTTTTTCCGCGCGTTCTCTCCGAAAGAAACCGAAACTTTTGACTTTTACTCGCGCCCAATCGCTTAATTATACTGCTTGATAAGGAATACCGTACGGTAACGACTGTCTTTATAAAAAGCGCATTACAAAATAGAAGGCAGTCGAACGAATCCTCGTAATTTTCGCTAATTACGTGTACAAGGTATCGCTCATAGGCGGACTTGCATTAATTTTATAAAAAAAATATGTTAAATAAGTGTATTCAAATGGTAGAAACTGCCGTTTATGCTTCAATTATCTGAGAAAAACTACTTAGATTTGTTTATTCTTAAATTGTATTTTGTTAATTGCAGACTTTGTATAGACATTATTTCTTCATGAATGGTTTTGAACTGTCCTGAGCCCTTCCAAAACCATCTAGAATCACTCTGAAGGTACTTGAAACGTTTTGAATGGTTCCAAAACCTTCTAGAATCGTTCAGAAAGGGCGTTGAATCGTATATTAATTTTTTCATACAATAAGAGCCTATTTCCATTCTAATGAATATACATTTTGTTAAGAATTTAACGTTCTGAATGGTTATAAAACCGTTCTGAAGCGTCCTTTAACCTCAATGCATAATGCATTTTTCCGTTCAGAATCGGTTTGATGTGTTTTAAAACGTTTTAAATGATTCAGAACTGTCCTTCACCGTTCCAAAATCATCCAGAATCACTCTAAAAGGACTTCTTTTTGAGTAGTTCTAAAATAACACTAGAAAAGTTCCAATACTATCCAGAATCGTTCAAAAAGGGCATTTATGTTTATGAATGAAACATTTTTATCAAAAAACTAGAACGTACCTTTCAGAAATGCAATAAATAAACAAATTTCCACTTCATTTGCTAATAATTCGTACTTGAAATAAATTGTCACGTTTCGAGCGCTATTCTTTTAATGGAAATTTACCTGTTAATAGTACATTGTTTGCACTTTTTATATTTGCTTAGTGGCAAAAAATACTCATAATATAAAATAATTTTGAAATAGAATACAAACAACAAATCAAAAAGATGGTAGGGTAGGGTGAAACGATTGAATTTCACCGGGGTCTCGAACTCCCCGTAATCCCATTAGAAAGTCGAATTTGCGGGGTGGATACGCCATTATTTCCTTCTGTAAATACTGAAATAATAATCGCCCAGGCTACCTCTCGGTAGTTTCGACCTGCCCGGATAGAACGAGATTGAAGATAATGCAACCAGACTGTAGACCTCTCGCGGTGCGGAGGGAGCCTTGTTAACGCGAGATATATGGACCAGTGGCGCGCCTTCTTCGCCCCCCAAACTCCCGTTTATCCTCATCGATAAATCTCCCATAATACTAAACGAGTAGCGATTGATATATCGTTTAGAGAGGATTCCTGTGAGAAGATTCTCGAGGTAGCGGAGCGTTAATTATTCGGGTAAATACCGGTAACGGGCGATTTCGTCGAAGTTACGGCCATGCTAACCAGATGGACCAGGACCAAAACAAGAAGAAAAGAATCCATAAAGAAGATTAGGTTAGTCGACCTTTGTGCATGCGAGCGAGCGCATCTACCATTCCCGGTATCTCATCGGAGTGTTTCGGATCGCGTTTCTTCGATTTTATTTCACCTTTTATTTTCCGAAGGATTTATCGTTTTAACGGAATGCCGCGGAATGATGTAGCGAGTGCGGTCGCCGGGAATTCTAATTATGTGAGGCCCGTTTGAGTTATCGAAGAAATTAGGTGAGGATTTTAATGGGGATTGTTGCAAAAAATTTATAGAGTCGCCAATAGTAGTAATCGTTTGAATCGTTCTGATGGATTCCGAATATTCCTGAAGTGTATAGAACCTTCCTGAATCACTCTGAAGGGTTTTTGGACCGTTCTGGTTTGTCCCGAATTATTCTAAGACCCACCAGAATTACTCTAAAGGGGTTTTTGGACCGCTCTGGATTGTCCTGAAGTGTTTTAGGTAACACCAGAATCAATTGAAGGGTTTTTGGACCGTTCTGGATTGTCCTGAAGTGTTTTAGGAAACACCAGAATCAATTGAAGGGTTTTTGGACCGTTCTGGATTGTCCTGAAGTGTTCTAGGAAACACCAGAATCAATTGAAGGGTTTTTGGACTGTTCTGAATGGTTCTAAAATCGTCCGGAATCTCCCTGATAAGCGTGATTCTCGAGAATTTTAATTATGCGAGGCCTGTTCGAGTTATCGAAGAAAGTAGAACAAACAATTATTAACCTAATGAAAGATATTTTTTGGTACAAAATTATCGGTTTTTTTAACAGTCGAAATCGCGCAATAATTTCGATAATTATTGGCAAATTTACTAATTGTGCAGATATTTGTTTTCACCTTCGAATGTTAATAGTGTGCACCCAAATTCGAATTTTTTATATCGAGGACTAATTCATAATAATTAATCACTTATTTGAAAATTATACTGATTGTATCGACTAAATACTTACATTTAGAAGAACAAATCACGGTTTACTGTTTAGTACCTTCGTTTATATAAAACTTTAAATCATTAGTTCATTGTTGTTCGAATTAAAAATTGCTTGAGTCATACCGGACAATTTAATGGATATAATTACTTAAAAGAAAAAATACTAGTTTTGAAATTATCGAGCGATAATTAACGATGGGAATCCGTGACTTTAATGGCAGCCAGTAGTACTGAAAAAGTATTTGTTGTATTTGTATAAAAAATGGTACTCGAAATAAAATGTTTTCAATATTAAGAACGCGAGAAATTCGATCTGTAAGGATCACAAAGGATTTAGTCGTAGCAGGTTATTTGACCCTATACACGAGAGATTTTATCTAGCTCGGAATCTTCGTCGGTGCGCGATGATTCAGCAGAGTTCCTATTTAATTTTCTCTTTAATATTATTCAATTTTTATATTTTCTATTGCAGATAATCAGAAATGTTGAAGCGGCGGCATCCCGATGTCGCGACGTCTTCCCCCACAAAACCACCTCCAACCGGATAATAATCCTTATCAGGTAACATTTTACACTTAAAAATTTTTCTACTCTAAAATCGCCCCTCTTTCAAATAAGATTTGGCCTGTTTTGGGTAAATTAACCAGCTCCCTTTGTTAACCATTTATCAAAAGGCGTCCACCCTTGTCAACCAGATAAAAGATAAGGCCACGTTTCGTTAACAGAAAAAAAATGTAGCAAAAGAATCTTTTTCTTTCGAGTACCAGAAGGTACTGCTCCTTAGCTTTGTTCAGTTTATTTCCGGACGTTAAAGCACCAACAATAATGTTAGTGAACCTCGATTGGAGAGAGAATTTTAACAAGGTATTAAATTTGCTTTGATTCTAATGTTAATCATTATTGTAACGTTAATATTGTTTTCATTGAACCGTTCTAAAACAGTTCAGAATCAATCTGCTGCATTTTGAATCGTTCTGAATGGTTTTGAAACCGCCTTGAAACGTTCTAAACAGTTCAGAACCACTCTGGTGCTTCAAAACGCATTCTGAAGCAATACAGAATTGCTCTGGTGCGTTTTGAACCGGTCAGAATGGAAATAGTCTTGAAGCATTCTAAAATAGTTCAGAATTGCTCTGATGCGTTTTGAGTTGTTCTGAATGGTTCTGAAACTGTCCTGAAGCGTTCTAAACAGTCCAGAACTACTCTGATGCGTTTTGAGTTGTTCTAAAAGGTTCTGAAACTGCCCTGAAGCGCTAGAAAACTGTTCAGAATTACTATGGTGCTTTTGAGTCTTCCTCAATTGCTCTGGAACTGTCCTAACGCATTGTAGAACGTTGCAGAATTACTCTTACGCGTTTTGAGGTCTGAATGGTTCTGAAACTGTTCTGAAGTAGACCGGAATTACTCTGGTGCTGGAGTCTCGAAAAAAAGAAGCTCATTCATAACGCTTTGTAACTAATAAAATCGGTACAGGACACCACGTTATCAGCCTGCCCGGCGCAGAAACCGCCGCACAACCACCACAACCACCAGTACCAAGGGTACCAGAAGCAATGGAGGAACAGCCTGCGCCACAACGGGTACCGCAAACATTTACCCACCACCACCATCGACATCGGCTACAGCGGAGACACCACTGACACCCAAACGTACGATTACTATCGTCACCACAACGGCTTCCAGCACAGTCCTTTGAAGGAATCCCGCAACACCGATGTCACCTTCTCCGACGACAGCGGCTCCACCAGGTTGCCTTATTTCGAGTTCGATGACGAATCTAACAAGAGGTTTGTTGTATTTCACCATTATCATCAGCTCCAGCTGTCGTTAGTTTATATTATCATTAGTTTTTGATGCTATTAGCTTATGATATCATTAGTTTATGAGGCTTATACTAAAGCATCCTCTCTAATCTCCGTGTTTGTTAAATAACGGATCTGTTTTCTCAGGTATTCGAGGCATTCCTGTTCGAGCAGGAGCTTCGGAAGGCCGAGCGTTCGAGGTCCTCCTGTCAAAAGCTCGAGGAAAGTTTATCCCAATCAGGAGCCGCAATTGTGCGAGCAATTGTACCACGAAATATCCACGCCGTAAGCTTCTTACTTTTCTTGATAATGTAGGATTTTTAATAGAGTTTTTGTAGCACCGATGTAAACGCAGCCGGAAGATCTCCCGGTAGACTAGCGGAAAGGCCGCAGAGCTCGATGAGTTCCGGCGTGACCAGCGCGATAGTTCACGGTTGCGGCGGTAGATGTCAGACGTTCGAGAATGTCTGTTACTTTTTCCTGCAGGTGAGTCGAGCTCGATACAAACTATATATACATATATAGATATTAAGAATATACAAAATAAATGATAAGGTAAAGATCTAGAACTCTAGAAATCTAGTTAAAAATAAATGGAAGAAAATAAGCGATCGATTATTTGTTTAAATATTTCTTGACTTCAGTTTTAAATCTGTCCATCTTTTTTAAATTTCTCAAAGAATTTGGAAGTTCATTAAAGTTTTTAAAACAACTGTAGCTTGGTAAATTTCTGCCTTTTTCACTTCTCACTTGATATTGAATTTCAATTCTGTCTGCATTTCTGGTGTTGTAGTTGTGGATTTGTGAAGTAATTGTTGGAATGATCGAGCTTTTTAGTTATCGATTTTTTATCTTGAAGGCCAATTTACACTTTTCTAAGGCTGCTGTTTTGTTGATAGGTAAAATTGGTAGAGAAGCATATAATTCACTAGTTCTAGTTTCATATGGTATATTGTATGTATTTTTTATAGCTTTATTTTGCAATCTTTGAATTCTATTTAAGTTAAATTTTGATGTATTTGACCATATTGGTATTAAGTAGAGAAGAATAGAGTGAAAGTAAGCATTGTAGATCATTAACTTTGTTTTATTTGAAAAGTATCTGTTAATTGCTTTAACAGCTGCAACCAAACTGCCCAATTTTTTGAATATGTTGTCAATATGCTCATTCCAAGATAATTTTTCATCCACTACCAGTCCCAAGTATTTATGTTCGCGAACTTTTTTAATTTCCTGATTATTTATAACGATTTGTAGCTGTGCGTGGTTTCTTCTTTTGTAATTAAATTGTATGTAGACAGTTTTTTCTTCATTTAGCAGTAATTTATTTGCACAGAGCCACGAGGAGAATGTTTCTAGATCACTATAAAAAACTATAAAAAATTTACTCAACATTTCCGTATTTCCAGCTAATCTTCACCATGGGCATCCTGATAGGCGTGTCGCTGTACATAGCCGGGATCGTCCTGCGCAAATCGGCGGCCAGGAACCTGCAGGTGCTGATGTACATCGGCATTTTGCTGAGCTTGGTCTGCGGATTGTTGTTGGGCATCCAGTACGACGCGAGGAAGACGGCCAGGAAGCGAAAGAGGGCCGTGCAGATGGCCAAAAGGGCGCCGATACCTTTGGAGAATTTGCATTTGAGGGTGAATCCGATGCACCAGCAGCAGGTGGCCTGCGAATGGGGCACGGGGAATCGCAGGTAAAATGGTTTTGTTGCCTCTTTTTCGTTGATTTGTGGTTCAATATTTTGTGGTTTGGTTGCAGGAATTCGCAGTTACCGCGAGTGCACGGGAATGTCAACAGGCCGTTGCCTCTTCGACCTTCCGAAAGGGATTCTCCTGCGATTGTAGAAGAACCCGGGATACCTTGGTGGAGACGGAAAGATCTTAACGCTCATTAATGTCTTATAAGCTTCTTAAGAACTGTTCTGAAGGGTTTTTGGAACGTTCTGAATTGTTCTAAACTATCCTGGAGCGTTCTAAAAGAGTTCGGAAGAACTCTGAAAGCTTTCGGAAGGTTCTAAATAGGTTTGAAGTGACTTGAAGAGGTATAAAGCCGCTCAGACTTACTCTGAACGGTTTTGAAGCGCTCTGAATAGTTCTGAACCGTTCTGAATAGTTCTAGAACATTGAAACGTTAACATCATGTATCTTCGTTCACTTGCAATATGAGTTCGCATTTTTTATCGAATTTTTCAAAGTATCTAGATCATTTAGGTACCTTTGTACATTGTAAAATATGTATTATATAATTTTCCTAAATGGATCCATAGAAGTTTTTTTAAGAAGGCTAGTACTTTAGCTAATGTTTTAATACTATTGAATTGTATATCTGTAAGAATTTTTATTTTGTCATATTAATCCTACCTCAACGATTCTTGTGTAATTTTTTTCTAGTCTTCTGTAAAGTGCCACTATAAAATTTCATGTGTAAAACAGACAATTAATTAGGTAATTTTTTTGATGAATTAGAGAAATTGTATTTTTTCGGTATTGTGGAGTTGTTTGGACTATTTTATAAGAATGGGTGACTTTTCGCGTGTATATTTTCGATTTTTTTTAAATTTTGCATTGTTTTTGGATACCAATATTTTGTACATACTATCTTGCATTGCAAACCGTTGTGAATTTGTATTTTTCTAAAATTTATATGTAAATATTTCACGTAGGCATTAATAAATATATAAAACATGAATCCAAAACTATCTATTCATTTCTCCTTATTTTACAGCCCTTTATGTTTACTATAATATGATGTAACCTAAGAAAAAATTATGATACATGTATTCTTCTTCTTTCAAGTATTATAATTATTCTATAGTCCAATTCAACAAAGGGTTTCAAATGATTAAATGTATCCAAATGGTCCATCCAAGGATCCAAAACATAAAGCCCAGAGGTACTAGGTCTGGCAATCTCGGAGGACAGGGAACAGTACTCTTCTTCCACTACTACAATAATTTCTAATGGGGCATTACCCAATAGGTTTTTATTGGTATAACTCACATTAAACTAAAGTACATAATTGTTCAAAATGACCTCCAGCTACTTCGCAACACTTTCTTGCTCTTCTAACAATCGAAGATGTAACTCTACAAAGAGTATCTGGGTCATTCCGTTTGGATGCAGCTAAAGCCATAATGTTTACAATTATCTCATCTCTGTTTTACGGTGAATTAGAATACACTAAACTGTTCACAAATCCCCAAAGATAATAGTCCAGAGGTGTTAGGTCTGGCGATCTCGAAGGCCTTTTAACAGGACCTCCTCTTCCACTACTAGAACAATTTCTAGTAGGCCAATAAAGAAGCATTTATTGCTTATAATTTGTTTGTTAAGTATTGAAGTTTAAAGCACTTTCGACTTAAGGAAAGGAAGGAATACCCTCCTAAAACATCCATCGAATGAATTAGAATACACTAAACTGTTCATGACTCCCCAAAGATAATAGTGCAGAGGTGTTAGGTCTGGCGATCTCGAAGGCCTTTTAACAGGACCTCCTCTTCCACTACTAGAGCAGTTTCTAGTAGGCCAATAAAGAAGTATTTATTGCTTATAATTTGTTAAGTATTGAAGTTTAAAACATTTTCGACTTAAAATTGACCAAGGAATACCCTCCTAAAGCATCCATCGAATCACTGGATTCCCTTGAAAGGGGAAAGGGAATAGAAAATCCATAAAAAAATACAATTCCATTAAAAACCCCAGCATTCCACCCGGTGCACAGAGCCCACCCTCAACCACGAATTAATGCATTAAACACACCAAACGACAGAGGAGACAGACACTCCCTTCTAAACAACCGGAAAACAAGAGGTGCTGCGCACCGTAACGTGCATTAAAATCGTACGTTAAATTACTCCGAGCGTCGGAGAAAACCGGTAAACCCGCTGCGACTTGTTCCTCGTCGAGACCCATCCCGTGCCGGAGCGCAGCAGAAAAAACCGCGTTCAGTCCGCAGCGAAAACCGTCCGGTGGGTGTGTTGATGACAATTAAAACCATTTACATTCCGGTGACTAAACGGATAAGTGTCCAGTTTAATTGTACAAAGTCTTTTTGACCCCGCTGGTTGGGCGTTGGATCCGATATTAACGCACGTAAGTACTTGTGCTACTTTTACTAGGCGCTATTTCTGCTGCTAGGCGAGGTTTTTGAGCGGTTTTTTTAACGAATTTTGTGCTACTTGTTAACGGTTCTTTAGCGTAACGTAACGCTTCATTTGAACCTACAAAGTTTATATTATTCTTATTAAGTTTTAAGTTTATTTATTACTTCTTACATATTCTTCGAAATTAAATCGCCTTGAACATTCTGTTATGTAATGAAAGATATTCGTAATAATTTACTAACGACAAAAAATAACTCGAAATAACTGTACTTAAGTTATTGTTTGAGTCTTTAAATAATAATTGCATCATCGTTGGCTCCTTAATATGGAGAATTCGTTTCACAGCAATAATTTTTTTGTAGAAACATGAACGTGTAAAATTTAACTTTCATCTTGCGACAAAGTATCGTTTGAGTAATAATGTTTTGTTTAAACAATTTGCGCTCGGTAGAAAAGTAGGTACATTAAAGAAATTACTGGAGTTTGCAGTTAAAAAGAATTAGTCACAGTTTTCTTCCTAAAATAATATTAGATTTTAAAGATTTTGAAGACTTGTTTCGAAGTAATTATAACGTAGTTAACAAGTCTACTGACAAAATCATCAAATAATTAGACATCTATTTAGTCACAGCTAATAGGCCATTAGAAGAACGACTAAAATTTAATGAAAGTTACTGGTAAATTTCTCCCGAAATATCGAACACAATCATCTGGATAGAATCCCAATTAATTGGAGTAATATCTTCTTCAAACTAATTCTCATTTATACAGTGAATTTCCTGGTTTCCGGTGGAACAATTGCCATTTTACAATGTTAATTGTTGCAGTAGTTCAAGGTAGCTCTTCCATGAACAACTACACTACTTTTTCCGCTCGTAATCGAAAGTTTTTTTCCGATTACTCTTCAATGCGACTATTTTAAAGAATCAAATAGTTAACAAGTCGATAAGATATAGGAGTAATTGGATAATACAAATCGAAAATACCGCTTATTTCGCAAACAGGTATCGCAAATTGAGCATTAATAGCGCGCCGTTAATTGTAAACAAAGAACTTCAAATTGTTAACAAATAACTTATTTCTTTGACTTAATCGATTTCCTGCTGAATAATATTAAAAACGCCTCGAAACAATCGCTTTTTTAAAACTTATGTCTCAACATAACTGTCCACAAAAACTATATTTAAAGAGAACAATGAGGCGTATTAACCTTGCTTGGTTATTTCATTTCGATTGAGTACCCAGATTGTTCGTACAACTTTTTGTTCTGAAACTTGATAGGAATTTACAATGCATTTTCTCGCATGTCCGATACTTAACTATTGAGTAATCCGTTGGGAAATACGCAAAAGTTATTTTATTAATTATATTTTCGTCCTTTGGGAAGGATAATTCGTTTCGTACACGTTATAATTATCCCGTGGAGATCCTAGTGGAACAAACGTGAGGTCTTGAATTACAATATCGTTAAAAATGTTCCCCAAATTTGCGCATTATCCACTTTAATTCGAGTCTAACAACCTACTTAAACTTAATTTTCATCCCGAAAATTCTTTTTTGTTCCACAATAAATCAATTCCCAACGTAATTACTGCTCCAGTTAGCTACCTACGTACTTATTGTTGCAATTATACAACGTTTAAAGTAATTTACTCGTTCGTTGACCTTATTTTCGGGATGTTAACGTTAAAACGTTATAGTCTTTCGCGCGGGAAACTTCTTTTTCTCCCTGATTTCGTGCAAGGGTTGAGCAAATGTTTGTATTTATAGCTAATAAATTTCCCCCCGATGCTCTTCTGTGCCTGTTACTCGCATATCAATCAGCCTGACGGAATATATACGAGCTAAATCTAGAGACACGCACGCTAATGTCTCGAGAAAATCGTCTTTGTTCTTTTAAAGAGCAGTAAAGCAGTAAATGTTTTTAAAATTGGATGTATTTCATGAGAAATTGCGCTGGAGTTCGGAATAATTTAGGTTTATGAAAGTGGAGGTAAATTCGAATGGCCCGCTGGTTTGCCAGATTTGACCCTAGTGTGTTTTTCGCCTACTTTTTGTATTCGTGTCGTTCGTAATATTTCACTTTCTTCGCTTCATTCGCTTTCTAAAATGAACATACTTGGTTTGAAATTTGAAATAGTATTTAAATTGAGATGGATTTTGAGTCATTTGAACTGCGGTTTCATTAGCAATTGACTCAGATACCGCGTCAAGTAGTTTGTTTCTAATTATTCCCAATACACCATCAGTGACTAAGATAGGATTTTTATGTGTAATAACAGAAATGACTCATCGGAATTGCGAGTATTCTACATATTATTCAACAGTCATCGGAGATCGGAACATTGGAAATGTACAATTCTTTTATCGAAGTTGTAAATATTGTATATTAATCACGAATTGTACGGGAGTAGGAAAATTTATTGCTCGAACCACATTCGAACTAATCGCGTAACAATTATTATTGAAAGGTGCTCAAATAGTAGAGATGGAAGAGACTTGTGTTATGTTATTTCAATTATAAGGTGTTCGTGAAGGTCAATTTATTGCACGTTTGGAATTTATTTCAAAGGTATTTAGTTTAAATGAAATATTACTCAAAAATTTATTTATTTAAAAAAATAACTGGTTAACAAAACATCGAAATTTTATTGCATAAAAAATACATTTTATAAAAATACAAAAACCCCATTATTTTCTCTTTGTATTAAATTCAATATTGCATTGTTAGTAAAAAATTATTTTCAAGACAGTTCCTATATAACTTGCATGTACATCAAAGAGCATTCTAAAAATATGCAATTAACAATTTATTAATTTTTATTATTATTATATTATTATTAATTTCTAACATTTTATTAGTTTAAAATTATTCTTGTACAGCAAGTAAGACTAGCTTAAAAAGTAAACATTATCAGTCACATAAACATTTAAAGAAATTAAAAATCAACTGGCAGTTAATACAGTAATTAATAATGCATAAACTAATTACGTTATACAAAAAGGTACATTCGTAATAATTTTATTGTACTTAAGTTACGTATGAATATAATATAAAAATTTGATCAATAAAATACCTAAAATTATTTGGAGAAGTGTAAAAACATCCTGGATAAGACGGTTTATCCTAAGGACCCTCCAGACATCATCTTATCAGCGCAGTAATGAGGAAACTGGATACCCGACAGGAGCAATTCAGCCAGAGACTGGAAATATTGGATAGAATTAGCACAATTTATGGAAATTTAAACGAACTTACTGTTAATGGTGGAAGGCACACGCTCAAAGGATGCACTATAATGTAGAATCCCGCGCAAATTCCTGCTATCCAGAAGGACACCAGGATCAAAATGATCAACCAAACGATAGAATTCACCACGTTCGCCATCTGGAAATTAATTAACAATATCAAATTAATTAAGAATTTTCTTGCTATTATTTACGATTTACAGGATGTTTATTTTGTGTTGAAATTCTCGTCGCTTCGTATCAGAATGATAAAATTTTGTTTTAAATGACAGAAAAAAATATCTACCAAAATTTCGTAGGAATATATTGTGTTAATCTATTTATAGAAACTTATCAGTGTGTTTATCAATTTCTACGGATCAAATTCTTTAGGGAAAAAGGTAGAATTAAAAACCAATAGGCACCTATCCATTTAGTGAAATTTTAGTGAAATTTAAATTAGAAATAACCCCGCCTACATATTATTCTACTTGCACAAATACGCAATAGAAACCATTTTTTTAGGTTCACATTACTTAACCACATTTAATCTACTAATTATCATCGCAACGCTAAAACTTGAAACAACATCTATACAACACTTTCAAGCGCCTCGCTCGAGTTAATCGCCTAAAAATTACCCAATTCCGGACAACAAACCACCATCGACCTACCTTGATGTGCCCGAGAAACCACGAAAAACCCCGCAAACGGTACCAGGAGAGTACGAAAACACACGTGTATCGGTCACGAACCCGCCCGATAATGCGCCTTGCGTCGCGTATCGCCCAAGAAAATGGGCGTCGCCGCCGATGAGAAACCTGCTTGGAGTCTACTCGCTTGGATTACGGTAAATCCGAGTAGCGTAAGAGTCTATTTTTACGCAGGGTTTGCTTAAAAATCGATCGAACGAGGCGCTGGTTGTGGAGTCATTCGATGGGCCTTTGCACGTTGTGCATGATTTTCGAGTCCTTGTTAATTCGTTTATCGGAGTGATTAACTGCAATTTTCGTGTAGGATGAGGAGTTTAATTAAAGAAACAGAGGCGTATTCAATTAGTATTTTTTTGTAGAAAGTAAAGAATTGTTGGTTTTATAACAAAAAATCAGCAATTTCTTGAGATATAATTAGGGTAAAAAGTAGCTTATATGAATATTTTTTCTGAGCAAAAAATGCATATATGATTATTAAAAATTAGGTGTTAATTTTATGCTTATTCCGGTCCTGTTTGTATGATGATTTTTTAAAGAGGTTTATGTTATAAAGTAACTTGTTTGCTTTTACTTATTGTTAAGATAACGACATTGTGTAATTTTATTGTCGTACGTCATAAGATAATTATTATTAGATTTTGTTATTTTAAAACTTAATTATTGTTTTTTAGTTATTTGATCAATATTTTTATCATTTTTCTACTCTACCCTACTCGGTTACACTCTACTCTACCCTGAATCTGCTCTACTCTGAATCTACTCTATGATCATCACCCTACTCTGCACTACTCCACACTACTCTATACCACTCTACTCTTGTGTTTAAAACCCCTTATAAAATTAATTTATATTTATTTTTTTTATTTTTCAGAAAAATGACGTGGTTCAGGCCTATCTCATTATGCATCCTATTGCCTTTAATAGCAGCTCAATTGAACTACCCCAACGACAATCAAAACTACAATTACAACAACAATCCGAATAACTATAACTCCAATTACCCGAATTACAACTCGAACAACTCGAATTACAGCTCGAGCAATCCGAATTACAACCCCAATTACAACCCGAACAACTCGAATTACAACTCGAATAATCCCAACAGTCCTAATTACAATCCTAATTACAACAGCAACAATCCTAACTATCCCAACAATCCTAATTACAATTCGAATTACAACAACCCCTACAACCCCAATTACAACATGAACAATCCCAATAATCCCAATTACAACCCAAATTACAATACGAACAATCCCAATAATCCTAATTATTACAACTCGAACAATCAGGACTACAATCGAAACAACCAGGACTACAATCGAAACAATCAGGATTACAATAGAAACAACCAGGATTACAATCGAAACAACCAGGATTACAATAGAAACAATCAGGATTACAATCGAAACAATCCTGGGAACAGCAATTTGAATTACAACAATCCTTCTTTTGTGAGCCAACCCTTGGATCAATCGGATTGCTGCGAAGAATACTGCTACTCGCAGGATCCCGAACCTTACCTCTATTTTGGTACCAAAACGGCCTATGACAGCATATCCAGGAGGGGTGGAAACCAACATGTTATTCCAGGTAAAACTAGTTTCCTTAATTTAGTCAAAAGTACCATTTAGTCCTTGATTTGTGGGTACCCTTTGGAATTAAATCCTTTTTTTGTGAAGCACAAATTGCATTTCTGTTGCAGATTGCACTCCAGTGCAGTTCTGGAGCATAATAAGACATGGTACCAGATTGCCTGATGTTGATACCATTAGATCCATGCGCAACATGAACAGGATCCATGCGGAAATCACCAGGAATTACGAGCAAAGGAAATCTTTTCCGGATAGAGGCAGGCTGTGCCCGCAGGATTACGATTTATTCAGGAAGTAAGTCTGCTAGAAAATTATGGAAATTTCTAGAAAAATCTAGTAACATCGATTCGTTTTATCCCCTTGTTAGAGTTGTAAATAATACATCATGCAAATGCTTGCAGGGGAAAGTTCATTATTTTAATTTATAATGAAAACGAATGACCTTTGAACTTATCTACGTATTTATTCCTCCTTTATCCTAAGAATACTGAACAAGTTTCCATACAATTTTTTTCCAACCTTTCTTTTAATTCAACAACTAAATTCCCGGATAATTTTCATCCAGATGGCACTTCAACGAATCTATCAACGAAGGATTGGCCAACACTCTTACCCGTCAAGGAGTCGAAGACTTGAAGCTGCTAGCCAGACGGTACAAGACCAAATATCCTGACCTACTCCAGAACTACGACGAAAGGACTCACTATGTAAGCGAACTATAATTACATGTTTCTACGCATTTATCAAAGATAGGGAAGGCTTGGAAATGCTTGGGAAGGCTTGGGAAGGCTTGGGAAGGATTGGGAAGGCTTGTGAAGGATTGGGAATGATTGGGAAACGAAGGATAGGATTGAAAAGTAGTGGGAATAATTGGAAATGATTGAAAATGATTGAAAAGGATCAATGTATTGGGAAGAGTAATAATTTAATTACAATTCCAGTTCCAATATTCCACTGACGACAGGACCCACGACAGTTTCCAGGCTTATATCGAAGGACTGTTCGAACAGGACGCGTTCAGGGTGCACGCCAACATGATCAACGGTGAAAGATTAACCAATGTAAGTAATTAAAATCTAATTGAACCGCTAGCTTGATTAATTAACGACGATTTTCGCAGCCCTTCCAGAACTGCCCCAGATGGCAGCAGGACGAAAACGCGCGCTACTACAGGCAATCCGAGTCGCAGAGGTTCAAGGAAAAATCGGATTACCAGAAATTGGTGAGAGACGTCTTCAGGAGACTGGGATTCCGGTTCAGCCTAAATTCCACGGTCATTGACGATATGTACGAACTTTGCGCCTACGAAAAAGCCTTCAATCCCCAGCCGAAATCGGCCTGGTGCATCGCCTTCAACAAGGAGCAGCTGAAGATCATGGAGTACATCGAGGATCTCAAGTACTTCAACGAATACGGTTACGGGAATCCCCTGGCAGAGAAAATCGGCTGCAGCAGCCTCAAGGACATGTACGAGCGTTTCGAAAGGACTGTAAACGGTAAGAAGGACTACTGGTGTATTGCGGGAATTGGGATTAATCGCGGGGATTTATTGCAGGTAACTCCGACGGTAACAAAGCCGCGTTCATTTTTGGCGATACGGCCAGTTTTCTCTCCACTTTATCCGCAATCGGTGCTAATAAGGATTATAGTCCTTTGAACGCTGAGAATTACTACCAGCAGAGCAGGAGGACTTGGAGGACTTCTACCATGAGCCCGTTTTCCGCTAATTTGGTCGCCTCGCTATACCAGTAAGTGTCTTTAACCACCACAATAATGAAGCAGGAAGTGTTGAGAATTTGTAATAATCTTTGAAAATTTTAGATGCAACCGCGGGGAAAAATACAGGGTGATGTTCTTCCTGAACGAGATTCCTGTGGAGTTCCCCGATTGCTCTGTGGGGCTCTGCAACTGGTCGACGATCCAGCAGAAGTACCAGGATTTGGTGAGGAGCTGCAACGCGGAGAGCATGTGCAACGGCAGAGGAAGTGCAGCTTCTTATTATGCGGAAATCGCAGTTTTGTTCGTAACTTTGTTGTTCGCCCTGAAAATGTAGAGTGTTTGTTTGTTTTGTAGATCGCAGGAGGCGTTTTTTTAGATGCATTTTTTTGCATTATGAACTGATTTGATCGTACATATGCAGATGTATGTAGATATATTTTTTTATTTTTAATATACTTAATATTGAGTGTAATTAATTGTGCATTAGGTATTTTTTTTATGAAACAATGTAATTTAGCCGTCCATTTGTGAATGTATTTTTTGTAAAATTAGATTAATTTTATACTGTTTTTAATGATTTTATTGCCAAATACAAAGCTTAAGAAACTATATCATTGTTGATACATAATAAATATGATTTTTTTATTGTTTTTTAAGAATCCCGGGGTGTTTTTGTAAATCCCCGAATCTCATATGGTAGAAACCAAAAAAATGCCATTAATTAACTGTAGTGTTCAAATGCTAAATAGTCTGTTTATTTTTCTGTTTTAACGAAAGGAAGTTACAATAAAATATTTTAAAACTACATTTTTTTATTTCGAAAAAATAATTACATAAAATATTCTATTACTATACCAGCTGTACGGGCGAGTTTTCCGCCTACAGCATTTAAAACCTGTTTGAAAAAACCCGTTCCATTCCACTTTCGAAATTAATTTTTTTTCCGCAGCCTACTTTTCGTTCAGTTAAAAAGTTTGAATTAATAATGCCTTCACGAATTCAATTTGTGTTCCGTAAAATTCTATTTTATTCTACATACATACATATGCCAATCTTTTTCCTGTTAAGTACTGAGTAAAAATAGAATGGTACGTCCTCGGTCGATGACTCATCTTATACGTAGTACTATATTCCAGTGGCGCGTCATGTAATTTCCAAAAATATTTCGTCACATTGCAAAATATTTTCCAAAATCTCGTATTGGAAAAATGTGACACAATGTCAAACTGTCAAAAATGACAGAATATGTCAGAAATTCGTGTTTTATGCGTTTTTGCAAAGAAATAAATTACAATATTGCGCCCTTTTATATATTCATCATGCCATAAGAACAAGGAGAACAATAAACTCAATAATAAAGCAAAAAACGAACGTATAATGATTAAATAAGTAAAAAAACTCTTATAGTACGCCTATGGTCAAGCCTTTCTCTCTACATTTACCTGTTTTGTGCATGCGCACAGAACGAAAACAAGCCATCGATTCTCCTCCTGCTGTCCTCACCGATTCCATTGCACCAAAGACTTACCTTAAAATAAGGTGGTTTCGATATAAAAACGGGTTAATTCCAGTGAAATACGCAATTTACATGTTGATAACTATCTTTTCCACTAAAGTAAACAAGTAAAATATCAACCGGGAAGTGAGATATCGCAGGAAATCATGAACCTCGGTGGTGTTGTTTAGTTTATTTCACACACTTATAAGCAATGCAATTTTATTCCTGCGGCTAAATCAACACTGATACACAAACAAATCAATAACGTAAGTACATACGCTTTATTAAAATGCTCATCTGTATTAATAATTAATAACACAATTTTTTGTGAAACGTAATTCCGCAATTCCATTTCATTAGCAAGCATTTAAAAATTTAATACACATTTTTTTAGCGAAATCAAGCATGTCGGGGGCTGTGTACCAACCGACTACGATCACCTACGAATCGAACGGGCAGCAGGAAAGATGGCAGGACAGGCCCATCAGCTACCTAGCTTCGGTCTCGCAGGGGGCCCGCAGGCCCTGCGGAATGAGCTGTTTACCGTCCAGGAATGTGCTTCCCCTTATGATTGTATCGTCCTGCGTTGGCTGTTTCATTATAGGGTAAGAGGCCATTTTAGCCCAAGCGTTATGAGGTGTCTAGATAAGGTTGATTTTGGGTATGTAGATTGACAATTTGGATGTCTAGATGGCTAATTTGGGTCTCTAAATAGATAATTTTGGTGTCTAGGTAGATAATTTGGGTGTCTAGATACTCTAAGATAGATAATTTGGGTACATTAGAGGAATAATTGGACTCTAAAAAGGTAATTTGGGTCTCTAGATAGGTAATCTAGGTCTCTAGATAGATAGTTTGGTCTCTAGGTAGATAATTTGGGTCCATAGATAGATAATCTGGGCGTCTAGATAGATAATGTGGGTCGCTAGTGAGATAATTTGGATGTTTAGATAGATAACATGAATCTCTAGATAGATAATCTGGATCTCTAATGAGATAATTCATGTCTCTAGATAATGTAAAGATTCGTGTAGTTTAAATTGAAACATTGCAGAGTGTAATTGTATCTAATTTTACAGAATTTTCTGTTGCATTTGCATATTATCGGGTAGTGCATTGTACGAGGAATTTAGTGCAAATACTTAACAGTTCCATTAGAATTTATCGTTAGAAATTGTCAGAAAATTATCTACTATTTAATAGATATATAATTGCGCTTTAATTGAATTCACTTGTAAGCTAAATTACTTGGTAGAAATAGAGGAATTTCTGTCTAATTACCATTTTAGTTTTTTGTTGTCACTTTTTATCTAACATATTTCGTTACTAATGTGATTGTTCCAAATATAATTTTAGTAGAGCATTCACTAATTAATTGACTCTTTCGGAATGTCCATATAGGTATTGTAATTATCTCGAACTGGTCTGGAATTAATTAAACAACACTCGAGTAATTTAGTAATCAATATGTAGAGTAATAAAGATAATGGAGGCAGGAATGTAAATTTTGTTATTGGATACTCATACCTTCTTATGTACCCATTTAAAATGAAAATAATACGTAAAGTAAATAATAAATACCTAGTAAAATTGACGATTAAATTACAGATTAGTGATGCTGATTCACGGCGCAATGGCGTACTCAGAACCATCAGAATCACCAGATAATCTCTACCTAATCGTAACCCTTATCGGAGCAGTATTATTCGCCACGTCCATTTTACTCTTCGGTAAGTCCATTTACACCAACAAAACGAGATTAATCGCGGAATTAACGTTAACATTTCAGTGTTCTTCGTCCGCCTGACCAGAAGAATGTGCTGGAGAAACACCAAAGACCATTTGAACACTTCGGGCGGTCAGGCTCTCACAATAAATCCCTCCACCGATCTGCTCGTCACGGCCCAATACGCCCCCGTCTCCGAGGTGGCCTACCAGCCCGCCCAGCAAGAGGACACCGAGCAGAGCAAGCTGATGGCCCCCGAGCACAAAGACCTGACGTAAGCCATCTCGATCTGTCACTTACATTATGTGTTCGACGATGTCATATCGATTTGTTTCGTTTGCAGAAATGAAGATGTAGATAGAATGATCGAGAGAGATCCGAGAATCGTCCTTCGTCCTTTGAATACTCCCGCGCACGAGGACACGTAAGAGGTTCCATCTGGAAATCTGAAAATTCGCGACTGTCCGTTTAGAATAGAATAAAGTTCGTACGTTTTAAAATGACCGTATTAGAGCTATCTAGGATCATTTATACCGCTCCAGAATCATTTAGAACTGTCTAGAAACATTTAGACTGCTCCAGAATCGTTTAGAACTGTCCAGAATTATTTAGAATGCTGCAGAATCATTTAAAACTGTCGAGAACCATTTATAATTATTTAGAACGCTCCAGAACCGTTTAGAACTGTTTAGAACCAATTAAGACGCTCCAGTAAGTCACAAAAACAACAAATTGTAGTCAAAACCTGTCAATCAAAACCCTAGTCATATGGCGGAATTAACATTGGCACTAGGGACATTTTGAATTGCGTGGAAATTACTAAAAATGATGTCATTGTCATTTTAAAGCGAACGAACTTTAGAAAATTTATTTTTCTTGTAGTAAAAAAATAATGGAGGGGCTGGTGATTCGGATGAGATTTATAAAATTATTAGCCTGAGTTTTGCGTTGATTTGGATTTATTTTGACTCGAAATGCGCTGGTTTAGCTTTAAAATTGTTAGTTTTTTTTTTTGTAAATTAAGCTCGTTTTTTCGATATTTTAAGCAAGCTTTAGTAATTTAAAAGAAAGTTTAAAGAGATCCTAATTTACTTGTATTGTAATGATAGTGCCAAATTACAAACATTTTTATTTTATTGGATCGTTTTAGTGAAATTGGGGCTAATAATCTCGCGTATTATTCGCAAAAGCGACTTTACGAATGCATATCAGCATTTGAACGAGTTAAGCAATATCAAATTCTAATTCCTTATTATTATTTATTTAATATTTATTTTAACTTTACACGTACGGCTTGACTAAAATAGGTTTTAGTTAATTGTTAGCGTGCTTTAAGCGAAAACTAGGCCGGAATGCGTTGAATTTATTCGAAATAAATTACGTTTAATTTTGAGACTTAATAATTTATTGATACGTTAGATTAATTGTTTATGCGTAACGACACGATGATATTTAAATGTACCTATTTTGAGAAAATATTTACAATTCGAAAATTTTTCGAAGCTCATTTTCACTGGTATTTTCCTGCTGGAAAATCGGTTGTGATTAATTTTCCAGATCTGCATATTTTTCTCTCTACATTTCTCGCGTGAAATATTGTGATTTACATATATCAAATTAACGATAAAATTACGTTTGCTTCGTTAGAAATTTATTACTTATTCACTTATACACGTTAAATTATTTTAAGTAGGTATCGTATTGATTTTTGTATTCCAAAGTTTTCTTAATAAAAATAATAATAAACGATTATTTGAGTTGGAGTTTTTTTATTATTGGGGATTTGAAACGCCTTGAAATTATCTAGTTTCAACGGTTTTTTTACACAAATTCGATCAAAACCACTAGTTAAATAATTGAATGTAATCGATTTGGTTACCTAGAGTGTGACTAGTTGTTGTTTTATAATATTTTTGCAACGTTTTCTATTTTAAATATGATATTTAAATTGAGAAATTGGTAATAAATCTCTTCAAATAGGCTGCTTTTAACTTTCAAGTACCATTAACTAGTAGTTGCATAATTATAATACTTTTTTTTATTATAATATGCATCCCATTAAGATGATCTTTAAGGGAAGAATTTTAAGAAACTTTAATAGCGATTTTAAGGATTGCTAATGAAGAATTTTATGAAACTTTAAGGGGGATTTTAAGGATCATTTATGGAGAATTTTAAGAATCTTTAATGGGGATTTTAAGGATTGTTAATAAAGAATTGTAAAAAACTGTAAGTGGGATTTTAAGGATCTTTAAAGAAGAATTTTAAGAAATCTTGTAAGAGAGGATTTAATGGATCTTTAATCAAGAAATTGAAGAAACTCTAAGGGGGATTTTAAGGATCATTCATGGATAATTTTAAGAATCTTATTGGGATTTTAAGGATTGTTAATGAAGAATTGTAAAAAACTGTAAATGGGATTTTAAGGATATTTAAAGACGAATTTTAAGAAATCTTGTAAGAGAGGATTTAATGGATCTTTAATCAAGAAATTGAAGAATTTCTAAGGGGGATTTTAATGATCATTCATGGAGAATTTTAAGATTCTTATTGGGATTTTAAGGATTGTTAATGAAGAATTGTAAAAAAACTGTAAATGGGATTTTAAGGATATTTAAAGACGAATTTTAAGAAATCTTGTAAGAGAGGATTTAATGGATCTTTAATCAAGAAATTTAAGAAACTTTAAGGGGGATTTTAAGGATCATTCATGTAGAATTTAAAAAATCTAATGGGGATTTTAAGGATCTTTAATAAGAATTTTAAGAAACTATATAAGGGGGTTTTCAAGCAGTATGAAGTATAAGTGGTATATTATCTTTAAATGGGTAATGTTAAACATATTTAAGGTCATTTTAACGGTCTTCAAGGAGTTACTTTAAGGATCTTCAACGATTGATTCATCAATAACAAATCTGAAAAATCTTATACATAGAACACATTCTACAACTCCTCAGCCCTATACACCGAACACACCTCTCACATCCCCATCGAAAAACACCCAACAATTCGATCCCCAAACCATCTCACCCGGCCTCGACCTTTCAGCAACTTCCCTGGACGCCATCGGGCGGCCGGCCCCCCACCCGGCGCACGCCAATGTCTCCGCCAAACGCATATTCACCGAGTATATTCAATCGCCTAGTGTCCGACCTGCACGCAGCGGTTCCACCGGCCTGCGACCATCCACTTCGCCAGCCACATCCCAGCCGAAGAGTTCTTCACCTTTCCTTCTGCATTCTTCGCGGACCTTTGGCCGGACTGGCTTACCTGTTCGCCCGCTCGTCGGGCATCGAAAGTTCAGTTTTTTAGTATCTCGGTGCGACTTCGATGGGGTTTTTTGTGCGGGTTATTTAGTGGTGGAGTATTGTTGTAAGAGACACTTGTTGTTGCTTGGTTACTGGCCGGTTGTGCTCAGGTGTGAGGGCCGCCCACGCGTTCGGTGTTCCGAAGGAGAGAAGGGTTGTGTTGGGTGAGTTTCGTCCGGTTTTGAAGGGGGTGTGTTGCGGGGTATTGCGATTTTTGCGTGGTTTATGTTCGTGTTAATCGGTTTCGTTGTTCGTATGTAAATTGCGATTATCTCGAAAACTAATCGAGATAGGAGCATCCTGTTTGTTTCGTTTTGTAGTGAAAACGTTTCGCTGTAATTGTGGAAGAGTGGGTTATTATTGAAAATCGAGTAGTTTGCGAGATATTTCGAGTTTTCGTTCGCGTTGCATTTATCAATGCACTAATCAATGCATTCAATAAGAATCCTCAATATCTCGAAAACTAATCGAGATAAAAACACTCTGTTTATTTCATTTTATAGAACAAAGGTTTCTCTACAATTTTTGAAGAATCGAAAATTTTCTAAAACCGCTTTATTTTCGAGATATTTAGGCTTTTTAGTAGGCTTGTAACGTACATTCTGCTCGAAAATTACCTGAAATTCTGTACCTTTTACTTACATTTCGACCTGTTTTTATTATCAACCTAAATATACACCGGTTTTCACTCGAAAACTGTACATTATTCATTCTCAAAGAATACTCCTTTATCATATTCCCCTACGATAATAATGACCATACCGGATATAATGCCATTGAAGCAATATTACAGTAAAATCCACTAAAAAAATTTACTAAAATCCACTCCAATTTTCCATGCTCAGGTAACGCAATTAAAAAATTCAAAAACACGCATACTTTCAGTATGAAACATTGTGTTATTTCGTCCTCTATTTTTATATTTAACCGCTAGTTATCCAGTTGCGATTAATTATAGAAAATACTATATTGTATAGTTGCATATGCGATATGGTTCCGAGCGCTTCAAGGTTCCTAATTATTAGTTATTTATCAATAACATAACGCACATGTAACATTAGTAAATAGATATGCACGTTTTTCTTTGATATGATAATAATAACTCGCCAACTTCCTGTCCCAAGAAATGTCTTCATTTTCAAATAAAACCCTAATGTGCTAGGGATTAATTTTTGGTGTATAACATTTTCTAATACCACCAATATCCTAATGAAATCGAGCATTTCTCGCACAACAGGAGTGAAAAATTATACGTCTGACCTCTATTATGCTAAGAAAATCGACCTACATACAGCGAGAGCTGTATTTTTCCTAAAAATCACGTTAAAAATGGGACCGGTCACTTCCATAATTGGCTCAATACACGCAACATCAGATGCCACATAAACGAATATTTCGCTACACCCTGTATATGTCCATTCATCGTCCAATCGAATAGCGTAAGTGCGTAATTGTAATTAGAAATTGAAAGTAAATTCCTTCTAGTACACTCTTTTTTATTGCTAATCAATTTTCTACTTCATTTGAAACGCTCAAATCAAGGGTTAATAAATAGGTGTTGATAACATTCGGCTAATAGGAATTTAATTAGGCCCAATTAAATTAGATCGCCCACCTTTCTACACTAAAAATAAAAAAATGCATTACATTTAATCTGGCTAGTGTGAGGTTGTTGAACTTTCTCGGGCTATTTTTATTGTGTATTTGGTGTGGAAAAGAAGCCGCAGAAGGGCCAGGTATTAAATTACACGAACTATTTTACTAAAATTCCGGGATAATATATTTTTAACAATTACGTTAAATTATGGCAAAAATAATCTATTAATTATGACCTCACCGGAGGATTAATAATAACTCTGTTGATTTAATACAACCTTGTATATCACCTACCTAATTGCCGCAATAAAACCTATCAGGCTCGTGTAAATCATGTGAATACGGAATAGGAAAATTCTGAGAGATGACGAAACGAAATTATAATTGAGTAAATCACCAATTAGTGCACTTGTTGCCTTCAATTAACGCTTTCATCCCACGTAATTGCTGTAATTAGTGGTATATAGAATGTCTCTTTGAAATTTTGTTGCAATGTGCATAAAAATCGTGATTATCTCGAAAAGTAATCGGGATAGAAATATCCTGTAAGTTTCATTTTGTAGTGTAAAAGTTTCTCTACAATTTCTAGAGAAACGAAAATTTTCGAAAATCGCTTAAATTTTGAGATATTTTGAACTTTAAGGATTCTATCGAAATTCGTAATTTCAGCGCAACTCTATAAAAAATTCCAATTATCTACAAAACTAATTGAGATAGGAACATCCTATTTATTTTATTTTGTAGATTAAATGTTCCTCTATAACTTATAACTTATAATATTGGATTATTTTCAAAAATCACTTAATTTTCGAGATATTTTGAGTTTTTTAAAGACTATCAAAATTTATAAAATCAACACAATTGTATGAAAAAATCGCAATTATCTCGAAAACTAATCGAGATAGATACATCCTGCTTATTTCATTTAGCAGAATAAACGTTTCCCTACAACTTTTGAAGAATAGATTATCTTCGAATAACCCTTAATTTTCGAGATATTTCCAATTTCCATTGACTACTTAAAAACTCCCAATTCCATCACAACTCAATGACAAACCCAATTATCTCGAAAACCAATCGAGATATCATCACCCAGCTTGCCTCATTTTACACTAAAAACATTCCTCTACAATTCACAATAACCTTACCGTGTTATTATTTCTACATAATCCCACTATACTTTGTTTATATGAGTTTATTTCTTGCGTATCGCTCACGCAACATGGCGAATTCGTATTCTTCCTAAAGAGTTTTTTCCTCGCTCGAGCAACCTTGATTCAACGAAAAACGAAAGGTAAAAAACCGTGGAAAATAAATCAATAGCCTTGGTTAAGGTCAGTCATTGTCTGCAGAAACAACTCCACATATTAGCTCCATTTCGCTCGATTAATTAACAATGAGGTGCTGAATAAAATCCACATGTAGATGTAATTAGATAGAATAATGTTCGTTTTTTAACCAAGGAGGCTGTGCTATATGCATGCTACGTTATTATACTTAAATTAGGGGGAAATTGATCGTTTTAATACCAATTAAACGGCGCGTTAATGAAACGTTTACAGAGATAATTGATCTAATTGATTTCCTGTTTATGCAGGCTTTAAAGACAATATGAGTTTTCCGTAATTTGCGTTCAATAACCTTGGCTAATTGAAGTAAACACAGGTAATTTCATGACCGTTCGATCAGCAAACTTCGCATGGGTATGCTAAATTTATAAATAAAGAGATAAAAATCGCAAGTGTTTTGTGATAAAGTGCATGTGAAATTGCATCAAATATCCAAGGAATCATTTTGAAAAAAAATATTAAAGTTCTCTAATTATTAAAGAATGTACAATCAATATACCAGGTACCTTGGTTGATTGAAATTTGTTCGATTTTTTTAATCATAATTGTTTGTTTTAAATTTTGAGGTAACAAATCAGACGAGTGTTACAACATTAGATTTTGATTATTCAGCTCTAATGCAACTAAATTCGTTATGTAATAGTAGAAAATCGTGCCGAATATATAGATTAGTTTTTTTTAATATTCTATTACATAAGTAAAAAAAATCGTTATCGATCATCCTTCGATTAAGAAAAAAAAATCGTGCATCAACAATGCAAACTTTTGTCTGTTAGCAATTGCTTGGTAAAACTAGTAATTACAGGAGAAAATAATGAGTAATTGCACTTTGGGAATTTCGTTAGAAATAGTACAAATTGTGTATTTTTTCTCGTATAAATCGAGTTCTTTGTATTGCCATTATATTTCCATCACGACAGCGCTTTTTAAATGAGCCGTGGAAATTGCGAAAACAATGAGAATAGTTTATTTAAAAGCAATTATCGAAGTACGAAAGTGGGTTAATAGTGCATCTATTTCAAATTTCAATTTATGAATGTTGGTATTTTTCCATTCAATTCGCTGTTTTAATTTACTTTCAAAGATGGGGGGCAAGTACGGTAATTAATTCAACCGTTAATTACCTTACAAACGACAAGACTGAGTTACTTCAGCATTTAAATTCTAAGGATTTTTCGAGGTAAAATCGGATGTGATTCATTGATATTTAAATGGAAAGTGCGCTTGGATCGTGTAAAAATAGTGTTTCAAAGAGAAGCCCTGTAAACAGTATCGAAATAAGGTCCATTATCGGTTCTAAATAATTTATGAACCCGGTACCCGTATAGAAACGTTGTTGAAATTGAGGTCGAATGAGTTACGTAGCCTTTCCAGAGTTTCACATTTTCATGAGTTACCTTCCTTTAATTAATATCGATCGGAGATTAGCAGATGAATAATTAACAAATAAAATCGAATAAGTTTAAAGTATTTATTTGCGTAGTTGTTAACTGCGTTTTATCGAAATTATCTCGAAAATTAATCATTGTAGAAACATTTTGTTGAATCCAGTTTGTAGTGAAAACATTTCTCTACAATTTTTGAAGAATCGAAAATTTTTGAAAATCGCTTAGTTTTCGAGATATTTTGAGTTTATGTGAATCGCTTCAAAATTACCAATTTTATTAGTTTTATTACAATATAAAGAAATATCGCGAAATTATCTCGAAAACCAATCGAAATAGAAACATCTCGTTTATTGCAATTTGTAGAAAAATCATTTTTCTACAACTTTCGAAGAATACAAAAACTTCGAAAAACGCTTAATCTTCGAATTATTTTGCATTTTTATAACCATTTCAAAGGCACCAAACTAAAATTCTTCTAAACCAATCGCTTTTTCCAGAAATTTGAATTCCACTCAAAAATGTCACAATGTCTACACAAATCAATGGCAAAAATGAAGCGGATCTGATCGATTTCGAAGGTGTCTTATCCAGATTATCCCCCGTTTCCCAACCGGAACAATCATGCTCGGATCCCTCGGAAAACCTCCTGGATACGGAACTTCCGGTTCTGGAAGAGAAATTACAAACGGCCAGCCAACTTTCCACTCCTCTCGCTTCGTCCAGAAGGCCCAGCGCAGATCCAGAAGACATCCTGATAGATATAGATGATATTTACAGTGATGATGAAGATTTCCCGGAAATATGTGATAATAACGAGGCTTTTGCTGTGTTAAAGTAAGTTATTTTTATATCTACATATGTAGTGTATCTAAGTTCTTGTCATTTTATTTCAGAAATCTGGATGATGTACTGGACGAAGCCATAGAAACCTCATCCAGCACAAGCCAGGTCCAGCAAGATATCGACGATTGCCTGGAAGATCTAGATAACTACCTGGAAAATGTAGATAAGAATCTGGATAATAGTTCAAGCGAAGAGGACGACGAACAGCTCCGGTCCAGACTGAGAACACACGTGTCATG